ACAATAAAAAGGAAAAGAAAAGAGAGCTTTATTGTTTTAAATTAGTTTTTATAATTTTTTATATCACAATCCAAAACAAATAAACTCTTTTTACGAAATGTTAAGTGTCAAATTTGAGAGATTAATGCAATTTGCTAAACCAGAACCTAAGCCTGATGCACCTTTATCACCAATTTAATTATGACTTTTTAAATATTGAAGAAATAATATATCATTTAATAGTTAATTATAAGGAAAAAATGAAGAAAGAATATGAAATAATTAGATTAATTAATTGATAATAAAAACAAAAGTTAAAAATAAAATGATGAGTTAAATTAACAAAGAAAGAACAAAAAAAAAGCAAGCACAATAAAAAGGAAAAGAAAAGAGAGCTTTATTGTTTTAAATTAGTTTTTATAATTCAAAATATCACAATCCAAAACAAATAAACTGTTTTTACTAAAGGTTAAGTGTCAAATTTGAGAGATTAATGCAATTTGCTAAACCAGAACCTAAGCCTGATGCACCTTCATCACCAATTCGATTGCCCCTTTTTAAATATTGAAGAAATAATATATCATTTAATAGTTAATTAAAAGGAAAAAATGAAGAAATAATATGAAATAATTAGATTAATTAATTGATAATAAAAACAAAAGTTAAAAATAAAATGATGAGTTAAATTAACAAAGAAAGAACAAAAAAAAGCAAGCACAATAAAAAGGAAAAGAAAAGAGAGCTTTATTGTTTTAAATTAGTTTTTATAATTCAAAATATCACAATCCAAAACAAATAAACTGTTTTTACTCAAGCACAAGTTTCAAATTTGAGAGATTAATGCAATTTACTAAACCAGAACCTAAGCCTGATGCACCTTTATCACGAATATGATTGCGCCTTTTTAAATATTGAAGAAATAATATATCATTTAATAGTTAATTATAAGGAAAAAATGAAGAAATAATATGAAATAATAAGATTAATTAATTGATAATAAAAAATTAAAAATAAAACAATGAGTTAAATTAACAATGAAAGAACAAAAAAAAAGCAATCACAATAAAAATAAAAAGAAAAGATAGCTTTATTATTTTAAATTATTGGGGTATTTTTAATGTTGGAAACCAGAGATTACTAAAATAATTTGATATTTTTTTTAGTTCATAAAATTTTTCAAAATTTATTTTTTCAAAAAAAAATAAAATGTTGTTAGAATATACTGTGTATATTATTTCTAATTTTGCATTTTGTGAATTAAAGCTTTCTAAAAATTCTAAAATAAAGCTGTTTTAAGCTAATTTAGCTTTATTTATTATGTTATTAAGATAAATTACATTTCACCTTTTATAAATTAAATAGGCATTTAACTCTAGTTAATTAGAAAGAAAAAATGAAGAAATAATATGAAATAATAAGATTAATTAATAATTAATAAAATTAACAAAGAGCGAAAAAAAAGAAATCATAATAAAAAGAAAAAGGAAAATAAATCAAATAAATTAAAAGAGCTTTAATGTTTTAAATTAACTTTTATAATTAAAAATATTGCAATCCAAAATTAATAAACTTATTTTATTAAATGTAAAAATTAATAGCAAAAAATGAAGAAAAAATATCAAATAATAAAAAATTAATTATAAATAATTAAAAATTGGAATAAAAATTAAGTTAAAATAGCTAAAAAAGAATGAATGAATAATGATGATAATTTCTTTTTCAAAAATTATTTATTTAATAAATTGAAAGTTAAATATATAAAAAATATTTATAATAATAAAAATAGTAATTATAAATAAAATATACTTGAGATCAATATGGAGAGCCTAATGAGATAAAAAAGAAGAGCTTAAAAACTTTTTTTATTAATAAATATAAATTTAAAGGATACCAATAAAAAAATTAATAATTACTTCTTCTAATTTTTTATATTTTTTAATCTATTATATCATTTATTTTTTTTTTTTCAAAAATATTGAATAGCAATTTATGAAATTTAATTAATTAATTAATTATAAATGGATAAAAAGAACAAATAAAATTTGATTAAAAATTATCAAATATTAATTTATATATTTGGTTTTATGAAGAGATATCACAAAAAAATTAATTTAACATTCATTTTTTTAACTTAATATTTGTATTCAAAACATATAAAAAGTAAAATTTGATTTCTCAATGAGGTTTTATTTAAGTCTTGGTATCTAATTAATGATGGTAAATAAAAAAAGGATAGAAATATGATTTATCGATAATATTTGAGATTAAAATATATATAACTGGCATGTAAAAGCTTGGCATTTATATAATTTCATAAGATATAATATAACACCAAATATTTTTAATTATTTGATCCTTTTTTGGAGAAACAGGAGAGTTTGTTTAAGAGGAATTAATTTATTTAACTAAATTTAATTTTTTTATTTTTTATTTTTACAAACAATTTATTTACATACAAAAATAAATATGAATGATATTTATAATAAAAAACAATAATAAAATCTAATATATTTTAGGTTAAAAAAACTTTTTCAATATTAAAAATAAAAAAACCTTTAATATTCAATTATTTAAACATTCAATATTTATTCTTCCTTTTTTCGTCATTTACTTATCATCAGAAATATGTTTTAAAAACAACTAATCTTTTTGATTTAAGACACTTGCTTATTTCTTTGAATTTTTATGATTAATACATTGAGCTAAAATTATATAATAAATTTGTGTAAATTTTAAATAAATATCAAATAGAATAAACTTTTAAATTAAAAATTATTTCTTAAATTAATATGTAAATAAATAAAATAACATTAGTCGAATAAAAAAGATAAAAAATAAATCAAATAAATTCAAAGAGCTTTTTTGTTTTAAATTAGTTTTTATAATTCAAAATATCACACAATCCAAAACAAATAAACTGTTTTTACCTAAGCTGAAGTGTCAAATTTGAGAGATTAATGCAATTTGCTAAGCCAGAACCTAAGCCTGCTGCACCTTCATCACCTATTTCATTCTTCCTTTTTAAATATTAAAGAAAAAATATATCATTAAATAGTTAATTAGAAGGAAAAAATGAAGAATGAATATGAAATAATAATATCAATTAATTGATAATAAAAGCAAAAGTTAAAAATAAAATGATGAGTTAAATTAACAAAGAAAGAACAAAAAAAAAGCAAGCACAATTAAAAAGAAAAGAAAAGAGAGCTTTATTGTTTTAAATTAGTTTTTATAATTCAAAATATCACAATCCAAAACAAATAAACTGTTTTTACTCAAGGTTAAGTGTCAAATTTAAGAGATTAATGCAATTTGCTAAACCAGAACCTAAGCCTGATGCACCTTCATCACTAATTTCATTGTACCTTTTTAAAAATTTAAGAAAAAATATATCATTAAATAGTTAATTTGAAGGAAAAAATGAAGAAAGAATAAGAAATAATAGTATCAATTAATTGATAATAAAAGCAAAAGTTAAAAATAAAATGATGAGTTAAATTAACAATGAAAGAACAAAAAAAAAGCAAGCACAATAAAAAGGAAAAGAAATGAGAGCTTTATTGTTTTAAATTAGTTTTTATAATTCAAAATATCACAATCCAAAACAAATAAACTGTTTTTACCCAAGGTGAAGTGTCAAATTTGAGAGATTAATGCAATTTGCTAAGCCAGAACCTAAACCAGATGCACCTTCATCACCAATTTCACTTTACCTTTTTAAATATTAAAGAAAAAATATATCATTAAATAGATAATTAGAAGGAAAAAATGAAGTAAGGATATGAAATAATAAGATTAATTAATTGATAATAAAAGCAAAAGTTAAAAATAAAATGATGAGGTAAATTAACAATGAAAGAACAAAAAAAAAAGCAAGCACAATAAAAAGGAAAAGAAATGAGAGCTTTATTGTTTTAAATTAGTTTTTATAATTCAAAATATCACAATCCAAAACAAATAAACTGTTTTTACTAAAGGTTAAGTGTCAAATTTGAGAGACTAATGCAATTTCCTAAAGCAGAACCTAAGCCTAATACACCCTTTGCACCAATTAAATTGCACCTTTTTAAATATTAAAGAAAAAATATATCATTAAATAGATAATTAGAAGGAAAAAATGAAGAAAGAATATGAAATAATAATATCAATTAATTGATAATAAAAGCAAAAGTTAAAAATAAAATGATGAGTTAAATTAACAAAGAAAGAACAAAAAAATAAGCAAGCACAATAAAAAGGAAAAGAAAAGAGAGCTTTATTGTTTTAAATTAGTTTTATAATTCAAAATATCACAATCCAAAACAAATAAACTGAATTTACCCAAGGTTAAGTGTCAAATTTGAGAGACTAATGCAATTTACTAAACCAGAACCTAAGCCTGATGCACCTTCATCACCAATTTAATTGCAACTTTTTAAAAATTTAAGAAAAAATATATCATTAAATAGTTAATTTGAAGGAAAAAATGAAGAAAGAATAAGAAATAATAATATCAATTAATTGATAATAAAAGCAAAAGTTAAAAATAATATGATGAGTTAAATTAACAATGAAAGAACAAAAAAAATGCAAGCACAATAAAAAGGAAAAGAAATGAGAGCTTTATTATTTTAAATTAGTTTTTATAATTCAAAATATCACAATCCAAAACAAATAAACTGTTTTTACTCAAGGTTAAGTGTCAAATTTGAGAGATTAATGCATTTTGCTAAACCAGAACATAAGCCTGATGCACCTTCATCACCAATTTAATTATCACTTTTTAAATATTGAAGAAAAAATATATCATTTAATAGTTAAAATAATAAGATTAATTAATTGATAATAAAAGTAAAGTTAAAAATAAAATGATGAGTTAAATTAACAAAGAAAGAACAAAAAAAAAAGCAAGCACAATAAAAAGGAAAAGAAAAGAGAGCTTTATTGTTTTAAATTAGTTTTATAATTCAAAATATCACAATCCAAAACAAATAAACTGTTTTTACTCAAGGTTAAGTGTCAAATTTGAGAGATTAATGCATTTTGCTAAACCAGAACATAAGCCTGATGCACCTTCATCACCAATTTAATTATCACTTTTTAAATATTGAAGAAAAAATATATCATTTAATAGTTAATTAGAATGAAAAAATGAAGAAAGAATATGAAATAATAAGATTAATTAATTGATAATAAAAGCAAAAGTTAAAAATAAAACGATGAGTTAAATTAACAAAGAAAGAACAAAAAAAAAGCAAGCACAATAAAAATAAAAAGAAAAGATAGCTTTATTATTTTAAATTATTGGGGTATTTTTAATGTTGGAAACCAGAGATTAACAAAATAATTTGATATCAGTTTATAAAATTTTTCAAAATTTAATTATTTAAAAAAAAATGATATGTTGTTAGAGTTAATTAGAAAGAAAAAATGAAGAAAAAATTTGAAATAATAAGATTAATTAATAATTAATAAAATTAACAAAGAATGAAAAAAAAGAAAACATAATAAAAAGAAAAAGGAAAATAAATCAAATAAATTAAAAGAGCTATAATGTTTTAAATTAACTTTTATAATTAAAAATATTGCAATCCAAAATTAATAAACTGCTTTTATTAAATGTAAGTTTTAATAACAAAAAATGAAGAAAAATATCAAATAATTAAAAATGAATAATAAATAATTAAAAATTGGAATAAAAATTAAGTTAAAATAGCTAAAAAATTTTTGTTTAAATAAAAATCAATGAATGAATGAATGAATAATGATGATAATTTCTTTTTCAAAAATTATTTATTTAATAAATTGAAAGTTAAATATATAAAAAATATTAATATTAATAAAAATAATAATTATAAATAAAATATACTTGAGATTAATACAGAGAACCTAATAAGATAAAAGAGAAGAGCTTAAAAACTTTTTTTATTAATAAATATAAATTTAAAGGATATTAATAAAAAAATAAATAATTACTTCTTCTAAATCGTAATATTCTTTAATCTATTATATCATTTATTTATTTTTTCAAAAATATTGAATAGCAATTTATGAAATTTAATTAATTAATAATAAATGGATAAAAAGAACAAATAAAATTGGATAATTAATTATCAAATATTAATTATTTATTTGGTTTTATGGAGAGATTACACAAAAAAATTAATTTAACATTCATTATTTTAACTTAATATTTGTATTCAAAACATATACTTAAAAATATAAAGAGTAGGAATTAGAGATGGCCAGTTATTTATTTAGTCATATTTGAAAAAATTCTAGTAGTTAAAGTTATTAAATATTATAAAAATAATGTTTATAAGCTTAATTTTTCTGTTTTAGCTCTATAATTTTAGGAATATTTATAATATCTCTAATTATAGCAAGATACCATACAAAAATTTCGTGGTTTGCATGCCACTTATTATCAAATAGATTTTATTAAATAAATATTTATATCTTATTCAAGAACTATCTTATAATAGAAGACCTCTTGACTAAGAGACCCTACGGTATATTTAGTCATCCCTACAGTGACTTAAATATATTAATTTAATCTTTATTAGCTTTGAAATATTATTTTTTCTATTGTATTTCATGATTAAATAATTAATTGTATTTATTTGATCTCAAAATTTTAATAAAATAAATCATTCCCTTGTTTTGATCTTTAAATCTGATAGTAAAAAACATTAAATATAATGATTAAAATTTAAAAAAATAATACAAATAAGAAAATCAGAAAGATAGATCCTAAAATAAAAAACAATTAAAAATTAAAATGGCAAATAGTCCTCTCTCATTATATCAATATTTTGAGTGATTCCCACAGTCACTTAAAAATATTAATTTAATCTTTATTAGCTTTGAAATATTATTTTTTCTATTCTTTTTCATGATGAAATAATTAATTGTATTTATTTAATCTCAAAATTTAAATAAAATAAATGATTACCTTAGTGATCCCCACAGTCACTTAAAAATATTAATTTAATCTTTAATATTATTTTTTCTATTGTATTTCATGATTAAATAATTAATTGTATTTATTTGATATCAAAATTTAAATAAAATAAATGATTACCTTGTTTTGATCTTTAAATCTGATAGTAAAAAACACTAAGTTATTATGATTAAAATTTAAAAAAGATATAAAAATAAGAAAAAAAGATCCTAAAATAAATAACAATTAAATATTAAAATGGCAAATAGTCCTCTCTCATTATGTTAATATTTTGAGTAATTTCCACAATCACTTAAAAATATTAATTTAATCTTTATTAGATTTGAAATATTATTTTTTCTATTCTATTTCATGATGAAATAATTAATTGTATTTATTTGATCTCAAAATTTAAATAAAATAAATGATTACCTTAGTGATCCCCAACCAAAGTCACTTAAAAATATTAATTTAATCTTTAATATTATTTTTTCTATTCTTTTTCATGATGAAATAATTAATTGTATTTATTTGATCTCAAAATTTAAATAAAATAAATGATTACCTTGTTTTGATCTTTTTATCTGACAGTAAAAAACACTAAGTTATTATGATTAAAATTTAAAAAAGATATAAAAATAAGAAAAAAAGATCCTAAAATAAATAAAAATTAAAAAGCTAAAATGGCAAATATAGAAAAGAGTGCTAAAGACAAAGATGAGTTGATTGAAGAATTATAAGAATAAATAGAAATATTGTAAAGTTAAGCTTTGTCTTTTGAAAAATAAATTGAATTGTAGTAATAAACAATTCAATAGTAAGAAGAGACTATTTTATTATTGAAAGAAACAAATTTGATTTTAAAGTAGTCTGCTCAAATTAAAGATTAGACTATTTTATAAATGGAACAAGATAATAATACAATTAACAGTCAGAGTGAAAATAACTTATCAAAAGATGAAAAGCAGTTTATTATTGAAAGTTAGAAACGAACTATCTAATCATTAGAAAATTCTATTTTGCTATAAGAATAAACTATCTTGAATTAAGAAATTACTCTTAAAAATAAAGAAGAGACTAAAAGATTGGAATAATAAAGCAACAAAAAATTGGAAAAGTAGTTATAATTAAGCCAACAAAAGAATAAGGAGCTCTTAGATAAAATTAATCTTTTAGAGATGGAAGTTAAATCTTTAAAACAAAACACAATAATTACTAAATGAATTTGGAAATTTATTTTTTGATGAATGGAATGAGGCAGAAAAATAATAAAATAAATAACATTCATTAAGATAATTAGTTTATTTATTGTAAATAAGTTAGATATAAATAAATATGTAATATGTTTCTATTTTAAATTCATACTGTCTATCTCTATTGATTTATCTAAATAAAATTTAATTTATAATATTAATTTGCCTTTAAAAATTACTTTTATATAGTCTATCTATCTATCTCTTTATTTTAAACGAAAATTTAATTATTATTGATATAAATTTAAAGTTATTAAAGATTATTCAGATAAAAATAAACAAACCACTTTAATAATTTATTTACTTAAAATCCTCTTATACCATACTGGAAAAAAGGTTTTACCCACCATTAAAAAAGTGTAAAATAAATAGTATTAGCAAATAAAAATTTAATAAATTAATTATTAATATTTGAGTGTTAAATTATATAAATGCCAAGCTTTTATATGCCAGATATATATATTTTAACCTCAAATATTATTCATCGATCATATTTGTATCCTTTTTTTATTTAGGTATCTCGATTAATTAGATACCATGATTTAAATAAAATCTCATAGACAAATAAATTTTTACTTTTCATTTAAGTTTTGTGGTTTTTTTTCATAAATATTTGAGTATCCTCCTTAAATATAAGCTTATGAAAATATCCATAATCTATTAGGTTATACAAAAATAAATGTATGTGTGCAGTTAGTTGTTTATGTTAGCATTTTAAATTTAAATTGATAAAATAAATAAAAATATTAAAATAAATGGTATAAATATCTCTGAATTAAAGTAGCTCAAATTTTGATCAAATAAAAACATTAACTTTTATTTTAAATTGTTAATATCTTTAAGCTGTTTCCTAATTTAAATTTTTGCTATTCGCTCAGTGCAAATAGAATAATTAAATATATGTGCTGCCACTTATTTAATTTAAATAGGTGAATTTTATAAAAGTAAAGAAGTAAATAAGCTCTATTTGTATGTTTTAATTAGTTAGTTAGCTTAATTCAAAAACAATATAAAATATTTTAAAGAAAAAATAATTATTATTTAAATACTAATAAGTTTTTTTATTTAAATAAGGTTTGAATTTATTTTTTTGAAAAGACTAACTGAATAACTAGAATATAATATATATATATAGATAGATAGGTAGCTTTAATATAAAACATTAAGAAACTTATACACTTTAAAATAATTTAATTAACTAAATTTATAGCTTACTTACTTACTTTCTTGATTTATTGCTTGATTGCTCTCTTAATCTTTATTATTTATTAACTTGCAAACTTATTTTTTATATTATTTATTTATTTATTTACTGGCTTATTATTTTAATAACTTATATATCTTTGATTTATTTAGCAATTACAAAAAGCTCATAGAAAAATTTAGTGTTGAAGTAATCAACTGTATTATTGATTTGTTATACCATACTTTTACATTAATTTCTTAAGTTCGGTATCATGTGAACTATTTAAATAAAAATAAATGTTATTTTTTTGTTACCTAGCTTTAAATTAAAAAATATTTTACTCTGATAGCTTTTAAATACGAGCTTGGGCCTTAGCTCTTTCCATACCAAAAAGTTTGTCAAGTCTCTTTTTTTCTGCTGGATCTTCTACATTATCCATCATAACTTCTCTTTCTTGTTCTTCATTTTGCTCGTGTTCTAATAACTTGAGCATTTCTTGATTTTACTTAACCTTTAGATCTTCAATTAACCTAATAGCTTCTCTTTCACTCACACCTGCTCCAGATTAGTTAGCATTAGGCTTGGCGCTTCCTGGTGTTTGCTTTTTTTAGTCTTTATTTCTATCAAATTATGTAGAACCTGCTGTTTTACCAAAGTTAGTACGTTATTAAGTATCCTAAGAAGCAGCATGTCTAGTAGTGTTTCCAAATCCTAAAAAAATAAAAATTTTGAAATTGATTTATTAAAATCTTTAATTAAATAATAAATACCATGTTGCTTAGGTTATCCTTAAGAACCGTTGCTGTAAGTTGATTTTTTCTACATTGATTCATTGGCAGCAAATTAAGATCCACTTTTAAATTCTGACATAACTTGATGAGGGTCAAGCTTTTTTAATTAAACATATTATAAAGAAATAGGTTAATTAATTAATTGAATGAATAAATAAATAAATACTTTTCCTTAACGAACTTTTTCCATTTTTTCTGCCAAAACTCTCTTTTATTCTTCAATTTACTTTCTCATGAGAGCTCTTTACTGCTAAAGCATGGATTTTTCAGCCTAAATTTACTCTGATCTGGACATCTTCGAATTAATTTACTATTGTAACTAATATCTTTGATAGTCTTGCATCTTTTAAATTTTTTCTACATTTTCTCTTCTGTCAGATCTTTTTATACTTTCAATGTTACTCTTTTCTTTAAAGTAGTGCTCTTTCTATTCATGAGCTCTTTGTACATTTTCTTCTTTTTTTTTTAATTTACCAAGGAACATTTCTTGCTTTTCCTTCATCTATAACTCGTTGTTTAATTTAACCTATTTTTTTTGAAACAAACTTTTATTTATGTACCATAAATAATTAAATATTTTGTTAGCTAATTAATTACTTGTCTTCTTTATTCTTCCCTCTCCAATTCCATTTATCTTTTCTCTTCCTTCCATTACTATTCTTCAATATCAAGCAATTTTTTTCTTTCTTCTGCTTCTTGCATCTTTCTCAAATACTCATTTCTTTTCTCTTCTTCTTTCATAGCTACGTTGGACTTATAAAAAGTAAAAATTATTTTTTCTCTCAAAAACAGTAAAAAAGAAAAACAGAAATAAATATTTTTATAAAATAATTCTAAAAATTTTTTAATTATTTAAGTTGAAAATTTATAAAAAATAAACATTTTTCTAAAAGATCTTTGAAAGTTAGTGATTAACAATTCTGTCTTTGAAGAAAACAAGTAAATTTCGTAAAATAAAGAAATAAAAAGTAAAATTGTTAAGCAAAAAGAGATAATTTTACAAGAACTTGTTTGATCATTTCTTCATGATGTTATTGCTTTTTTCTCTATTCGATAAAATATTAATTTCTTTCCATTTCATAAAGTTATCTTTTTTATTCGTTGTGTTATTGCTTTTGCTCATATTCTTCTCTAATTTTTTAGAGTTCTAATTCATTTTTTTATTTTGCTTGTCTTAATCTCTCTTCTTAAATCAATCTTTTAGCTTCAGCTTGCTAAGACATGATCATCTTTTTTTCTTCTAAAATCTTGTTTAATAAAATGATTTTAAATATAAATAAATGACATGTATTAATTTACTTAGAGTCTCTATTACTCCTTTTCATCTAATTACTTCCTTCTTTCTTCAACAACTTATTGCTATTCGAAAAGTTTTTCTTCAAGCTAAACTTTGAATTCTTCTTGCTTAAGTTTTCTTTCTTCATCCCTTTTTCTCATTTCTTTTTCTCTTTCTTTTCTCCTCTATTCTTCTTATCTGGCTCTTTCCATTTCTTTTTCGTAAGCAGCCTAAGCTTACATTTTTTGCTCATACTCCAACTGTTCTTGTCTCAATCTTTTTTAAAGTTCCATTTGCTATTTTTATTCTTCTTACTATTTATTTTGTATTAAATATTATTTATACTTTCATTAATCTAAATAAATTTACTTCTTATTTCTTCTTCTTTATCTCCATTTATCTTTCATACTCCTTTTAAATTTAAAATTGCTGCTTTTCGTCATTTTTGTTTCTAATTTCTTGCATTTTCATTTCGTAATCAAGCATCTACTCTATTTCTTTTTACTAAAAATTTGTAAAAATAATTACCATTCTATAATATAATGCTATTGTAATATATAAAGAATATCCAAATCAATTAATTTATTGATTAATTTTAAAACTGCTAGCTAATAAATTTGAATTTTAGTTTTTATTAATTGAATAAAAATATTGAAAGTCAGTCAAATTCTTATTATAAAAGCTGACTGATTAATAAATTTATTTATTTATAAATAGAAAAATAGAATTAATATTCTATAATGTTATTATACTTGTTTATATTTAATTTTTTCAAGTTGTCTTTTTTCGCGTTCAATTAAAGTTGAGTTTCCGCCCAAAACAGTACTTTGATACTTTGACTATCCTTGTCCTTGCTAAACAGATTTTTAGTGCTTTAGTTGATATAATAAATAGCAAATTAATACTATGAAATATTGCAATTGAAACAATCTAAATAGCTCAATAAAGAAGAAAGGAAATCAAAATCTACTTATATTTAGCCCTTTTAATCAAAATACCAAAGACCTAACTTCTCTCCTTCAATTAGCTAAGCTCTTTCGTCTAACAAAATTTTAATCTTTTCTTTTCTTCTCTCTTCATAGTGGTTCCATTTAATTAGCAAAGATTGCTTATCGTTGTTTTTATCCTTATAAATATTTTTCATATCTTCAACAGCTTTGACAATAAGCTCATCAGGTTTTATTCCCTAAATTTTGCATGCTTCCAATGAGCGAGGACTATTAATAATTGGGTATTTGGATGAATTTTCATCGAAATTCTCAAGTGAAATCAGTTGCTATTAATTTAATATTTAGTAAATAATAATGCAAATAGTTCTTTTGTAATGTTAATAAATAAATCTATCTCATAATATGGCAAACTACTTTGTGAGTGTTCCCATAGAACAAAAATTAATTTAGTTTTATATTTGGATCAGTAAGTAAAATATTACCGACATATTCTTATACACTCAATCTAAGCTAGACTAATAATCTTTATAACTATAATACTTTTTTGTCACTTTAATAAATACGCTTTGCTTATGCGCCTTTAATCTTAAATTATTTTTCTTAAAGCTTAATTATGAAATATTATGTATGAACAAGATAACTGATATTTTTAAATAATAAAACTTTGTTATATATCAATAAAATAATACAAATCAAGAATTCATTCATTCAATAGATGAATCAAAAAATCAATTAAATAAAAAATTATTTAACAAAAAGTTCCATTCTATATATATAAATATATATATCTATCTATCAATCAATCAATCTTTCCTAATTTCAAATTTTCTAATAATTCTTTCATGAAAATACAAAACTAATCTATCAATTAATCTATCATTTATGTTTATTATTAAAATTACTTTATTAATTATTTTTATTATTTAGTAATAAGATTTTCAATTACAAAAATGATGTTTGTTTGTTTGCTTGCTTGCTTGCTTATTTTTTTATTTATTATAAAAATTATTTTACACAAAAATAGGTTAAAATTATTTTTAAAGTATACATAATAATGCTCTATATAATTTAAAAATAAGTTAATAAGACCTAAACATTCTTAATAATTAAAAAATTTCATAATTCTAAAAATTTATGACCTTCATAGCTAAATCTTTTTAGCAGATAGATTTCAGTTAAAATAAAATATTGAAATTTTATAAAAATGGAAATTAATCTATTAAAATAATTCAAACGAGAATAATAAAATATATTTTAATACAATATTTATGTAGGATATTTTTGCTTTAAATTCATTAAATTTCACAAAAAATATAGTTCGATTTTTTACACACATTCTATTGTATGCGTGCGCACATTACTCAACTCCTCGAATTACTTAAAAACTCAAATTAAAATAAAATGTATACACAAAATCAAAATTAAGGCCTATGTTTTTGTGTGAATTATCATAGGATTTATGATATAAAAAGTATTTATTTATTTATTATTGGACTATGTAAAAAATACAACAAAAATACTTTTGTTGTTAAAATAAATAAATGTGTAGTCCTTATAAAAAAATCAACTAAATATATTTTTTGATGTTTATATTTTAAAACTTTTTATTAAATAATAAATAATTATAATATAAAAAATAGAAGGATTGATTGATAGATCGATTGATCATAAATATTTTACTTACAATTAATTTTAACTTTTAATTATGAAATTATGAATTGTAAAGTTATCTAAAATTTTATAATAAAGTATATTTATTGCTTAGTTTTTGAGGAGTTATATAGGAAAGAATACAAATTTATAAATTTTGTTATAGGTTGCTTGCTTGCTTGCTTAATAAATTGTGCTAAATTAAATAAATATATTTTAAATTGCTCATCTAAAACTATTTCAAAAATTCCATAAGTCATCATCATGTTTATTATTCGATTTTTGACTTGAGGATGAACCTGCACCGAGGTCATCCATATCAAGCAGGTTAGCTTCTAGTTAAGCTGTATTTGCTTTCTTTTAAGTTGGCTTTTCTTCATAATCGTCAAGTAAGTTCGTAGATTTCTAATAAAGTTAAAGAAAATTTATTTAAGATACTGATATGTGATTTTATATATTTTTACTACTTAATTTCCATTAGTTCCCTAACTAGAAAATTATTTATCTGGTTACTAATATCCTTAATTGGCTGGTATTTTAGGCTACTGCTATTGCTAATAAACTTATTTTTATTAAGTAGCTTATTGTTATTAATACGATGGCTACTATTAAGCTTAATACAATTATTGCTATTAGTTTTAACTTGAAGATTATCTATTAACTTGAGTCTAAACATTTGCTTGTGGTTGAACTGGCTATTAGCTATTATTATCTTTTAATAAATAATCAAATAAGCAATCACTTAAAAACAAAAATCTATTTTTTTACCTTTTGTCCATGACACACGAGTTGCTTTTATGTAAATTTTACCATTAAAAAGAGGAATTTTGTTGGAATTTGAATTAATATCCATCCAAACTATGTTGTTCTAAAATTTGTATCTATATCTAAAAATATATTCTCCTGGCAAAGGGAAAGAGTCTGCTATATCACTAGGTTTAATATCCTCTTAATTTTTGTGTATTCTAATAAATTTAACAAAAAATAAGCTTCATTAATTATATTTACAATTAAATTTTAAATATCAAATATGTTAATCATTTATCATGTGTATCTGATACAAAAAATAAATAAATAAATATTATATTTAACTCTTTATTTGATAAAAATTAATAAAATGTACCCAAATGCGTTGGGCTATTCTATGTCATCTTAATCTTCAGGTACAATATAGAATACCATAGTAAAAGCTTTCTATGCCATGTTTTAACTTTAAATTTTAATGAATGCCTATCTTAATTAATTTGTTTGTTTGTTTGTTTGTTTGTTTTCAAACCTTAATCTAGTCTTTTTTTAATTTTTCTGATTTATTTTGATAAAATAATTAATTAAAAAATTTTTGGCAGAAGGAATAAATTTTAAATCGTAATTATACCCATAATAATTAATCTCTATAAGTGTTCTACACAAATAAACAAGCAAAAAAATAGCAAGTTAGTTAGTTAGTTATCAAGTAAATTGACATATAAACTAAGAAACCAAAGTGAGAAATAAAGCCAAGCAAATGAAGGAACAATATTTCCTTTGTAATTTTCATGCATATTTATCTATACCAATAATAGATGAAATGTTTATTAATTTTATATTATCTATTTTATCTATCATAATTAATAATATTAACTAATTCTAAAAAATAAAATTATTAAAATCTTTTTCCGTTTTCAAGATTTGTATTTAAATAAAATAAAACCTTTTCATTTATTTGATATTTTATTTTTTAACATATTTTTTGTTTATTTTCTTTTAATTTAATTTAATTTTATTTTTTTTTTGTTGATAAATTTATACATTAACTAATAAGTTTTTTTTATTTTTAAATATTTTATTTCTTTTACTAAAATAATAAATAAATATTTTTAAATTGTTAAATTTTAATTATTAAAAATATTTTAAATCTTAAAACTGTAAAAATTAATTTAACTGTAAATTTTTATAAATCCGGTAATGATTTTTTAATTACTTAATTAAAAAAAAATTAAGGTCAAAATTTGTTTTAAAATTGAGAAAACTTGTAAATTGTAGAGTGAATGAATAAGTGTATAAAAATACTATTCAGTTTAGCTCCAAATTTCGATTTACAGTTTTAAAGGTGATAAGAGGCTTATTTGTTTATTGATTTAGAAAGGAATAAGAGAATGATTATTTGATCTTATCAGTAATATGTAATTTTTATAGAAAAAAGAAGTAAAATAGAATGTATATACATATGAAATAATGAATGCATGAACAAATGAATGAATGAATGATTTTGATTGCTTGGATAATTATTTGTTAGAACAATAATTTAATGTGTTTTTAGAGTTTAATTATTGATTTTAATCAATTTTTATTAAATATTTAATAAAAAATAAAAAACTTTAATAAATAAATATATATATTAATTTCCATCATTTGATTAAACTGGCTGATTCATTGATTGATTTATTTAATAATCATTAGAAATGAGCCAAAAAAACAAGGATCAAAACAAGAGCTAACTTTAGCTCAAAATAGATTAAATTTCTTAGCAATACTAAAACGACGAATGGGAAACTTATTTCTACTTTTTTAAAAGGCATAAGAATTATTTAACAGGCCCAAAAAGTCAGCAGTTAAGGAACCTAACGCCAGGTGTTAGTGATTTAAAAGTAGCAAGTAATAGGATTGAAACATCACAGTACAATTGGCTTACATTTTTGCCTAAAAATCTATTCATTTAATTTAGTAGGCTAGCAAATATATACTTCGTGCTTATAGGTGTTTGCTAGACGGTGAATGTAATATCTACAACAAATGGAAAGCCTGCGATATATCTCACTCTATCCATAATCACTGTTGTTTGCATGATTAAAGACATTATTGAAGATCGAAAAAAACATATAGCTGACCGCAAAGAAAATGAATCGAAGGTCAAAAGACTCAACACTAATACTAATCAATTTGAGGAGATCTATTGGTAAAACCTCTATATTGGTGATATTGTTAGAGTAGAAGAAAGTGAGTAATTTCCAGCTGATATTTTAATACTTCAAACGACATTGCCAAATGTAAAAACATTTAAAAAATTACATTTAATTTGTTTAAGTTAACTAGAAAACATTTTGATGCTTCTGATTTATTTATGTATGTATTGCCAGTTTAAATGATTAATTTTTTTCTACTTTGCGAAATTTAGCGCTTTTAAAAAGATTTTTATTGATAAAATATTCGATTGATTGATTTATTTATTGAAATACTTATTACCAAATTAATTTAAGTTAAAATAATTCTATAATACTAATTTTTTAATTACATTTTATAGGGAGATTGCTACGTTGAAACAAAAAATCTTGATGGTGAAACCAATTTAAAAAGGAAAATAGGTTTTGCGCCTTAGATTCTTTAGTCTGTAGATATTAATAACAATTTCGAATAGCTACTCAATTATTAGCTTAAGTACGAATAGCCAAATTAGTAGATGTACAACTTTAATGGTATAATGACTAACAATTAATCTGGAAGTTAATATCCAATCAACATCAATAATATATGTCTTAGAGGTTCTTGTTTAAAAGCAACAGATTATATCTATGGAATGATTATATACACTGGTCATCAATCTAAAATTCTTCTAAACTCTTAAAGATCGAGGTAGATTATTGATTTATTGCATTTAAAACATTTTGAATGATTTAAAAACATATTTTTATCATCGAATTCATCATTTTTATTTAAATCAATTAGATATAAATTCAGTGGGATAGAATTAAATTTGAATAAAATGATCATTTGGATTTTTATTCTTCTTATCTTAATTTGTTTGTTTTCTGCTTCATATTATCAAATTTGGGTTAAGGATTATGAAAATTAAGCTGTATATCTCTAAATTGATAACAAATCATTTGGTGGAAACAATGTTGAAACATTTTTTGTTTACATTCCTTTATGGATTTTGCTGCTTGCCCATTTTGTTCCAATTTCTTTAATGGTTACTTTAGAAATAGTCAAGTTCGGATAAGGATTGATTCTGTAGTTAGATAGAAATTACAAGAATATTAATGACGATGAATTCGTAGACGTTAAAAGTTGTAATTTATGTGAAGAATTAGGCAGAGTCAAGTACGTATTTAGTGACAAAACAGGTACATTAACTATCAACTAAATGAACTTCAAAGCTTTATGCTTAAATAAAAAAATATATGAAAAATAAAATGAAACTGTTCATTCAGAAACTATTTTAAAGAGTGAAGAACTTGACGTAGCTCTTGCCCAGAGCGTAAAAACTCAGAGCTTGGTACATATAAATATATATATATATTTATTTTATTTATTTTTTATAAAATATATTTAATAAAAGGAATTGGAAGGAATGAATTGTTTGAATCTATGTCACACTTTGATTATAGAAAAGAAGAATAACTCTCTTATCTACAATGGTACTTCGCCTGATGAAGAGAGTATTTTAAAGTTCTGCTACAATTAAGGGTATTATTTCTAGGAAGAGGATATCAATAAAGTTATGTACATTTAATCTAACTAATTGAAAGAAACTTTAAAATTTTAAAGAATCGCTGTGCTTGAGTTTGATTTTGAAAGAAAAAGAATGTCAGTAATTGTTTAAGACATGTAAACATAAGAATACAAATTGTATTGCAAAGGGGCTGATTTAAATATTTTTGAAACTTGTGCTCCTAATTAAGATGATGTCATTGAAATTACTAAAAATAACTTATCGTATTTCTCTTTAAAAGGACTAAGAACACTAGCTTTTGGATATAAAATCCTGACTAAATAGCAGGTGGATTATTATCTAAATAGGTATTTTATTTACATTTATTTTTTAAACATTTTTCAAAATATAAATAAATATTTTATTGACTTTTAGGATATAGCAAATTAAGTTAGAAATTTCAGAATAGGATTAAAAAGAATAGCAACTTAATATCCAAATGGAAAAAGATTTAATTTTGTTAGGCGGAACAGGCATTAATGACAGACTTCAAGATGATGTTGAATACACACTAAAAAATTTAAAAACTGCAGGTATAAAAGTGTGGATGCTAACAGGAGATAAAGTAGAAACAGCTCAAAATATCGCTTAATAATGCAATTTAACCACTCCAACAACAGACTTGGCAATACTCAGTTTTGATAAGTTTGATGAAACTGTTGAGACTTTAATTGATGAATACTACAATAAAATAGGAAAATCAGATTATAGTGTCTTAATTACAGGTTATTCTTTATACGCAATTGATTCACATTTTAATCCTATGAATATCATAAGATTATCTCAATCTGGTACACTAACAAATAATCGAACAAAGGCTCTGAATTCTAGATAAAAGTTACTTAAGATATTAGTTAATTCACAAACTGTCATTGCTTGTAAAGTTACTCCTAGACAAAAGGCAGAACTAGTTAGCTTTGTAAAAAAACTCTGCCCCTAAGATACTACTTTAGCAATCGGAGATGGTGCTAATGATGTATCAATGATTACAACAGCTCACATTGGTATCGGAATAAGAGGAAAAGAAGTAATTCATAAATATTTCTTTCTATTTAAAAATATAATTTGTTTTAAAATGAAACTTGAAGGGAAGACAAGCTGCTAAGATATCCGATTTTTCGATTGGTGAATTCAGACATTTAAATAGGTTAATTTTATACCAAGGGTAAGAGTGCTATAGAAAAAATACATAGCTTGTTTTTTACAATTTTTATAAAAATTAAGTTACTTTCTTGGTAACTTTTTGGTACAACTTTTTCTCAGCTTAAAGTGGTATTTATATCTATGATCAATGGGTTAAGGAGTTATATAATTTATTATTTACTTCTTTGCCAATCATTCTCTATTGCTGGTTCGATGAGATGTATCCTGCCCACGAATACTGCACTGTATTCTAATGTCTACCAAATAGATTAGAAAAAATGCCACTATTATATAAAAGAAATTTAGAAAAACCTTAATTTACTACCTTTAACTTTTGGAAAGAATTTTTCAAAGGGTCCATTCAATCAATATTGATATTATTTATTGGGTAAAATATTTATTTATTTTTTTTTGTTTGTTTTTTTTACTAATTTAAATTAAATTGCAAATAAATTTAAATAAAAATATTAAAGCATGTTGTGTTTAAACGATGTCTCGGATAAACACCAACACTAAGCAAGCCATTTAGATATGGGCACACTTGTATTTACTTTAGCAGTAATAGCTCCAAACTTAAGAGTGTTTTAATTACATAAAACACACTATCCCTTTACTTTATTTTTTTTATCTGCTAGCGTTTTAATTTATTTTGTTGCTCTTCTCATAGCAAGCAAAATTTTAGCTCTCGACAGTTTCGGAATGGCTCATAGTGTCCTTGGAGTAGGAGGAACATATATAGGTATACTTTTGATGGTTGTAACCTTCTACATTATTCAAAGGGCATTTGATGACTGGTCCTACTTTACTGAAAAAATGAAATCTTAAGATTTTGAACAAATTTTTGAAAAAGAAGAATTAGAAAAATAAACAGTAATTTCTTCAGATTAAAAAAGCGTACGCTAGTAATCTTCTCAATAAAATATGATTGAAATAATGTGCTTTAATAAAAACAGCAACATCAACAATAATAATATGGATTATGTAGACGAAGTAAATAATAATTTATGATATTATTTTATATAAATATATATATATATTTTATTTATAGTCAAACACATTTAAAAAGTGAGTAGGACAATTTTACTACCAGTATTCTAATCATCGAATCTTTCATCCATCTATTAATAATCTTTGCCATTATTACCATAATTATCTTCACAGTCATAAATTAAATCAAGATAATACATATATATATACATCTTTGTTATTCTCTATCTATCTATTATATTCTATTATATTACTTACTTACTATGGAATGAATATCATCTAAAATAATTTTATGAAATCATTTTTATAAATTATATTTGCAAAGATATCAAACAAACACATATTTTTTTTTATTTTTTTAAGTTTATTTCAATACATCTTAAAATAAAGCTCATAATAAAGCAAAATAATTTTAATTTGTTAATTTGTTGTAAATAAAATTTCATCTTTTTATTAGAAATATCATAAAATTTTATTTAATTTAATTTCAAATAATTAATAAAAATAATTATTTTTAAATTTTAACATAATTTTAATAAGAAAATTTTTTGATTGAAAAATTAATTAAAAGACTGATATAAATTAAAATTAATTATAAATATTATTAATTAATTAAATTCTATTATAAAATTATTTATTTATTTATTTTTACTTAAATTATATTCAAACACATCAGCCATTCAAAAAAATAGTGACCTCAAATCACTAAATTTTTGAATGGAGTTTGGCTATTCTAGCTAGAATTAGTAAAATTGTTATTTTTTTATGAAATAAATAAAAAACTGAAATTTAAAGAAATTGATATGATTATAATTTATCAAAAATATAGAGTTAAATCATGCTTATTCTTTGGAAATTACTATCCTCTTCTCTTACTAACTCCATATGAAAGATACGTAGGCCTATAGTCATCAATATTAAATTCTTATTGCAAAAATTTCAAATTATCAGGTATGAATGAGCCATTTGTATAAAAGCGTGAGAATAAAATATTCTAGCGACGTGGTTTGTTTATTTATTTCTGCTTTTTCATTTTTCTTTGTTCCAACTGCATTATTTTCAGTTTATTTAGAACGCTTTCTATATTATTATGAGGGAAAAATTTTTTAAAGTTGTGCATCTTTTCAAACGTATCCATAGGATTATTACTATTTATTTAAGTCATCTCTCTAAAGCTCATTCCAGAAGTTAATTAAAGTAAGAGCGGTAACTAAGGATTCAACAGTAATTTAGAGAGTCTTTCTACAATTTGTAAGTCATTATTTTCACGTGTCATTTAGCTATTTTAAGCTGAAAATAATTATGATTAAATTTTATTATTATTAGTATTAGCATCATTGCAATTTATACCACTCAATGCATTAATGATAGATGTTTTTCCATTTGATTAAGATTATCTTATTTAAGCTAAATTTTTGTAGCTAGCTCTAGGCTCTTCTTCTATGACTTCTTTTATTGAAAGCATGGAATTTTTTTTATTACTCAAAGTGATATTCTGTTATTATATGCTACTTTTATTTTTTTCTAAATCGCCTTCAGTTTTTTTCTAGAATTTAAACGATTACTCTGTTGGCAAAATATTATAAGAGGAATGAGTTTAAATAAGATTATTAACTAAAATTCCTTATAGTAAGATTTAATCAATCGAGTTTCTGTAATTAGGTAGCTCTTAGTTATTTTTTTATATTTGATTTTGGTTATTGCTTATCTGGTTTAGAAGTATGCTAACTCTCTTATTTGGTTAGCTAATATTATATTCTAAGCTTTTCATACTTGAGTTCAACTACTATTGTAATTCATCTTGAATCCTAAATGAGCTTCTCTTGAATTGTAAAGGCTAACCTTAAAAGCTCTGCCTTTTTATATGCTATTTTGAATAATCTATTTGTTGCTTAATATCATTATTTATTTGATTTAACTCTTACTATTTTTGACTTTACTTTTTTTTGATCACTAATTAATCATTCATTAATTATTCCTCTTCTTCTTCCATTTTACAAATTTAGGGATAATCCTATGTATTCTGTTAAACTAATTCTGAATCTGTTTTTGTTTATGTTTATGATTTTGAATGATACAATTCGGAGTTAATAAAATTATTGTTTGATTCTATGTTTGAGTGAGTTTTAATTTATTCAATATCATCTAAAGATTTTTATCTGTTTGCCAGATTAAAACTTTTAATGTAGCTCTTTTTTGAGTCTAGATTTTCATTTATAAAATTTGAAATAACTCTGTGGCTATTAGATTATATTTCTGCATTAAGTAAAGAGTTTATGTCTTCGCAAAGTAAATTGCTATCCAAATATTTTTTAGAAACTTCTTTTTTTTTTGAAGCCTTCTTTTTTTGCAATGAACTTTTTACTTAGTTATTTAATGATGAATTTCTTGAAAAATTATCAGCATTTGTTTATGAATTTGTACTTGAAACTAATTCATCACGATCTTCAAATTCATCATCATCGTCTTAATCTTCTGAATTATAATAAGATGACCCTGAATATTTATCGTCAGAATTGAACATAATTTAAATTTCACTATTCAGGTCTTACAAATTTTATTTAAGAATCTTGCTCAGACTTTGATTCTTCTAAATTAAATTACTAAATTAAATTTTTTAAAAATTGATGAATTAAATTTCTTTGCTTTAGAATAAAAATTACAAAGGCTTATAACTGCTTTTGTCTGTGGGACGTTCAACAAAGCATCTATTCTGGAACAAAGAGTAAATATCCTTTAATATTATAAATTGTTTATCGAATGTTTGATGAGTTTTAGGACACTAACTTGAAATATGTCCAACCTGTCTGCAGTTATAACAATCTACATGAAGCAAAGGTAATTCTCCTTAAAAAATAATTTACTCTTACATCATTTTAAATCTTTCATAATCTTCATTATTTTCTTTAATTATTTCAATAAAGTCTTCCCTCGAAATTTTGTAAAGAGTAGACAAATTAATACTTCTAGCAGAAGCTTTCCTGGAGAGCCCTGAAAAAAAAGAAATTTCTCCAAATAGACTCTCATCTGTAAGAGTTTTAATCACATTGGGTTTTTCTAATTTTTATACCGAATGTTAGTAAATCTCAATCACACCACTTTAAATAAAATAAATTGCCATATCATCATTTTATTCTTCTTTAAAAATAATCTCATTGGGGTTTATTAAAACTTCTGTCATTTTAAAAACTATTTTATCCAAAGTTTGCTTAGAAAAATTTGAACTAAATATATTATATTTGTTTAAAATTTTAGAATTTATTTCAACAGTAATCTCCTCTCTTAGTTTATTAGAAAGAATTGATATAATTTAATCTTCAGCTTATTTATCTCTATCTTTCTACTCTTAAGCTAAGAATGATAAATAATGTCTGATTCTGCTTTTAAGAGAAATATTAACATTTTTTCTGTTAAGATACCTTTACAAATTATTTAAAAATAAAAAAATATTATAATAGTTATTCTTCCAGTTGATCTATTTATTTTTCTAAATTAAGAGAGTTTATTAAGATTATCAGTCAATTATAATAAAAAAAAATTTTTTTAGGTTTTTAAATAAATACCTCTGCATAATAGTTATTTTATCATTAAGCTATTTTGAAGATTTTTCAATTTCTTATAAGATGAATCCTATATTGTTGATTGAATAAGCAAAAACGCAACTGAATAAAAGCATAATTATTGAAATATATAAAGCTTCTGCGTAATTTGTAGCTGATATGTCTCCATAACCAACTTTATTTTTTAAAATAATATCAAATTTTTTTTTAAGTATGTTTTCAATTTTCTTGTTAAAACAAACAGCTTTTATAAAATTTCTAAAATAAATTTGACTTTTGCAAAATTAATTAATAAATAAATTAATAAATAAATAAATAAATAAATTTAATTTTTAATAAAAACCTGTTGTCATAGTAGTTATTGACCAGTAAATAGAATATACATATTTTTAGTAATAAACTTCTTCAGAGATATTTAGTTTATCTAACCAATTAGGCTAACTTCCATTCACTACTTCTTACAAGCCAAGAAAATACCAACCGATTGCAGCTGTAAATATAATAAAAAATATTATTATATTTGAAAATAATATGAACTCTGTTTATTTAATTTTATATTTTACCAATATGCGCTACAGTAACAACGCTTAATAACTAGTTAATTAATTTTATAACATGCTTCTCACTTTCTTTTAAAGTAAAAACATAGTCAAATCTCTTTTTTTTAGAGGAGATTCCATTCGTTTTAAAAAATATAAGCATATTAAAGCAGTATGTTAGCAAATCATGGTTTGGATTATATACTATGTAATTGCTTCTCTTAATAACTTTGGTTCCTAAAACCATAAGACTTACAAAATCAGTGAAAAAAACAGTAGAAAAAATATACTATTTAGCTATTTATTGTCTTTTGAATATAACTAAATCTTTGTCAAAAAAGGCAGTGTTAAAATTGACTAAAGCATCAATAATAAAAATAAAAAATGTGCAAAAATAAAATTCTTTTATAAACTCAGTATCAGGATTTTCTTAGTCAAAAAACATCAAAATAGAATAAAAGTAGAGAAAAATATAAGTAAATAAAACTAGAACGATATCCCACACAACTCTCAAAGTATCAGTAGGCATAAAAATAGGTATTTTTTTGCTTAATTTAAATATAAAGTTGAAGTATTTTATTAAAGCATTACTATTCTTCTTCATTTTATTCTATGTATAAAAATTGCTTAAATCATTGATTGACATATAATCGCTATCAGTAAGATCATCAATTTTGCGGTTAAGATATCTAAGCCTAAGTAGCATTATAAAATTTCTGACATGCTGTCTTACTCTCATAATTCTATTCATTGATGTGTTTAAAAGTCTATTTATAATATCTGCTGCCTTCTAAAAGTTCTACTAGTACTTCTTTTCTTTGTAATTTTATATTTTCTTCAAATTAAAATTATTTTTAGCAACTAGGGTTACTTTTCTATTCAATTCATTCATATTATTTTCATAAATTATATCATCTGGTATCCACCCACCGCATTTAGAGGGTAATCTTGAACTTATGTCTAATTTGCTATTGACTTTTTCCTATTAAGGATTTTTTAAATCATTTCTGCTTTTTAAATCTCTAATTGAGGGCTAACATTTGTCTATGCTTAGACTTTTACCTTCTTATATACCTTTTTTAATTGATAAATTGCTCTTCATTGAAACTACAGCTTATTATTGCTCATGTTTTTTAATATTTTTGAGAGTACCTCTTTCTTAATTATTACAGCTTTAAAATAAATCATGTCTTGAATATACCATAGGTTGTTACTCAGTTATATTAGTTTCATATTTTCCTTTAATTGAGCGGTTAGTATGTTTTATATTACCTTCTGTATTCTGCTATAGACTATCCATAATTGAATTGTTATTATTTATAACATAGAAACTATTATTCGCAACAGACTAGTCTCCATTAAGTCCTAGTTCTATTTCAGTACCTTTTATCTCAAATAAATGCCTCTAGCACTTTCTACTTAAATAACTATCATAAGGTATTTACTATTCATCAGCTATAATTCCCTGAGATTAATTTTATATTGAAAATAATGACTTTTGAGTAGGCTACTTATTTTATTTGTAGTATTCCAACTAAGGCATACTCATTTTACCTAGCTATAAATCAACACTTTGTTTTATTAATTATTAAGTATATTAATTAAAAGTAAACTTAAATGCTTATATTCAAAAAACATTCATTTGATAGAAAAGGCAATTTATTTATTGTAATTTAAATTCTTAATAAAAATGAACAAAAGAAAATTTTACTATGTTGATTCGTAAAGTATATAAAAAAAATTTTTTTTTTTCATTAAGATTAATGAAATCAATCAATATTATTCTAAAATTTAACTTTAGTTTATTTATGAGAGTGAAAGCGAAAAGACAGATTATTGATTTATTTTATTAACCATTCATTCATAATAAAAAAATAAACAATCAATTCTATAAAGATGAATAATATAAAAATGATATTTATTTGAATGGATTTTTCCAATTGGAAAAAGTAGATAATGTGTAATATTAGCTAATTTCATCATTTTAATAAAGTATTTTATCAAAATTAAATACTTTAAAACCTTAATTTTCATTTATTTAAGCTTTAATAATAATTTTTTGAATTTTAAAAAAACGAATTACGATTAAATAAATAAATGAATGAAATTACTTTTAAAAATATTTCGTAAGGCTTTATTTATTTAGTGTTGTAAATTTATATTATTTATCAATATTTCTAGAAATTATTTTATAAGTTATTATTTATGATAAACTAAATTAAATTTCAGATTTATTGTGTTAAGCTCTTCTTCACATTTATTATATTAATTCATTTTTCCTACACTATTTCTAAGTCTTAATTAACTAACTATGTTTTTTTACCTGAAATATATATAATAATAATTATGCATGCAGAAGCATTTTTTTTCACTCTACCTATTTTTGAATTAAAAGAAAAATTATTAAATTTATCTTTTCAGTTTTAACAAAAATTAATACTTGTTAAACATATTCTTCTTATGAATTAATTTACAGCCAGTATTAGTTTTGCGATTTTTTTTAATAATTGCCACAACTTTCATTTAACTCAATATTTCATTTGTTTAGAATTATCTACACTAAAGAAATCACTTTATTTTTCTGTATTTATCATAAATTTAATAAATATAAATTTCGTTTTCAACTCTATTTTGGTCCTTTAGTTAGTTAGTATAAGTCTGCTTATATAATGAGAAGTTAGAGTAAAAAATTGTATTGATTATTAATAATAATATAAAAGCAGTAAAAATTTAAAAAAATCCCTCTATTAACCAACTATTTCTGTATAGATTCAAGCTTCTTAACTATCATCAAATATCAAAATAGTAGGGAATTTTCTTGTAATTTAAATATTTTTTCTGAGATGTAAAAAATTAAAAAATTGTAATGAAGAACTATCATTTGACCATATTGTGAATTTAAAATTAAAAACTTACTAAAATCTTATGATAATATGAGTAAGTTTGACAAATTTACATTAAAAGATAATTTAATACCTAACTGAAATTGGATTATATATTTTTATTTATATATGTAGAATCTTGCCTCTAAGTACTTTCACATCTAATAATTGTTAAAAAAAGATGTCATAATAACATTATTTATAGTCTACTGGATGTTTCCACCGGATAGTTCAAAATTTACAACAGGGATAGATTAAAAAATTAATTTTTATAACTATCATTATCAGCTATAGTTTAAAAAAACAATAGAAATCAGTAAGTAACCTGTATTAATTAACAAATACCCCCACCAGAAAAGGTTTATAAAGTTTATCAGAAATCCATGTAATAAATAAATAAAATACTTACTTACGTATGTAACTGCATTTATAAATTTGCATGAATATAAAACCTGGAAGTTCTTTAAATAAATAATAAACTTAATAAATAATAATGATTAATAATTAAAATATTCAAAAATATAAAGTTAAGTTATGCTTATTGCATGGGAATTGTTATCCTCTTCTCTTGCTAACACCATAAGAAAGGTAAGTTGGTCTGTAATCATCGATGTTAAATTCTTGTTGTAATAATTTTAAATTATCATGTACTTAAGAACCACAATTGGAATAGTAACGGAAGAATAATATATTTTAGCGGCGAGGCTTATTTATTTGCTTCTGCTTTTTTTATTTTTTTAATTCTAACTACAACAATTTAAGTTTATTCAAAACATTTTCAATGTTGTTGTGAGGGAAAAATTTTTTAAAGTTATGCATCTTGTCAAACATATCCATAGCGTTATTACTGTTTATTGAATTCATTTCTCTAAAACTCATTCCTACAGACGTGAGTTTGAGTAATAGAGGAAGCTATGGATTCAATAATAGCTTAGAAAGTCTATCCACTATTTATAATTAATTACCATTTGTAATTTAGCTATTTTAAGCTTATAACAATTTGCTATTATTATTTTTATTATTTAAATCATTAGTATTACCATCAATATTATTTATGTTACTCAAAGCATTAAGAATAGAGCTTTTCCCAATTGATTATTTCGTTTTTATTTAAGATAAATTTTTATGGCTAACAGCTGCTTAATCTTCAATGAATTCTTTTGTAATGTTTATTGAGCTTTTGTTGTTGTTTAGACTGAAGTTTTATAATAATATGCTATTTTTCTTTTTTTCTAAATCACCATCTGCTTTTTTCAAATACTTAAATGATTGTTCTATTGGTAAAATATTTTAGGAGGAATGAGATTGAATCAAATTGTTAACTAAAATTCCTTATAGTAAAATTTAATCAATAGAGTTTCTGTAATTAGTTTATTCTGTACAATTTTTTAGAATTTAATTATGGTTATTACTTATCTGATTCAGGAGTGTACTTACTCTTTTATTTGACTAATTAATATTAAATTCTTAGCCTTTTAAATTTTAGTTTATGTTTAATTGAAGCTCATCTTAAACCTTTTATGAAGGCATTTTCAATTGCTAAGATTACAAAGTTGAACCTGACGTACTTGAAAATCTAGCTTGCTATTTTGGATATTCTGTTTGAAGTTTAATATCAGTGTTTGTATTATTAATTTGCTCTTGCTATTTTTAACTTTTTCTTTTTTTAAATATTTATGAAATGTTGCTTTATTCCTAATCTCCATCAACTTCATTTTTATTTGTTTAGGAATAAGCTTTAATATTCTATTGAAATTGCTCCGAATCAGCTTTTATTTAAATCTATGATTTAGAATGCTATATGTCAGAGTTGTTAAAATTATTATTTTATTCTAAATTTTAGCTACTTTTTATTTTTTCAAAGTCATCTAATGATTTTTATCTGTTTGAGAGATTAAAACTTTTAACATAGCTTTTTTTTATTTCTAAATTATCATTTATATTATTTGAAATAACTTTTTAGCTATTACAATATTAATCTGAGTTAAGAATTGAGCTTATATTTTCACAAATTTGATTATTATCCAAATATTTTTTTGACACTTCTTTTTTTTTCATAGTTTTCTTTTTTTGCAATGCATTATTTTTTATGTTATTTAAAGATGACTTATTTGAAAAGTTATCAATATTTGTCTACGAGTTTGAGCTCGTAGCATATTCATCACACTAGCCATACTCATCGTCTTCTAAATCTTCTGAGTTATAATAAGAAGATCCTGTATATCTATTGCAAGAATCGAACATAATTTCAATTGAAATGTTGTCATCTTATAAATTTTATTTAAGAATCTTGCATACATTTTGATTGTCCTAAATCAAATTTCTTTATTTAATTATTTTTTTAATTTTAAATGAGAATTATTGAGAAAAAAAAAAATTACAGTGGCTTTAAATTATTTTTATATCTGGTGCGATCAAAGAAGATTCTTTGTTGAAATGATGAGTAGATTTCTCTTAGAATTATGAATTACTTATCAAAAATTTGATGAGTTTTAGGACATGAGCTTGAAATATGCCCTATTTTTTTACAATTATAGCATTCTACATGAAGTAAAGGCAGCTCTCCTTAGAAAACAATCTATTCCTATATCATTTTAAATCTTTCATAATCTTCATTATTTTCTTGAATTATATAGATAAAATCTTCTCTGGATATTTTGTAGAGAGTAGAAAGATTAATACTTCTAGCTGAAGCTTTTCTAGATAACCCTGAGAAGAACGAGATCTCTCCAAATAGACTCTCATCTGTTAGAGTTTAAATCACAGTTACTTTATCTTATTTCTATACTGATTGTTAATAGACTTCAATGACTCCACTTTAGATAAAATATATAGACATGTCATCATTCTGCTCTTCTCTGAAAATAATCTCGTTGGGATTTATTAAAACTTCTGTCATTTTAAATACTAATTTATCCAAAGTTTGCTTAGAAAAATTTGAGCTAAAGATGTTAAATTTATTTAAAATTTTAGAATTTATTTCAACTGTTATTTCCTCTCTCAATTTATTTGATAAAATTGAAATAATTTCATCTTCAGCCTGCTTATCTCTATCTCTCTATTCCTAAGCTAAAAACGATAAGTAATGTCTTATTCTACTCTTCAAAGAAATATTAACTTTTTTTCTGTTTAGATACCTTAATTTATTTGATAAAAAGTGTAATTTAATATTAATAAAACAAATTTAAACTTATAAACAAATAAATATTTATTTTTCTTTTATTTATTTCTTATTTGCTTTAAGATTGAATGGTAAATAGAATTTAAAACATCAAATTTATTTATTTATTTTATATTATTTAATTTAGTACCTCTGCATAGTAGTTATTTTATCATTAAGCTATTTTGATGATTTTTCTATTTCTTATAAGATGAATCCTATGTTGTTGATTGAATAAGCAAAGACGCAACTAAACAAAAGCATAACTATAGAAATATATAAAGCTTCACCATAATTTGTTGCTGAAATGTCCCCATATCCAACTTTATTAAAAAAAAATCAATTTAAACTTAATTTATTAGTTTATTTTTTAAAAAAAATGTTTTTTTCAATTGATTTATTTTTAAAAGATTTTAAAGAATAGATTTTTAATTTGGCTTTTTAAAAATAATCAATAAATAAATAATTAATTAGTAAATAAAAACCTGTTGTCATAGTAGTTATTGACCAGTAAATAGAATATATATATTTTTGGTAATATACACCTTCAGAAATATTTAATTTAACTAACCAGTTCGTTTAGTTATCATTCACAACTTATAATATGCCAAGAAAATACCAACCAATTGCTGCTATATAGATAATAAAAAATTAATATAATGAGCAACTTAAATAATAAATATCTAAATTAAATCTAGCTCTTACCTAAATGTGCCACAGTGATAACACTAAATAATTAATTAATTAATTTTATTACATGCTTTTCACTTTCTTTTAGTGTAAAAACATAGTCAAATCCTTTTTTTTTTGAGGAAATTCCGTTTACTTTAAAAAATATTAGCATGTTAAAGCAGTATGTTAATAAATTGTGATTTGGATTATAAACTATGAAATTGCTTCTCTTAATTACTTTGATTCCTAATACAATAAGGCTAACGAAATCAGTGAAAAAAACAGTGGAAAAAATATACTATTTCGCTATTTATCTTCTATTAATTATTATTAAATCTTTGTTAAAAAAGGCAGTGTTGAAATTGACCAAAACATCAATTAAAAAAATAAAAAATGTGCAGAAATAAAACTCCTTTATGAATTCAGTATCAGGGTTGTCTTAGTTAAAAAACATAAGAATTGAGTAAAAATATAGGAAAATGTAAGTGAATAAAACTAATATGACATCCCAAACAACTCGTAAAGTGTCAGTTGGCATAAAAATAGGCAATTTTTAGCTTAACTTAATTACAAAGTTGAAGTGTTTCATAAAAGCTTTACTATTCCTCTTCTTTTTATGTGATTTATAAAAATTGCTTAAATCATTAATTGATGCGTAATCCCTATCAGTAAGATCATCAATTTTGCGGTTAAGATATCTAAGCTTAAGTAGCATAATAAAATTTCTGACATGCTGTCTTACTCTCATAATTCTATTCATCGATGTATTTAAAAGTCTATTTACAATTTCTGCTGCCTTCTAAAAGTTCTACTAGTATTTCTTTTCTTTGTGATTTTATATTTTGCTATCACTAAAGTTATTTTTAGCAACAAGAGTCACTTTTTTATTCAATTAATGGATGTTATTTTCAAATATAATATCTTCTGGTATCCATCCACAGCATTTTGATGGTATCTTCGAACTTTCATCTAATCGACTGTCACCCTTAATAAACTATTTATCTAAATTACAATCACTTATCTTTTTCTATTCTCTAATTGAGGCCTAAGATTTATCAATACTCAGTGTTTAGACTTATTGTATGCCATTTTTAAAGGATTATTTACTATTTTTAGAAACTTATGCAGTTTATTACACATTTTCATCTGTGTTAATAAATTTTTTTTATTCTTATTCATTCATTATGCTTGAAACTTAATCATTTTTTGGATTCTTAATTATGGGATGTTGCTCAAATATTTATGTTTCGTATCTTTCTTTATTAGAACGATTGGTTTATTTAATGTTACTCTCTGTATTCTGCTATAAATTATCAAAAACTGTATTGTTATTTTAAATAAACAAACTATTATTAGATAAGGAATAGTCTCCATTGAGTCCTAGTTCTAATTAAACGCACTTAGTCTCAAACAAATGTCTCTAACATTTTCTACTTAAATAACTTTCCTAAGGTGCTTACTACTCATCAGCTATAATGTTAATAGATTAATTTTATATAGAGCATTATGACTTTTGCATAGAATATATATATTATTTTTAATATTCAAGAGAAGGCACACTCATTTTTCTACCTATGAATAAATTGTTAATTTATTTATTTTTTTATTTAATTTTGATTATGCTATAATTTCAATTAATAATAAAGAAGCAGTTTTGATTAAACACTTTTTTTTATATATTAAAAGTTTCTCAAAGGAGTTTACTTATTTTTTGAAGCATCAATTATGAATAGCAATAGAATTCAGTTCTTATAAAGAATTACATAAAAAATATCATTATTCATATTCATTAATTCAAAATTATATAAAAAAATGCTGAAATAGTAAAAGCAACCATTTAAACATTATTTAAGTTTTAATGAATTATTAGTAATTTACATTAACAAAAATATAATTCCTAAATAAATTACATTTGTTTAACTGCCTATATTTTTGAGTATAGGAACAATTAGAGCTCATAAAAAGCTGAATAAAAATTCAAAAAATATATTTTACTAAAATTGACAAGTTGTTGATAGTAACCAAACAATTACTATGAAGCAGATATTATTTTTTTTTTTTAAATACTTATGTTTCCTATAAATAAATAAATAAATAAATAATAAATTTAGTTTTAAGGTTCTGTGGAAATCTTATAAGTAGATGATGTATTTTCTTTAATTTACTTACCTTATTAGATATATGATGTAGTTAGCGTTAAAGAAACAAAATCAAAAATTACAAATACTAAATTACTTATTTATTAACCTAATTAATTCAAATTTTTATCTCAATCTTTTTATGTTATGTTTTCACCTCAAATATAACTTCTCCTGCTTTGATTTAAATAACAGCTAAGGCACCACTTATTTTTCTTCATTAAAAAAAAGAAAAGAAATATGTATAGACTTGCTTCATTAAAAACTATTTTATAGAACATTTATTTATCCATTAATTAATCTCTAATTTTTAGATTCTCAAAAAACTAAAATCTCTTAATAATTAGTGATTAAAATATTTCAAAGTAATAAATTTATTTTTTTAATTAATTAATTAATTACTAATTATAAAATAAATTTCATACTATTTCTAAATATAAAATAATTGTAAATTTAGTTAATAAACTTGAATTTTGATAAAAATATATTTTTGTTAATATTTATTTAAGAAATTAATATAGATAAACCTTTAAAAAAGTTATTATTTTGTATTTTTTATCAGATATAAATAATATATTTGTGGACATATGCTTTTTTAAATTGAAATTAATTATTACCAATTACTTTAACAAATATTATTTTTACTAAAGTTTGAAAACTAAAATAAAAATCTAAATAAGTTAACTAATATAAAATGTATTAGTTAATTAATTAATTAATATTCAAGAAAATAAAGCTGATTAATTGTGATTAAATTTAGGAAACTGTAGTCCTCTTCTTTTGCTAACTCCATATGAAAGATAGGTTGGCCTATAATTATCTAAATTAAAATCTTATTATAATAATTTAATTTTTTCAGATGTCATTTCTCCATTAGTGTATAAACGTGTAAATAAAATATTTTAGCGACGTGGTTTATTTATTTACCTCTACTTTTTCATTTTTTTTTGCTCTGATTACATTAACTTCAATTTATTTAGAACAATGTCAAGGTTATTATGAGGGAAAAACTTTTTAAAATTATGCATTTTATCAAATACATCCATGCTGTTGCTATTATTTATTTAAGTCATTTCTCTAAAGCTCATTCCAGAAGTATACTAGAATAGTAAAGGTAGTTATGGATTCAGTAGCAACTTTGAAAGTCTCTCTACAATTTATAAATCATTGCTATTTACCATTTAGTTATTTTAAGCTGGCTATTATGTCTAATTTTTATTATTCTCATTCATTTCTTTACTAGTAGCTTTAAAAATAGGATTTTTATGTTATGAAGCTACTTTTGATTAGTGTGCACTTTTGTAACTATTATTTGTTTCCTCTTCAATAGGTTCTTTTATTGAGATCATTGAATTTTTTTTATTTTAATGATGACTTAAGTTTTATAGCAATATGCTGTTTCTTTTTTTATCTATCGAATTTGGTTCTAAATTTTTAGAAGGCTTAAAGGATTGCTCTTGTTACAAATTTAATTAAGATTAAAGTATATTATTAACTAAAATACCTTGCAATAAGATTTAATCTATTGAATTCCTATAATTATGTTATTCTTAGACGTTTTTAGTAATGTAATTTTAATTATTGTTCATTTAAGTTAAAAGGATACTTATCCTTTTGTTTTGTTAATTTAAATTTTACTCTTGATTTTTGAGATTTTGTTATATTTATTGCTATTCATCTTATTATATCTTAAAGGAGCTTCTTTTTATAAATTAATGTTATAAACCTGAACCTGAATAGCTTTACCTTTTTATCTACTGCTTTGAATAATCTAATTACGATTTATTATCTACACTTAATTCAGATGATTTTTACATTTTCATTTTTTTTATTGTTTGTATTTCTTTTATCTATCCTTCATCTTCAATTTTATAATTTTAGGAAGGATCTTAAGAATTTTACTCTAAATCCAATTTTGTTTGCGTGTAAGACTTAATTTAATATAAATCTGAGGTGATAAAGTTATTATTTGATAATTAATGACTTGTGTCTAAATTAGCATAACTTTTTTGTGGTTCGATGTCATCTAAAGATTTATCTTTATTAGAAAAATTAAAACTTTTAATATAGCTTTTTCTCTAATCAGGATTTTCATTTGCTAAGTTTGAAACCATATTATAAGTATTGCTTTAAGCATCTGAATTAAGTAAAGAATTAATATCCTCACCAAGCAAATTGCTATCTAAATATTTTTTAGAAGCTTCTTTTTTTTTACAAGTCTTCTTTTTCATTAGTGGGCTTTTTTTTTAATTATTAAAAGAAGATTTCATTGAAGTATTATCGGCATTTGTTGTAGGAGAATTAGAACTTGAAAGGTCTTCATCACACTCTTCGTATTCATCGTCTTCTTGATCTTCAGAATTATAATAAGAAGATCTTGTATATTGATCATCTGAATCAAACATAAGCTAAATTTAACTGTTCTCATTTTACAAATTTTACTTCAGCAGTTTACTCATATCTTAATTTTTAGAAATCAAATTGCTATTTATAAATTTTTTTTAATTATTATTTTTTTGTAAATATTATTTTAAAGAAATTTACAAAGGCCTGAAATTGTTTTTTTCTAATTTTCGTTCAACATAGCTTCTATACTGAAATATAGAGTATATTTCCTTTAAAACAATAAATTATTTATCTAAAATTTGGTGAGTCTTAGGACATTAACTTGAAATATGCCCTATTTATTAGCAATTGTAACATTCTACATGAAGCAATGGTAGTTCACCTTAAAAAATAATTTATTCCTAGATCATTTTAAATCTTTCATAATCTTCACTATTTTCATGAATGACTTCAATAAAATCTTCTCTTGAAATTTTGTAAAGTGTAGAAAGATTAATACTTCTAGCTGAAGCTTTCCTTGAAAGTCCAGAAAAAAATGAAATCTCCCCAAATAAACTCTCATCTCTTAGTGTTTGAATGACACTTGCTTTTCCTAATTTCTATATTGATTGTTAATAAATTTCAATCACTCCACTTTAAATAAAATAAATAGACATGTCATCATTTTATTCTTCTTTAAAAATAATCTCATTAGGGTTTATTAAAACTTCTGTCATTTTAAAAACTAGTTTATCCAACGTTTATTTTGAAAAATTAGAACTAAATATGTTATATTTGTTTAAAATCTTAGAATTTATTTCAATTGTTATTTCCTCTCTTAACTTATTTGATAAACTCGCTATAATTTAATCCTCTGCTTATTTGTCTCTATCTTTTTATTCTTGAGCTAAAAATGATAAATAGTGTCTTATCCTGCTTTTTAGTGAAACATTAACATTTTTTCTATTAAGATATCTTTAAATTAAAAAATATTTGTCAAATTTAATCCTAAAATATATTTTTAATTTCATTAATTATTTTATAAATTACTTAATACATAAAAAATAAACTTCTGTTCAATTAAAGTTTGTTATTCATACTTTAATGGAGGGAGGGGGGGGGGGGGGTTATGGGAAATTTTCAGAATGTTAAAATTTATGTATTTTAATAAAAATATTGAAGAAAGAAACAAAAATATATTTTTAAAATAATACCTCTGCATAGTAATTATTTTATCATTAAGCTATTTTGAAGATTTTTCAATTTCTTGCAATATAAATCCTATATTATTTATAGAGTATGCAAAAACACAACTGAAAAAAAGCATATTTATTGAAATATACAAAGCTTCTCCATAATTTGATGCTGTTATATCTCCATAGCCAACTTTATTGTTAAATAAAATTGAATATATTAAATATATTTTGACTCTTTATTTGTAATTTTTTTTTGCTTTTAAAATTTGTTTATTGTTAAGAATATTTAAAATTTAATTGACTGTTTAGATAGGTTATAAATACCTGTTGTCATAGTAGTTATTGACCAATAAATAGCATAAATATATTTATGATAATATAAATCTTCTTAGATGTTTAATTTATTTAACCAATTAGGTTAATTCATATTTAAATCTTCTTACACGCCCAGAAAATACCAACCAATTGCAGCTAATATAAATAATTATTTAAAAAAATAAAAATATATTAGAATATTATCTTGTATTTAAATTTTTACCTATATGTGCAACAGTAATAACGCTTAATAGTTAGTTAATCAGTTTTATTACATGTTTCTCACTTTCCTTAAGAGTAAAAACATAGTCAAAGCTCATTTTCTTCATTTACATTCCATTTGCTTTAAAAAATATGAGCATATTAAAACCATATGTTAGCAAATCGTGATTGGGGTTATAGACTATATAATTGCTTTTCTTAATGACTTTGATTCCTAATACCAATAGGCTTATAAGGTCTGTGAAAAAAACTGTTGATAGAATATACTATTTTGCTATTTACCTTCTTTTTATAATCACTAAATCTTTATCAAAAAATGCTGTATTAAATTTGATCAAAGCATCGATAATAAAAATAAAAAATGTGCAAAAGTAAAAATCTTTTATAAATTCAGTATCAGGAGTATCTGAAGCAAAAAACATTAAAATTGAGTAAAAGTAGAGGAAAAAATAAGTAAATAAAACTAAAACAACATCCCAAACAACTCTCAAAGTGTCTGTAGGCATAAAAATAGGTACCTTTTAGCTTAACTTAAATATAAAGTTGAAGTATTTCATAAACTTTTTATTATTCTTTTTTTTTTTATGTGACCTATAAAAATTGCTCAAATCATTAATTGAATTGTAATCATTGTCAGTCAGATCATCAATTTTGCGGTTTATGTACCTAAGCTTTAGAAAAATTATAAAATTTCTGACATGCTATCTAACTCTCATAACTCTATTCATTGATGTATTTAAAAGTCTATTTACAATTTCTGCTGCCTTTTAAAAGTTCTACTAGTACTTCTTTTCTTTATAATTCTAGGTTGCAGCTTTATTAAAGTTATTTTTTACAGCCAGAGTAAGTTTTTTATTCATTTCTTAGATGTTTTTTTCGTATATGATTTCTTCTGGTATCCATCCTACACACTCAGAAGGGGATTTTAAATTTACATCTTATCTTATCAAATCCATTTCGTTCTACTTATCAATCATCAAATCATTTTTCTTTTTTTAATCTTTAATCGTTGTCTAAGATTTCTAAAGTTTCTTAATTGAGCTTTCCTAAATACCCTTTTTAATATCCTTCATATCTTAGACATCGCTTTTAAATATTTTATTAAAAATATTTCCTTCATCTTAATTATTTATGTGATCTTAGCATTTATTAATTGTTTAATTGAGTGCAAGATTTTAATCAGAGATTTATGTTTCTTATCTTTATTTATCAGAGCAATTACTTTACTTAATCTTGGCTTCTTCTGTATTTTAGAATAGATTATCCAATATTGAGTTATTATTATTTAGCATAAATACACTATTGTTAGATATAGTTTGATCTCCATTAAGTCCTAGCTCTACTTCAGTGCATTATATCTCGAATAAATTCTTCTAACACTTTCTGCTTAATTAACTCTCTTGAGGAAGTTGCTGTTCATCAATTACGAAACCAATAGATTATTAGTTTTATAATGAAAACTATGATTTTTGATTTGGATATTTATTTTATTTATAGTAGTATTCCAGGGATGGCATACTCATTTTACCTAATTAATTTTTTATCTAAAATCTACTTTGTGAGTATATTTAATAATAAATCAAAAATAGCCTTTAGCTTCAAATAATATTAAGAGAATTTAATTGTTTTAAGAGTTAATTAAAAAAAAATTTAATGTAAATGAAAATGAATTTATCTAACTATTCAATTAATAATTTACATTTTATATAAATTTGCTTAATTTTAAATAAATCCGTATAGTTAAAGTGAAGTTAAGATTGCTCGTTCCTTATTACTTTAAATTCATGAGCAAAAGTAAATATTGACTCTTTAATTGATTTATTAATTTTTCAATTTTAAGTTAGACAAAGTTAACTCAAATAACTATTGATTCCCTCACTCACTCAAATAATCAATTTTAGATACATAAAATATTAAAATCTAATAGATATTAAATTATTAATTTTTTTGAGATGTAATTTATTTTTTATACTTCAAGAAACAATAAATTATTTTATTTACTTATTTATAACCAAAATTATATCATATTTCTTAAGCATAATTTATTAAATTATGTTATCTGCTTATTTTAATTTGAATAGAAATATAAATAAGCAAAAAAAGTATTGAAATTTATATAATTGATAGTAGTAATATATTTATTTATTTTTAAATCACAAAAATTCAGTTGCAATAATTAATTTCTCTATTTTATTTATTTTAATAAATTATAATATTGTATTCTTTAAATTAGCATAAAATTTTTTTATGAAGAATAGAAAGTTAAAGGTAAAGAAAACTGAATTAATTCAATACCTTTCAAATTAGGTGATTAATAATACTAAGAAAAAAGACATTATTTTTTAATTCATATCTTTTGCCAATTTTATTAAAAATTAAAAAAAAATATATTATAAATTAATTCATTATATATTTTAAAGTTTATTAACTTATTTTAAATCTAAACTACAAAAAAAATATATAAATTACTTTAATATTATGATTATATATTTTATTTTATACTACTAAAGATTCAAGCAACAATTTTCCTTTCTTTCAATTATCAATAGAGTAGGGTGTGTAGGGAGGATAAGCATAAATGTCAAAACCACTGCAAGTAAGGAAGTAAGGAGCATAAAAATACTTAAAGAAACATTTATTGAAATTGGCAATATACCTAACTTCTTCAGTAATATAACAATTGAAGAAGTAATCGTTTTGGTTAATCAAATTGGTGGTTTAAATATTTTGCTATTTATAAACAGAGTAGTCTTTGCAGGCTTAAGGAGCTTAAGGAGAATCAGTTGCAGCCATGAAATGTTTGTATGCATCAAAGAATCCTGAGTCCTGAGAGCAGGGAAAGTAGGGATAGGGATTAGGAAGGCTCTTAGTGCAATTAATATATTATTAGAAGTTAACAGGAACTAAGTTTTCAAGGTTACTCTTTTGTCCTTAGAATAAGTAGACTCCAGCTCCGATCAAAAGTAAGACAGGGAATAAAAATAAAACTTTGTTCATTTTTTTTTTTTGACTTATTATTAATTAATTTTTTTGTTTTTTTTGATAAATAGTTTATAGTATATTGAATTTAGATGAGTAGATATATAGCGAAGTACTTTATAATATTTAGCTTAACTAATATAATTATATAAGATTTATATTAAAAGAAATTCATTAATCTAAAATTAAATTGTATTAATAATACCTGAATTTTACTTTAGATTGCAAATCAAATCAAAAAGCTGAACTCTAAAGAATTGATAAATAATATTATATTAGAAATCTAATAAGACAAATTATACTATTAATACATAAGAAAAATGTTTATTATGTTTGATCAATAATAAAAATAATTATTTATAATTAATTAAAGGTTTTTATAAAAGATTTATTTGTAAACTTTACTCTCATAAAGACTTTATTATTGTTATTATAAATTAATTAAGATAATTGTTTATATTTAAACTATAGTTTTATTAATAATTTAAAATTACATAGATAGAATATAAATGCTTTCAGCCATATATTCTTATCTAAATCTTTATCAAATATCTTTTTGAATTGATAATCTCATTATTACTTTTTAAACAACTCCTCATAAAAATAAAGTTTAAAAAATAGTAAATATTTCTCCCTCCTTAAATGAAAGGATCATACTTTTTTTAAATATAATTTATTTTTATTAAAAGCATAGACAGATAGATAGATATTTAATCAAATAATAAAAATTGTATTTCTATTTGATCAGAAAATTTTTTATTATTTTTAATTAATAAAAGAAATGAATAGTAAGACTTAATTTAAGGTTTTTATAAAAGATTTATTTCAAAACTTTACTCTAACAAAGATTTTATTACTTTTATTGATTAAATTACATTATTAAAATTTAAAATTATATTTTTGTAAAATGGATTTAAATTAGGTTCATAATATTTATTGTCTAAATAAATATAAGAATACGGATCTAAATTTAGCATTTAAACATTTAAGATTACAAAAAAGTAAAAAAATTTTAATTTTATTAGTAATTATTCAAAATAAAACTAAATGATTTTCAAAAGAATATAATTTTTTTATTGCTTGGAAAATTTTCTTAATGTATAAAATATAAGTAGGTCTATAATTATAATTATTCAGTTCTTAAAATAAAATAATTATTAAAGCTTATGCCTTTTTAAATCTAGCATATTTAAAGCTTGCAGAAAAAAATTCGAATCAAATATGCTATGTTTGCTTAAATTTTAACATTTATTTAAGCTGATATCTCCTTTCAAAATTTATTAGATAGAATGGAATAATCAACATTTTCACTATTTATTTATTCTAGAGCTAAAAATAATAAATATGGTCTTTAATATTGATTTTTAGTGAAATATTAACATTTTTTATTTAAATGTCTTTTAATTAAAATTTATTGATTTATTTATTAATATAAAAAATATCAATTATATTTTTAAATTTGGTTAAATAATTTATTAAAGAATTACTTAAAATTTTCAAAATGTGCAAGCATCTATTAAATTAAAATTTTATTTTTAATACTTGAAGGAGGAGGATTTTTGCAGTTTTGCAAACTTTTACAAATCTCAACTAATAAAAGATTGAATTCATGAATTCTTTTTTTTTAAATTAATAGGTTGTTGATTATTAAAATTATAATTTTTATTAACTCTCACTTGATTTCTACGACTGAATAGAAATAATTTGCTAAATAGGTGATTGACGATTTTAGATCATCTATTTGATTTAGTTATTGTTAATAAACATATTCAATGTAAGTTTTTAATTATTCAATATCATTCAGTAAAGTATAAACTATTATTGAATTTTTTTAAACGGCTTTTGATAGAGTACAGGCTTAAATTAGCATCGGCTTAAAAGAAAACTATTACGGTAATAGTAAAATTTTATGAATATAAGAATGAATATTTGTATCTATTTAATTAATAAATTGAAATTTTTTTAATCTGTTTGCTTTTAAATAAATAGATAAAGTTAAAGCTAAGTTAAGATTTCTCTTTCCTTGCAACTTTAAATTTTAGCAAAAGTAAATATTGATCCGTTCCTTCATTTATTTATTAATTCTTCAACTTTAAGTTAATAAAATAAATTTAACTCAAATAACTATTGATTTACTCAATCCATTGTAGATAATGAATAAATAATTGATATTTAATATTCATTTAATTATTAAATATTTGAAATGAAATTTTTTTTTGGGATATTAGAATTTTTTTAAATATTGTAAATCTATACTTCAAAAAAAGCAAAAATATTTTCTTTACCATTTAATCACCAAAATAATATCTTTTCCTTTATATTAGCTTATTATGAATTTCTATCATTAAAATTAGATTATTTATGAGAGCAAGTATGACTATCTTTATTAGTAAACAAAAACTTTCAATTTATCTTTTTTTAATGCCTTTTAATTAATATTCTTTTCTAAAATTTTAAAATTATTATATTCAAAAATATTCTCTCTTCCAATGAATTATAAGTATATTTATTATTTAAAGCATTTTAAAATAAAAACAAATTATTAAATATGTCTCTAAGTTGATAACAGATAGGATAGATTCAGAACTATTTAAAAGTTTTAGTATCTCATCTAGAATTAGTTAAAAAAATTAAAAACTAATAAATAGTAATTTAATAGCATAACTGACTAATTGAGCTATAAAATGATTGAAATTATACAAAAAAAATAAAATTTTTGATCCTTAATTAAAATCAAACTCAAATAATTTAAATAGGTTTAAAAGAGCTTAAGTAATTCAAACATTAATTTAATACAATAAATTTAAGCAAAGTAGTATTTAGATATCTCTAATTCCTAAAAGAAATAATAAATAGCTTGTGATAAAAATATGTATTTAATAAAACTTAGTTTATAAAATTATTTGATTATGTTTATATAAACAAATAGTAGGAACTTAAAAGAATAACTTTATTTTATATTTTAGAATATGAAAAACAATATCATAGAACTTGATGGATAGATAGATAAATACTTACTTGCTTGCTTTCTTGCTTGCTTGACAAGAATGTAATAATCTTAAAATAAGAATAAATAAAAAAAGAGCATTAAATATTAAATATTATTTAAAACTGAAATTTTATTTCAATTATTGTTTAGCTTTTAATCAATGAAAATACTGAAGAGTTTTTCATAATCATAATTTATTAAATTTTGTTACCCAAGTTCCAAGTTGAAATAAGCAAAAAAATTATTTAGATTGGTCTAATTAATCATAACGATATATTTTTTTATATGCAATATATCAAAATAAAATTTAGTTGAAATTATTTTCTCTCTTTTATTTAAATAAATTTAGGTTTTTTTATTATTTCACTCTCTCTTTAAATTATGATAAAATTTATTTAATGATTAATAGAAATTTAAAGAAAAATAAAAATGAAATCAATATCATTTAAATTAGATGATTGATATTAATGCTAATAAAATGACATTATTTATTTCCAATAATATAATTGAAAATATATCTCTTTTGTTTGCTTTATATTTTTGGAGTCTTTAAATTAAAAAGCAATAATGTATAAATATATAAATTCGTTCTAAATTTCAAGTTTTTTTTATTTATCTTAAATAGCAACCACAATCATATGTAAAATATAAATTGCTTTTAATATTTCTAATATATATATAATTTTTCATTACTTCTTTCTTTCAATTATCAATTGAGTAGGGAGTGTAGGGAGGATAAGCATAAATGTCAAAACCAGCGCAAGTAAGGTAGTAAGGAGCATAGAAATGCTTGAAGAAACACTCGTTAAAATTGGCAATTTATCTAACTTCTTCAGTAATATAGCAATTGAAGAAATAATTGTTTTAATTAATCAATTTAGTGGTTAAAATATTATACTACTTGTAAATAATGTAGTTTCTGCAAGCTTAAGGAGAATAAGTTGCATTCATGAAATGATTGTAAGCATCAATGTATCCTGAGTCTTAAGAGCAGGGAAAGTAAGGATAGGGATTAGGAAAGCTCATAGTGCAGTTTTCATATTATTAGAAGTTAACAGGAACTAAGTTTTCGAGGTTTCCCTTTTGTCCTTAGAATAAGTAGACTCCAGTTCCGATCAAAAGTAAGAGAGGGACTAAAAATAAAGTTTTGTTCATTTTTTTGTTTATTTTTAATTAATTTGTTATTTTTTTGAAAAATTATTTATTATATAATATAATAGATAGGCACAATTATAGCCCAGCCTACAATAATAAACCCAACCCTAACCATATTTTAAGCAGAAATACGTGTAAATTTGATCAAATTGGATTTTCTTAAAATGAGTTCACATTCTCAATATCCTTTATATTATATATCTAAAATTTCGATGAGGGTTTATATACTGAGATATTTTATAATAACGAAACTAACTTATATCATTAAATAAAATTTAAATGAAAAGAAATTCATTAATCTAAATTTAATTTAATAATATGACCTGAATATTATTTTAGATTATAAATTGCTACAAAAATATTCAGCTAAAAATAAACAGCATCAAAGATAAATTATTTTAAAGGAGAAATTTTATAAGAGAAATAAAAACATTCAGTTATTACATAAGAAATATTTTTATTATGTTTGATCAATAAAAAACAATTAATTAAATGCTTTAATAAAAGATTTATTTTCAAACATTGGTCTCATAAATGCTATATATTTATTATTATTTAGATAATTGCTCAAATTTGAAATAAATTTTATGAAATAATTCAAAATCATATTAATATATATAATTGATTACAGCATATACTTGTATTTAAATCATATATCTTTTCGAATTGATAATCTCATTAAATTTTAAACAATTCTCCATATAAACAGAATATTGATAACTTTCTCCTTAAATGAAGGGAATCAGGTTTCTTTTCTGATATGACTTATATTTATGAGTTTTAAAAATATAGATAGATGATATGAAAAGATAGAAGTTTAATCAGATAATCAAAATTATATTTTTGTTTGATAAGAAAATTTTTTACTATTTTTAATTTGTAAAAATATATTTAGTCACAATTAATTTTAGGTTTTTATAAAAGATTTATTTCATATTATTAACAAGGATTTTATTGTTTTTATTTGTTGATTAATTATCATAGTAAAATTATATGTTATAAAAGGATTAAAATTAGATTCTTACATTTATTGTCTACATAAATATCAGAATACCAATATAAATTTAGTATTGATTTATTTAAGTAGGCTAAAAAGTAAAAATGTTTTATTTTTCAAGACTTTTATTTCAAAAAATGTAGTAAATTTTAGCAATATTAGTAAAATTTAAAAATTTAATGACTTTCAAAATTATAAATTTAAATTAGGCTTATTACTTGGAAATTATAATCTTCTTCTCTTACTAACTCCTGTGAAAGATAAATACAACTAAAAAAAAAAAAAAATTATTAAAACTTTTATCATTTAAAAACTAGTTTATTCTATTTCTGTTTAAAAAAGTTCAAACTATATATGTTATATTTGTTTAAAATATTAGAATTTATTTCAACTGTAATATCCTCTCTTCACTTTTTAGAAAGATTTTCTAAAATTTAATCCTCAGCTTTTATTTGTCTCTATCTTTTTTATTAATGAGCTAAATAGAAATGATAAATAGTGTCTTATCACATTTTAGTGAAACATTAGCACTTTTTCTATTTTGATATCTTTTTAATAAAATAAATTCATCATACTAAAAATCTTAAAAATATTTTAAAACTTGGTTAAATATATTACAAACAAACAACTAAAGTACTGTTTTCATTAGAAATTTTATAATAATTCTAAAGCTGGTACATAAACAGTAAAATCAAGGATCTTACTGATAGTATTTACAACACAATTAATTAGTTGATCAATTATTATAGGTCACACAATAAAAAGAATAATAAACAAGTTACGGAACTATTCAATTTTATTTTTAAAATAAGCTAAAAAGTTCCTATTTTATGCCATCAGACACTTTAAGAATTGTTTCAAATTATGTTTTAGTCTTATTTTTTTATATTTCCTCTATTTTTACTCAATTTTGATGTTTTTTTAAAAAGAAAATCCTGATAAAGGTATATATATTAAAATTAATTTTTATAGCTAGTGGAAATTTTTTATAATCTCTTAGATCATTTCTTAACATATCCATCCCCCATACTCTTAAGGTTATTTAAATTGATGTCTTTCCTAGCAAAATTCTTCTCATTTTAGTATCAGTTATCAACATATTTATCTACTTTAAGTCTGAAAAAAATTATTTAAATATTCTGGCTTTAATCTTACGAATATCTTTTTTAAGATTCTTCATATCTTATTTTTCTTTTTAAATGTTATTAGAAGTATTAATTTCATCTTTATAATTAATGTCACTTAAAAATTTTTCATTAAAATATTTAATATAGATACGTTTGCCTTATCTATATATTAAAATATGAATAAGAGTACCCATTCCCATAGATATAAATTAATTTTGTTGTTTTTTAGGATCTCTTTCATAATGTAATTTAGAAAAAATATGATATATATAAATTTGATATAAATATAAGAAAGTTTAAATTAAATTTTTTGATTTTAAATTTGCGGTTTAAACAATAAAATATATTAACTTAATTTTAATTAACGTAAGTTCTTTTACAAAATTTTGTAGTAAATAATTAATTTTTATTGTTATTGCTTTAATAATGTGACAAAAAAGTAAAAAAATGTTTACTTTTTAATAACTTTATTTAGAAGATAAATGTTAAATAGAAACTCTATCAATAAACACGAAAAAATTGAATAATTATCAAAAATATAAAGTTAAGTTATGATTATTGCTTGGAAATTAAAACCCTCTTCTCTTACTAACTCCATATGAAAGATAAGTAGGTCTATAATCATCTATATTTAATTCTTATTATAAAAGCTTGAAATTTTCATGAACCTATGATGAAGGGGAGCTATAGAATCTTGAGAATAATATATTTTAGCGACGTGGTTTATTTATTATCTTCTACTTTTTCATTTTTTTTTACTCTAGTTGCATTGTTTTCAGTTTATTAAGAACAATTTCTATGTTATTATGAGGGAAAAATTTTTTAAAGTTATGCATCTTATCAAACGTATCCATTTGATTATTATTATTTATTTATGCCATTTCTCTAAAACTCATTCCAGAAGTTAATTAGAGTAATAATGGTAACTATGGATTCAATAAAAGCTTTGAAAGCCTTTCTACTAATTATAAATCATTATTACATGGAGCTTAGGTATTTTAAATCTACTGTGATTAAGTCCGCTATAATTTGATATCATTTTCATTACTTTTATCATCATCCTTAGTAGTAGTAGAATTGTCATCATTTTTATTAATGCTACTCAAAGCTTTAATTATAGAATTTCTATCTTTAGATTATTTATTCTTTAGTTTAGCTATACTTTTGTAACTAGATATTACTGGCTCCTCTTCTATTACTTCTTTAATTTAGAGCATTGAACTCTTTTTATTACTAAGAGTTAAATTTTGTTATATGATACTATTTTTCTTTTTTTCTAAACTAACATCAAAGTTTTTCGAAAATTTAAAAGATTATTCTGATTACAAATTAGCTTAGGAGGAATGCGATTAAATCAAATTGTTGACTAAAATTCCTTGCAGTAAGATTTAATCAATCGAACTTCTGTAATTTATTTACTCTTAGCTGTTTTTTGTTGTTATATTTTAATTATTGTTAATTTGATTGAGAAGGACGCTTATTCTTTTATTAGATTAATTAATATTAAGTTCTTATCCTTTTAAGCTTGAATTATTCATGTTTGATTAAAAATCATCTTGAACCTTAAATGAGCTTCTTTTCAGGTGCAGCTATTGCAAGCTTTAACTCGTACCACTCTATCTTTTAATTTATTATTTAGAATAATCTTTTTAGTGCACAATATCACAGCTTAATAAACTTGATTCTGCCGATTTTATAGTTTTAGTTTTTTTATTCGTAAATGCTTCCTTAGTATATTCCTCTTCTTCAAATTTAAAATTTTAAGATTAATCATTTACGGTCTACTAGTTCAAATCTGAGTCAGTTTTTGTTGAAGTTTATTATTTATGATTCAGATCTGAATTAAAATAAATATTATTTTATTCTAAAAATTAATTGCTTTTTATTTATTCTACTTCTTCCATGGATTTTCCACTCTTGAAATAGTTTTGATTTTTAATTTGATTTTTCAACTATTCTATATTATCATTAATCATATTCGAGTTCGTTTTATAACTATTGCTTTATACTTCTGGATTAAGATTAGAGATTATGTCTTCACAAATCAAATTACTATCCAGATATTTTTTAGAAACTTCTTTTTTTTTACCAATTTACTTTTTTTGCATAGAATTTTATTTTTAAAAATTTGAAGATGATTCCACTGAAGCATTATCAATGTTTGTGTGTGATTTAGAATTCGTACCTTCATCACCCTAATCTTCGTATTCTTCACTATCAAAATCTTCAGAGTTGTAATAAGATGATCCTGTATATTTTTCATCAGATTCAAACATATTTAAAAATTGGCAATCCTCTTCTTAAAAATTCTATTTTAGCCTGTTGCTCATTTCATAGTTTATTTAAATTAAATTTCTTTATATTTTATTTAAAAAATTTAAATAATTTATAATAAATAATTTTTTAAAAATTAAATTTACAATGGCTTGAATTTATTTTTCTCAAAATTTCGTTAAATATTTTTTCTTGACTAAAACAGTGAGTAGATATCTCTTAAAATAACAAATTGTTTATCAAACATTTAATGAGTTTTAGGGCATTAATTAGAAATATGCCCAACTTACTAGCAATTATAACATTCAATATGAATTAAAGATAAATCTCCTTAAAAAATAATTTATTCTTAAATCATTTTAAATCTTTCATAATCTTCATTATTTTCTTTAATTACATCTATAAAATCTTCTCTTGAAATTTTATACAAAGTAGAAAGATTAATGCTTCTCGCTGAGGATTTTCTGGATAGTCCAGAGAAGAATGAAATATCTCCAAAAATACTATTATCTGTAAGGGTTTGAATTACATTTGGTTTTTCTAATTTCTATATGGATTGTTAATAAATCTCAATAATACCTCCTTAAATAAAGTAAATTGACATGTCATCATTTTACTCTTCTCTAAAAATTATCTCATTGGGATTTATTAAAACTTCTGTCATTTTAAAAACTAATTTGTCCAAAGTTTATTAAGAAAAATTAGAAGTAAAGATGCTATATTTGTTTAAAATCTTAGAATTTATTTCAACTGTTATCTCCTCTCTTAATTTGTTAGATAATATTTATAGAATTTCATCTTCAGCTTATTTATCTCTATCTTTCTATTCCTAAGCTAAAAATGATAAGTAATGTCTGATTCTACTCTTAAGAGAAATATTGACATTCTTTCTGTTTAAGTATCTTCATATAAAAATACAAATAATTTAAAGAATGTTATGAAATATTTTTTCATATAGTGTAGTAAGTAAGTAATTAAGTAATTCTTATTAAATACTCAAAACACCCTTTATTATTTTTTTACAAAAAATTTTGATTAGGGTAGGATATTAATTATTTGATGTTGTAATTAAGAAGTGCATATAGTATATTTTTATTATTCTTATTTATTTATTTATTTATTTATTTATTTATTTATTTATTTATTTATTTATTTTATAACTCAAAGGAATATAAAGAATGCGAATTGTGATTAAAAATTAAAAAAATTAGATATAAAGAACAATTTATTTATTATAGTCATCAAAAAAAATATACCTCTAAATTGTAGTTATTTTTTCATTCAGCTATTTTGAAGATTTTTCTATTTCTTATAAGATGAATCCAATATTGTTGATTGAGTAAGCAAAGACACAACTAAATAAAAGCATAATTATTGAAATATATAATGCTTCTTCATAATTTGTTGCTGATATGTCTCCGTAGCCAACTTTATCAATACAAAAATTATTGAAAAAAACACTATAATGCTAATATAAAAACAAATAAAAGTTTTCTAAAATGAATTTTGAGTTCATTTTTTAGAATAAATTTTTTTTAGAAATATAAATTATAATTGTTGATATTATGAAAATAATTAGATTAGTAAATAAAAACCTGTTGTCATTGTGGTAATTGACCAGTAAATAGAGTATATATATTTTTGGTAATATACTTCTTCTGATATATTTAATTTTTCTAGCCAGTTTACTTAGTTTTTGCTCACAACTTCTTACACGCCAAGAAAATACCATCCTATTGCAGCTATAAAAAAATGAATATTTTGAATTTATTATAAATATTATTTTATTTCAATAAAATTTTAGATTTTACCAATATGAGCAACAGTAACTACACTAAATAGCTAGTTAATTAATTTTATTACATGCTTTTAATTTTCTTTTAGAGTGAAAACATAATCAAATCTCTTCTTTTTTATGGATATTCCATTTGCTTTAAAAAATACAAGCAAATTAAAGCAATATGTTAACAAATCATGGTCGGGATTGAATACAATATAGTTGCTTCTTTTAATAACTTTAATGCCCAATACCATAAGGCTCACAAAGTCAGTAAAAAACACATTTGAAAAAAAATATTGTGAGGCTATTTATTTTCTTTTAACAATAATTAAATCTTTGTCAAAAAAGGCAGTGTTAAAATTGATCAAAACATCAATAATAAATATAAAAAATGTGTAGAAGAAAAATTATTTTATGAACTCTGTATCAGGATTTTCTTAGTTAAAAAACATCAGTATTGAGTAAAAGTAGAGGAAAATATAGGTAAAAAAAACTAAGATAGCATCCCATACTACTCTTAAAAGGTCTGTAGGCATAAATATTGGTATTTTTTAGCTTATTTTTAATACAAAGTTGAAGTAATTAATACATTTATTGCTATTCTTTTTTTATTTTTGTGATTTATAAAAATTGCTTAAATCATTTATTGACATGTAATCGCTATCAGTGAGATCGTCTATCCTACGATTCATGTACCTGAGTTTAAGAAGCATTATAAAATTTCTGACATGTTGCCTAACTCTCATAATTCTATTCATTGATGTATTTAAAAGCTTATTTACAATATCTGCTGCCTTCTAAAAGTTCTACTAGTACTTCCTTTCTTTATAGTTTTATGTCTTACTTTAAGTAAAATTATTTTTTACAACAAGAGTAACTTTTCTACTCAACTCGAAGATATTTTATTCATATATAATATCTTCTGGTATCCAACCTCCGTTCTTTGACACCTGCTTTTAACATAAATCTGGTTTACTATCAACCTTATCAAGTTGATTATCAATTTTAGATTTTATTTAATTTTAGTCTTTAATTTAAGTCTAGGATCTCCATATGCTTGGTCGCTTTGGTTCCTCTTTAATTCCTATTTTTATTTTATTGTTGCTCTTTATAGATCCGCTAGTGTTTTAGCTATTAACTTACTTTTTATTAGTAGAATTATTTTTTTTTAAATGGTTGTCCTAGTATTAATCATTTGTTAAAAGCACAATAGGTTATTACTCAGATAATGTTTCGTTTCTTTCTTTATAAGGGCAATTTGTTTCTTTTACATTTCCTTCAGTATTCTACTAAACATTTTCAAAGAATGAGTTATTGTTGTTATTTACAATAAATAGGCTATTATTAGAAATCGTTTAGTCTCCTTTGAGCCCAATTTCTATTTCAGTGCACTTTATCTCAAATAAATTTCTCTGGCACTTTCTACTATTATAGCTCTCCTAGGGGGCTTGGTGTTCATCAGCTAGGATCTCTAGAGATTAGTTTTACATAGAAAATTATGATCTTTAATGAGAATTTTTATTTTGTTTTTAGTAGTCCATTGATAGTTTACTTATGCTATTGTTAATCAATCAATAATTGATTTTTGATTATTTATTGCCTTGAGTTAATTTTCCTTAAACTTATTTGGATAAAAAAATTTTTTGATTAAAAAACTTTACCTTCATTTAAATTTATAAAAGTTAATATAATTTCTTAAGTATAAGTTATAGTTGATACATTGCTTTTTATTCATATATAAACAAATTATAAAAAATGAGAATTTTCAGATTATTTAGGATGTAATTAAAATTTTAATATTTAATTTCAGAATTTTCTTTATTATTATGAATAAATTTTATGTTAACATAATTTTGGTGAGTATTATATAAAGGACATTAAAAATTTTATAATGAATTATTTAATTGAACCATATATTTATTGATAATTAGTTGATATTAAATTCATACATATATTTTTTAAACAAACTATTTTTATTCAAATTTGTTTGACTGGATTATTTTAAGGTATAAGAATAGATAAAGCTTAATACATACTGACTATATGCTTTTAGAAGCGTTACTCGTCAAAATTAAGTTCTTTTACTACTTTATCAGGATAATATATTTTTTTGTCTTCGATAATAGTTCCTTTTTAGTATTTACATTTGCTTTAAAAATAAATCAAATAAATGGCTTTAATTTAAAAATACCCTAAGGAAGTTTAACACATGCTCCTATGGTGCATTTATCTTTAATTTAGCAATCTTGTTCCACGCTACCTAATAAAATAAGTAAATATAACTTTAAACCTAGCATGAAACTAATTAATACTCCTTGGTTCAAAATGATTCATATTTCCTATATCAGAAGTATCTATTTTTGATCCTACTTCAAACAAATTGTATGATCCAATAAACATATTCTTATTTTTAGCTGGATCCTTACTTTTCTTGTTTACGATTGAAACTCTTTCCTTTAAATAAATATTTAAAAATGTAATATTCATTTTTTTAGGTTGGCTTTTAAAATTATGTTTACTTCAATTATGTTATAATCTCCAAATATAATGTCTCCTCCTTCAGCTAAAATAGTGCAATTTGGGTGAATTATGCATCCTTTTTTATCAATATTACAGTATTTTTTACTGATTTTATTTTAAAATAATTTACCTTTTCCAAATTTCACATTTCCTAGAATCTCGCTCTTCTAACTTAAGATAGTAGCTGTAGTTTTCTATTTTTCTTCCGTCATTTTAAAAAATAAAAGCAATTAAATAGCTTAAATAAGATATGTATTCTTAATTTAAAAATAATTTAATATAAAAATGCTCATAAATTACAAAGAAAATCTAAATATTATTGAAAAATAAAATAATTTATTTTAATATAGTATCAGATTTAATAATAAATTAATTTTAAATAAAAGAAACCACTGAAAAAAAATTCCATTTAAAATATAAATAAATGCATTTTTTAACAAATTTTGATATTTAATAATTCCTTTATTATGTTTTTTTAGAATTTTATTTAAAAACATGAATAATCAATCAATCATCCAATCAATACTAAAAATAAAAAATTTATTATAAAATTTTATTTAGTTAATATTTTTATATAATATATACAAATAATTTGTCAAAATATTTATTAAAATTAATGTTTGTTTATTCATATTCATATTACTATCATTTTTTCATCAATTTCCCAGTTATCTTCATCTTGATTACTCTTTTATTAACTAGATTTTCTTTTTTGTATTTTTGTATTGCTTCCCTCTTCTTATTCTTCAATTGAATCTTGTGATATAATGTTAGGATCTTCATTTAAGAATTACTAATTGCTTTCTTCTTATTCACCAATTTAAGCTTGATTATTTATTTACTACTTTACATCATTAAGAGATTGTTATTATTGCTCGATCGAGTATTGTATTTTTTCATGTAACTAATAAATTAAAAAATATAATACTCTCTTTTATATTTGTGTATCTGCAGGAAGATTTTTTATTGCACCAGTTTAAGCTAGCTTTTAAATTTGTTGCTAAATATTTGCTGTATCTTCAAAGACATGAAAGTTTGTGAAATCATCTCTCTCTATCATTATAAGCTATTTAGGATCTTTAGCGAAATAACTTTATAAGCTATTTTCTATAAATTCAATCTGCTCATTTAAAAACTCAATGTTATCTTCATTATTCTAAATACTATTTTCATATTCTTTTAACAAAATAAGAAGGCTTACGACAGCATTTCTTTTTTACTATAATATTTCTTAATCATTATTTAATTTTTCTTCGCTTTTAATACAACTCATTTCCTGCTCTACTTATTTTTCTGATTATTCTTCTTTGTTATTTTTGATGTTAGCTAATTATTCATTATTTATTATACAAAAAAATTAAATATTTTTTATTCGCTTTTATTTATATACTTTTCAATGTTTTTATATCATCATCCAGCTAATAAACCATATTTGAAAGCTCATTTTTATATAGCTATACAACTTCTTTAGACTTTTTTAAAAATTAAATATTCTATGTAAAAAAAAATAATTTATTTATAAATTTTAAGTACCTTTTCTTTTATAGTATTAAACCAGCCAAGCATCTCTTTCTAATTTTTAATTATCTATTTTTGTTTATTAATTTCTAAATATCAAATTTTTTATATCAAAAATCAATATATTTTTTCTAAATTTTAAGAAGAAAAGCAATAATTTATAAATTTGATCAAGCAAGATAAATCTGATAATTAATAAAAGAAAATGAATAAAAATAAGCAGCATTCTCTATACACAAATCTATTTTTATTTTTTTGTATTCAAAAATATAAAATTAATTAAATACAACTAATATGTTAAAATAAATATTAACTTTTTTCTAATATTTCAAATCACAATAATTAAATTTAATATATCAAATTTTTTAGAAGGATTAGCTTATTCTTATTTTGTAGATATAATTAAGCATCAGGAGATCATTATATAATATATAAGTAACAAAAATAAAGAGTTTCTTCTTTTATCTTTTATAAATACTTATAAAAATATATTTTATAATTTTTATGTTATTATTAATTTTAATGATAAAAATTAGCGAAATTTAGATACATATTAATAATAATAAAATTTATAATAATTTAAATTAAGTATAAAATAATAAATGACTTAGATTTTTAGCAATCTCATCAGCTTATATGAATGAAAACATAAAAGTATATTGATTTCAAGCAGTATTTTATTTTTTTAAATTTGTTTTTAGATATATATATCAAATAAAATTATAAAAAACTTTTCTATCAAATAATCAATCAAAATAAAAATAATTTTCTTAATATTGTCTTTTTAAACTATGAATTTATTTAAAATATAATGAAGTATACTCCAAGTTAGTTTTTTGCATAAATTAAAAAAAATATTATGAATTGAGGCTAATATTAAAATAAAAAATTTGGCATTTAAAATATTAATATAATCAAATGTACTATGAATACCATAAATTTTTGACCTTTATTAAAATATACCAATTAATATTTACCATTGATTTAAAGGGATTTGAGAGAATTATTGAAAATAAATTATAAAAAACATTAACTTATATATATTAATTGAATGGACTAGTGTGGTTTGCAAAAATAATAAAATTTAATACAGATTCCAAGTTTTATTATATTACTAATATTCAATAGCAATCAAAATTAATTGATTAGCTAATATTTTAATTGATATTCTTCATTAGTTAGTTGGACATAATAATTATATATATATACAATTACTCAGTTATTAAATAGAGAATGATCTATGATCAATCAATCAATCAATCAAATAATTAATAATTTATATTGAAATCAAATGGAAAAAAACAACACATCAAATATTATTTATATAGATTGATTGATAAATATAATACATTAAAAATATTTAGATACCTTTTAAATAAAAAAAGTAATAATAAATTAATTGTTAGGTAAAAAGAACTATAAAAATGTCAATGTCATAAACCTTGTGTAATTTTTCTGTTACGAACCCTTCTCAGATTATGAACCATCCTTTAAACACATCAAAATCAAAATACTAATATTCTTTCAGCAAATCAAACCGTTTTGACAAAAATAAGTCTTAGTAAAACATTGTTGATCAATGAATATTTATTTTTAATTATTAATGCATCATATAATTTCTACATTCACACTATTGTTCAAAGTTCTGAATAATTATTTTAAATAACAGCTGCTCTGAGGCATATTACAACTAAAAAGATCAAAAAGAGAAAAGATCAGCGGCATTTGGATATGGAACTAAATATGATTTTACAAAGACACAAGTCTACTCTCCCTCTCCAGATTCATATGAAACGAAATCAGCTTTTGAAAAGTAAAGGTCTTCTTAAAGAGGAAAATCATTTGGTCTTTCACGTGATGTAAAATTTAAATATGAAGCAAATCTGATCAATCAAAATAAATTTATATTAAAAACAGAATATGAAAGAATTTAGCTATATCACCTAAGGTCCTCTAAAAAATCCTGGCCCTGGTAACTATCAACACCCAGAGACTCTTAGAACTGAAGGCTTTTCTATGAGACCAAAGACAACTAATTTATGTAAAAATAGTTATTTAACAAATAGAAATAAAGGTAAAACTATTAAAAAAAGATAATCCCGTTTTCCTTGATGGAAAATAATCATACCAAACTAATCCTGGTCCTGGAAGTTACGTACATAAAGACACTATCACCAAATTAGGTAGATAGACTGTATCTAATTTTAGAAGCTCTGGTGCAACAACCTTTAATCCTCCTACCTCAAAAAGATTTGGTCCAATAAGTAGAGCATTTTATACTTTTTAAGCATTTAAACTATTCTATTAAATTTAATTCAAATAATATAATAATTTTAAACAAAAATTTATTTACTTTAAATAGAATCTGCTGCACCTGGACCTGGTACCTACTAACCTAAAAATGACTTAAACTCTAGTGGACAATATGTATTAAGTTACAATAGAGGAGATGGAACAAGAGCATTTTCTAATTAAGTAAGAAGATCATTTACAGATATCTAAGCAAATAAATCATTCAGTATTGAAAAATATTCATTTTTGTATTATAATTTTGATTAAACCAATATTATATAAAAATAGCACCTGGACCAGGCAACTATAGAATTCCAAGTGATTTTGGTAATTACGACCACATAAATTTATATAAAACTAGTTCTGATTTTAACAGCACCAAAAGATCATTTAGCAAGCATAATACTTCTAACTTATACTGAAACTGACAAATAAACTAACAAAAATAAATAGATAAATAAATAAATTGAAACATACTTAATAACTATGATAAATTAATACATAAATGAATAAATAATAATTTCAAATACTCATGTAATTACTATATAAAAAAGATCTTTGTTAATATAAAATAAATAAATCAACCATTCAAATTAACACATCTAAATATTCTATTCTCTATTAAATATGAATCATACACAAGTTATATTAATTGAATTTAACAATCTTTTTCAATGAAATAATTGATGAATAAACAAATTAATTTAATTGTAAACCAAATTTTTCTTTAAAATTGACAAATAAAATAAAAAATTTTATAATACCACTAAAATAATCAATAAATAATTAATTAATTTTTATAATTTTAAGATTCACTTTTGAATAGAAAGTTAAATTTATAAATATTTAAAGTAATAATTTTAATTTTTATTAAATATTATTCAAATAAGTGGAATAAATAAAATAAATTTTAATTCAATTTGATTTTTATTAATTATAAATTTTTTAATATTTTTGATTATTTTAATAGATAAATAATAATTTATTGAAACTTATTTCAAAGATTTAATTTTTTTAAAAATAATAAACATTATAAATAAATATTTTAACTTATTTGCTAACATTTTAAGATATTTATTTTACTCTAATTCAAATCTGAAAATCCTATAAAAACAATTAAGAAAATAGGTAGTATTTATTTGCGCCAAAGAAAAAAATATTAAATAACAACTCCTATCAGAATTAAATCAAGATGACAATTTTTGATTAATTGAATGTGTTTTTATATTAAGGGCAAATAGAATTTTGAAATTAATTTGAATCAGTCAATAAATAAATGGTAGATGATATTATATTTTTTGTATCAATACATAATTAAATAATTTACTATTTATTTATTAATTAATTTGATTATTATTACAAAATTTGAAATTAAATTTTGGCGTATTTTGGCTTCAAATAAGATTTCATCATAAAGTTTAGAATCATTTGTATATTAATTTATAAGATACAAAATTTAAGATATTATTAGGTAGGTATGAATAGTTTTAACTAAAGTAGTAGTAATAATAATAAAGAAAATGTGGTTAATCTTGGCAGCTCAGCCAAGCCATCAACTGCTCCACCTGCTGCTTCATCAGCTCTCAGTTTTAGAGTAAGTTAACTTAGCAATTAATTTTGAATTAAGGAAAATTCTTACGTTTTTATAGGAAAAATTAGAATAGTAATTGAAAAAAGCTAAAGAATTGTAAAAGTTAGCATAAATAGATTTAGAAATTACTAAAAAAGATAGCGTTAAAAAAGATGAGCCAGCTCCAACATTAAGTACAAACATCTAAAATCCAACAGCTTAATCTTCAGTAACAACAACTCCATCAAGCAATTAAGTTCCATCAGTTTCAATGGTTTCCTCATTTTCTTCTAGATTTTCATCTATCTTATAGAGAGATTAAAATAAAACATCATTAATAAATACTCCTTTATCTACAACTTCTACTGCTCCATCCACTTTGCCTGCTATAACAGAAAATAAATTTAGCGCAATAAGTTCAAGGTTAAGCTAGTTAAGAGAATCATTAAATTAGACTCTTTCTAATTCAGAAATTAAATTACCTTCTTAGCCTGTGTCATAAAATAATAGAGAAACAAAAAGCGAGATAAGAGACTTTTCAGATAATAAATAAAGTATAAATAAGAGTTTATTATTAGAAAATAATAAGTAGACTCATGATTCGAGTATTACATCGATTATTTCTAAAATAAAATCCAATATTTAAAGCAGTACAGATACTAATTAAGTAGGAAATTTATAAATAAAAAAGAATGAAGATAACAATCCAGATTGCATTATAGTAGAAGAGAAAAGCACACTTAAGCCAAAGCAAGCTGAAGTAGAAATGTGTATTGAAATTGAAGCGAATCCTAAGGATTTAATTTAATAAAAAATGAATAATTCAACAAATAAGAGTTATTTCTCTAATAATTCAATAGCTACTCCTAAACATTTAGAAAGCTCACTAAAAATGGATTCTTCTATTAAGTCTAATACTTCTAGTATTAACAAATTAAGCTCAAATAAGGAAGAAAATAAGAATGGTCCAAACACAATTACTAACAATCAAACTACTTCAAAAATATTTTAAGAAAATGAAAAATAAGGGATAATATAATTAGAAAATAATTTGCAAAAGAGTAATTGTTAGATCAAAGATTAAACAAATGTTAATGATTTAATAGCAAATTAAAGCATTAATTCAGAAAATCTTTAATCTGTTAAATCCTTAGAAATTTAAAATTAGGGAAAACAAGAGGATTAGTTTTAAGATAAACCCAAATAAATATCTGACAATAACTCTACTTCTATTAATAATTATGATTTGAGCTCTAAATTTTAATAAAATTAAAAATAAAATGATATTCTTAAAATAATAGAAAATATCCCTTCCTCATCAGAATCAGATTTATCATAAATCAATAGTCAACCAAATTCATAATAAACTTAAGATTAGTAATTATTTAAGTAAGAAACAAAAGCAATTTATGATATCAATCATCAATCACCCATTTTACAATAGAAACAGATTTAAGACGATATTATATCTAACAAATAATTTAAAAATGATCAAAATAATTAAAATAATGGTGATAAATATGAAACTTAAGAAGATTAATTTGTATTTGAGGAAAAAAATCCATAAAATGAATTAAATGAAACCAAATAATAAAACATTATTTCTGAAGATAATTTATAAAAATTGAACTCTATTTAAAACAGTGATTTAAATTTATCTTAAAACCTAAATAAAAATTCAGCTTAAAAGTATGAACTAAATTAAACAGCTGTTGAATCGTAGCTTAAAATTATTGATGAAGATTAATATGTCAATAAAGATTTAAATGAATAATAATAAATAATATAAACTAGTTAAAATATAGATGAAGAGATTAACAAAACAAATCACTTTGAATAAGAGTCAAATGCTTAATAAAATAATTAGGAAGAATTAAAAAATGAATCTTAATTAGTTTAGGAAAACAATATAACTAAACAAATCATCTCAAATCAATTTAGTTAATTATAATCTAATTAAGTTAAATCTACTTCATAAATCTCTTAATATATTTAGCAAGAAATTCAACCTCTATCATTATAGAAAAGTGAAGAATAGTCCAGTTTTTAATAAAATTTAACTTAAACTTAATAAAATTAAAATGAAATAAGCTTAGAAAAAGAGTCTTCCAAGCAAAGTGCATAAAAATTATCATAACTTTTAGATACTCTTGATAGAATGGAAGAAGAGGAAGAGAATGAACAAAAAATAGAAACAGAAACTATTTAGAATTAAAATAATATATTGAATGAAAAAGAAATAACAAATGCACAAATGGATGAAGAAAAAGAGGAAGAGATCAGAGGCTAGGCAAATTAAATGGATAACTTATTTTAAAATAACCCAAATTAAGATGATCTTTTGATTGATCAATAAATAAGTAATAATTAAACAAATATCTCATTAGAAAGTAAAAATTAAGTATAAATAGAAGAATCTTAGATGAAACCAGAAACTAGTTAAAGTTTTAAATAAGAAGATACCGAATAAGATAATAAATCTGTAGAAAAACTAATTGCATCAAATAAAAGCAGTTTATAAAAAGATTAGAGTCTTACAAAAGTAATCAATCAAATAGAAGAATGTGAAAAATTAGACAAAATAATAGATGAAAACGATGAAGAAAATTAAAGCAAAACAAATCAATAATAAATAATAACAGAAAGCATAGAGAAAAATCAAAATGAAAAGAATTCCATGGAAAAATTCAATGATTCGAACAAAAGTAGCTTACAAAAAGATAAAAGTTTATCAAGTATTCTAAGCTAAATAGAAGAATTTGAAAAGATGGAAGATGAAGATGAAAAAGAAGAAATTTAAGTAAGTAAGATTGACTAACTTGATCACTTTAAAAATAATAATTTATTATAAAATATCTAAATGGATTAAGAAAAAGAAATTGAAATGAGCAAAAACAATTAATAGTTGTTAGAATAGTAATCAACTTAAAATAATTAGTTAGATATCAATGAAAAAACTAGCAATTAAAATGAATATAATTAATAAATAGATTAAAATAATTTGTAATCTCAAAAAGAAGAATTAAAATAATAAGATTAGTAAACTTTTATTGAAAATTAAAATAACTAATAATTAAATGAAGTTTAAGAATCTAACTCATAATAAGAGATATAAATTGAAATGAACTTGAAAGATAATAATCAAGTTATTAATAATTTGTAAAATGATATTTAACCAAAAGATGAATAATCAGAAATTAAAACATGCTAAATACAAGATAATGATAAAGAAATAAACTAACAAGAATAGCATTAAATTAACTCTTAATTACTTAAAATCATTGATGATTCTTCTTCTTCTTCATAATCAAATGACTCTTAGGAAGTCAATTTCTAACAAAATGAGCACTAATAGATCTTAAATATTTAAAATGAGAATTAATAACTTGATTAAATAGAATAAGAAAACTTAATAAATGATTCTGATTAATTGGTTGAAGTATCAAATGATAAAGTTTAGAATACATTTGAACAATAAAATGAATAAATATAAAATATTAATCATAATTAACTTAATTAATTTGAAGAGTATGCTATTTAAGATCAAAATAATAAATAAATAGAAAATATTGAAACATAAAATTAATAAAATAGCTTAGTTTAAGAAAATCTTGAATAGATAACAGAATTAAATGTGAATATTAATCAAATTAATTAACATAATTTATTAAAATAAACTGAACAAATTGAAGAAAATAAAGAATAAAATGATATCGAACAATTAGATTTTTAAAATGATGAGTAATAAATTTATACTTAAGTTGATATTTTATCTAAAGAGGTAGCTAGTGAAAACTAATAACAATCAAATGAAAAATAATAAATTTAAGTTGAAGAAAAAGAACAATAGATTACTGAATTAAAAGATTAATTACCTGAGATAAATAAACATGAAATTATAGAAGTAAATCAACAATCTATTCATGAATAAGAACAATAATCAATCTTAATGCAAAAGCAATAACAATATGTAGAAGCTAAAGAATAATAAACAACTTAATCTGAAGTAAATCGATATTTACAAGTTGATGCAAAACAATAGATATCTGAACTAAAATAACAAATATAAGTTGAAGATGAATAAATTGTTGATCAAGTAAGTTCATAAATAACTGAATAAAAAAATTAATAATAATCATAAATATAAGAATAATATCATGTTGAATAAATACAAAATATTGTTGAAAATGATTAATCAATATCGATTGATCAAAAATAATAATAAAATTGTGTTTATGAGGTTTAATAATTAGAATAAGAAATAGAATAATAAGGAAAAGAAATTGATGAATAATAATAGCAATAGGTTAGTTAATAATCTATTTAATTAAACACATAAATCTAAGAAGAGGAAAAATTATTATAATAATCACATATTGAAGAAGATTTATAATAAAAATTAATTGTAGAATAAAATTAATAAATATTTTAATGCGTTAATGAAGTTTAATAATAATAAAAAGTGATTGATGATAAACAATAAGAATCTGTTGAACAATCATTACATGAATAATCAGCTTAATAAAGAGAATAAAAAGAAGAATTTTCGGAACCATCAAAATAATAATTGATCGATCAATAAGCATCATAAAAAATATAAGGTGAAGAAAAATAACAAAAAATAGAGGAAAATGATAAAAGTGAATTAGTGATTGATACCTCTAACCAATTAGAAATTTAAGAAGAGAAATAAGTAACATCTATTATCAAACATGATGAAGATTGCAAACATATTTTATTATAAAGTGAAGAAATACAATAAGTTGTTGATATTTCTAATGAAAAAGATGATCCAACTCATTAAACATTTAGCAATAACTTGAATAATATAGTTATTGAACAATAAAATGAGTAAATATTAAATAGCAACTAAATTGAAGCAAAATCAGATTAAAATCATTAATAAATAGATTCTAAATTTTAAGCTGATGGAGAGTAAATATTGTTAAGCAACTCAAATAATTAAATAAAAATTTAAGAAAAATCAGATGATATGTCATAAATTGAAGTTGAAAACGAAAATAATAACCATGAAGATTAATAAGAAGATGCTATGGAAATAGAAACACAAATTGATGAGTAACCAGATCACCTTAACTAAGACTAATTCGATTAGATTCTTGATTAAAATTAATAAAAAGAAAGCTAATATAACAATGATGATAAAATAAAATAATAGGATAGTCCAAAAACAAAAGAAACTGAATGGCAAATCCCAAATAATTTAGATATTTTGGATTATATTAATTAGAAATAAACTATTCAAAAAGAATCCGATTATTAGAAAATATCTGACGTAGATTTAAAAAAAGAATTTGATGAAAAAGAATATTCTGCAGAATTTATAAAGAAAAGCTCACCAAATTCCCTTGAAATCCTTGAAATGAAATAAAATATTTCAAATGATAAAAAAGAAGAATAGTCATATAAGAGTGAAATTAAATTAGGAGATGCCAATACTAATATTGGAAGTGTTATGCTTGATATGGAAAAGTTTTTAAAATAAAAAGGACTCTCTGATTTAAAAAACTAATCAACTGTACCTAACTCTGAGATAAAAAATGAAAATGTAGATATTGTATTATCTACGAATAGCAAATTAACCTAAGTTTAATAAGAAGATAAACAAAATTAATGTTTATAATTAAGAAGTGACCAAAGCTTATTTTAAAAAGAACAAGATCATAATGAGAGAAAAAATTTATCTCTTGAAAAAAAATAAATATTTGATATTGTTAACATAAACAATAATGTTTTGTCTTAAATGGACTAGTTTCTTATTTAAAAAAGCTCATAAAAAGATAATTTCTTAAATGGAGATAATATTTAAGAGAAGTAAGAAATAGAATAGATAGAGAGTGCTGATAAAAATTATTCTTTTGGAAATAATTCTGAAAATATTTTTGAAAGAATAAAACGCGAATCTGATAAAAAACTATAGGAAAGCGGCTTTTAAATTAGCTCTGACTAAAGAAATAGTCTTATAGTTACAAACATATTTACTCCTAGCAATGCTAAAGCTATTTCTGATTGTGGAGGAGCATAAACATAATTTTCTAATGAGTCATTTGGAATAACACCAAAAAGAATAAATTTCCTTTAATCGAATAAGAAAAGCGAAGCTGAAGCGACTTAAATAAATACAGATAGCTAATTTTAGCAACTTTACTAGAGCAAGCTTAAAATTGCTGATGATTAAAAATTGGTAGAACCTAAAGAAGAATTAACACAAAATACATCAAATAGCAATATATCATCTTAGCTAAATTCTAGTAATGAGAATAGCAAATTATAAATGAGTTCTGAATTAAAAATGAGAACTCCACTAAATCACTAAGTTGTTTTATAAATTGATGAAAAAAAGAATCCAGCAAAAGCTCCAAGTTCATACACAGTCATTTCAAATAGAAACAATGTATTAAAATCGCCTGTTCTATCTTCTTTAAATAATGACAAAAAAACATTGAAGAGTAATCTCATTAGGGATCGTTCTAATTCTAAAAGTCCTGGAAGACAAGGATTAAATTTACCTTAAAATCAAATAGAAAAGCCTAAAGGTAAAAGTCCACTTAGGCAGGGATTAAGTCTTCCAAAATCTGCAATGAGAGATGATTTATCAATTTCAAGTGTTAACTTAAGTAGATTTGATTTAGAAAATGAAGAATATGAAAGCAAAAACTTACAAAATTCTTCTACTACTTAAAAAAGAATTTCTATTTAAGGAGATCTTGCAAAAATCGCACAAACACTAGGTATTCCTAAGCACAATAGGAATTAATGTTAGTTGATTGAAAATATTTACAATTTAGATAAAAATGTTTGCAAATTCATGCTAAATCAAAGTGGAAAAAATATTTTTTATCAATCACTTGCTTTACTTGATGACTCGATACCTAATCACTTCATAGTTGTTGTAACAAATTAATTTATGACACTCAGATCTAAAATGAACAAATAAGTATAAAATTTTTATTTTTAAAATTTGTAAAAAAGTAATAATATTTATAATTAAATTATTAGGTCAGCTGGGCTTGCATAAATTCTCTAATGGGAGTTGAAACTTTAGTTTAGGTTTAAAATCTATTGATGGAAAGAAAGATAAAGCTTTTGTTCATTCAATAAGAGTACTTATTGTAAGAACAATATAAATTTATGAGAGATTAAATTAAAATGATAATTTATGAAGATATGACAGACAAAATACTTGAAATCAATGAAATTTATAATATATAAAGATACCATCTTTTCCATACAATGACATTCAAAACTTTAGAGTAAGTCAATTAAATTTGCGAAAAATATACGCTTGTCAACATAGATGAGTAAATCGGTCTTTATGGATTTGATTTTTCTAATATTAATTGGACATTTGAAAGCGACAAGGAAAAGAGTCTTATTAATTTTATAAGAAAAAACAATTTGAAGAAAGTTATTATGTACATAGATAAGAGCAAAAAAATAGAGGAGATAGTCTCCAGTTTTAATTAAAAAGGATTAAAAATGCAAGCATACAATAGCTAAAAGCAAGATTAAATTTAGTAGCTTTTTTCTAAAGATTAATTTGAAATTCTTTGCTGTTACAATGGATAATATATTCCAAAATAAATAAAGTAAATAGTTCAATATTATATTCATTATCATATACCTAGAAGTGTCACTTCTTATGTTAATGATTTGAATGGATATCAGTATTATCACATCTAAAAAGGATTCATTTACGAAAAATTCGCTTGTGGCTTTTTAACAGAGCTAGACTTTTTCGAAATACGTTCTGACATGGTACAAGAATTAACTGAGAAAAAATTGATTCAGACAGTACTTAAAACATTGAATAGTAATGGAACTGATGGTACTTAAAATAAGAAGAAAGCTGGTCCAGCTATTTCTGATGATTTCTTCTTTAATGTTGTCTTAGATGAAACAGAATAAAAAATATAAGAACACTATAATAACTTTATGAAAGATGAAGATGAATTTAATCTCGAAAATGAGTAAGAAGCTAACATAAAGTAAATATAAATTACTAAATTTATTAATGAAAACTGCATCAAGCGTGAAGTCCTTATAAAAATACTCTCTTACATAGCAGCAGATTAGGTAATTTTTATGAAAAATTTTTATTAACATTTTTTTATATATTTAAGAAAAAAATAGTTTGGTAAATAAATTAATCAAATTTGTTTGATTTAAGTAATAATTGATAAACTAACATGAAATAATTTTACTATTTACTAAAATTACTAACTCCTTTTAATTTAATAAAAATAGGTTCAAATTATGCCTTTCTAAGGAGTGGTAAAAATGATTTAAAAAAATTAGTTAGCCAACAACAAAATTGTAAGTACCCTATTGAAGAATAATTAAAATAAAACTACTATCACATTCAGCATATTAGATTTAGCAACTGAATTGCAAATGACTAGTTAAGAGTTAAATCGCTCTTTGAAGAAGCTTAATGCTGAGAAAAAACTACAATATGAGGTGAAAGAAGAATTGGCTTTGCTTACAATTAAGCCTAACATTGATTAAATACTTGATAAGCTGTTTGAATAAATAAGATTCTAAGAGGAAAAACAAATTAATGATTTAGATACCATGTATTTATGTGCCAAACTAACATGTAATTTAACATTAGAATAGGTTTTTAAATATCAAAAGTATAAAGATATGAATAAGAATTCTAATCAGTAAGAAGAAGGTTAAGTAAGCCTGAAAGTTTTGTTAGAAAAATACTTGAATGAAAGCAAAGGAAATGAAATGTGTGAAATATTTACTAATATAGAAAAATCTAAGCTACCATTTATATCTCTAAAAAGTCAAAGAGAAAAATCAAACCTACTTAAGGACATTCAAAATCTTGTACCTCGTGTTTAGAAATCAAAGCTAAACCTTGTTGAGTTTTAACTGAATAAAGACTTTTCTCAAATGGATTTCGAGTCTCAAAGCAGATTTATCTCACTTATCTTATAAGGTATTGATGGAAAGAATATAAATGAATTCAAGCCTGCTTTACAATTTAAAAAATATTTCAAATATGACTACTTTGATATACTCCAAATATCATTTGAATACTTATAATCATATTATACTTCTCTTCTCTAATCAGAAACTAGCAAAAAGATCAAAATATGAAAATATGAAGATTATAAATAAACAATTTAATTATAGAGTCATTTATATAAATGTTTTATTTCTTTGTGAAATTAAAAATAAATTATTATATAATTTACTAAATATTTATAAAGATTATCAAGTAAATTTATTTAGAAATTATCAAAATTTTGTATTTATTTCTTTGCCAATTTAATTATTGTAATATTTTGATTGTAAACTTTTTTTTTATCTTCTTTTATGCAAGATATTATTTTATGTATTTGTATGCTAAAAGTTGCAATAGCTTAAATTTATAAAAAGGTTAAATATAAGAAAATTATTTATATTTATCTTAATAAGTATCAAAAATATTATGGAAGTAAATTCATAAAAATATATAATACTTTATTGTATTTAGCAAAGTAAATTCAAAAAAAAATATGAAGAAGAAAATTCCTTGTTGTTTTTATAATTAAACTTAAAAATATTTATATGTATAAGCTAATCAATTTAAATTACCACTATTTTAACATAAATGTAAAAAGTTTAAAATTGATTTAATAATAAAAAGAGTTAAAAATACTTTAGAGAAGAAAATCTTAAAAAATGCATATAAAGTAAATATTTTCAAAAATCTTATGGAAGGCAAGATTAATAATTTTAAACTAAATTTTCTCATAAATAAAATGGATAAATTAATATAAAAAATAAAATAGCTAGCAAAAAATATTTATTTGGCAAATAATCTATTGAAATCTATCTATTATTTTTTGAAAAATAAATATTTAAAAATATACAAATTATTTTTATTTAAATTTATCTTATTTTATTTTCTTATGAGAAAGATATCTTTTTTCATCAAACATAGAGAAAAAATATAGTAATTGATTGACTAAGAAATGGTTAAAATCTAATCTTTAATGATAAATAATTTTTTAAATATTAAAGTTGATCATTAATTTGGCTAAGAATTGCACAACAAATTGAAGAAACAGAATAAATTTTTGATTATTAAAACATTTTCTATATTAATTGCTAATATTTTTTTGATTTTATCATATTATAATAATGGAATGTTTTACAAAAATTAATGAATGAAAACTTTGAAACAGCTTCAATTTATACAGCTTTTTGATTTGATATTAATGAGAAATTTCTTGTTTGTATAATAGATTAAATTAGCTTGGCTATTTTAAGTATTAAATGTATTGACATTTATCTCTTTTAAAAACATTTATTTAGATTGATTCTATTGATAAATCAGTCAAAGTAGAATTAATATTTTTTAATGTGGAATAAATAATGAAATATTTGATAGTAAATTATTTTTAAACAAAAAATTATTATTATATTTGAATAAAAGAACAATTTTAAATTAAAGAAAGCAAGCTTTTGTTGCATACTTCTTTAATAATATCATTTTTTAATGATAATTGTAAGATCTTGGAACCATCGCTATAAAATTATGATCTATAACGACCTGGACAATCTTTAAGTTTTTATTTTGCATCCCCACAAGGTCATTTAAACAAATAATTTTGTAGAAATGATTCATAGGATGCTTGTTTTATTTATTTTTTTCATGCATGCTTTCTTGCTTGCTTGCTTAGTTTTGTTTTTTTTTGATATTTTGAATATAAGCAAATTTAAATTAAATAAATAAATATTAAAATTGTTAGAAGGTAGTCACTTATCAATAAACAAAATACAGATTTTTATCCTGTTGAATTGATTATTTTAATTTTAACTTAGAAAATTGACTAATATCTTCTCTCTATTTGCAAATTAATGACGTATCTTCGTTTCATAAATGAAATACACTGTTTATCAGATTAACTTTATAGAATGAATTTTTTCTGTATTTCAATATTAAAATAATAATTTTAATTTTTTATTGAATAGATAAATCTTTTTTTATTTTCCTATTTTTTTAATTTAAAATTCTACATTTATTTTATGTTTTAAATTATTGAAGTATAAATAGTTTATTTATCAATTAATATAATGTATAATTAAATAAAGTTAAAGTACCTTAGAGAGCAAATCCTAAATTTAAAATTATTTTATATTTATTTTTATTTGATAATTCTGGATACAAAATTTTAGTCAAACTCTTTTAAAAAGTAGAAAAAGTATTGGATTGAAGAAGATATAGAAGCTCTTAAAATACAACAAAATGTCTTTTTACTTTTACAAATAAGAATAAATGTATTTTTTCTATTCTAGAAATAGATGCGAAGTTATTCAGTTTTTATTTATTAGTTAGTTTTTTAAAAGGAAAATTTATTACGTTTTAAGCTAAAAATGAAATTAATAATTTAATTAGAAACTTTAATCTGTAATTGAAGGATGCTTCTATACTTAAAAAAGTAGTGAGTTTAGGTATAAGAATAATATTAGAATAAGAGAAATGTGAAGATATTATTTTTGAAAAAATGCTAACAAAGATAAGTTAACACTTCTATGGTTGGATGGATATTTTTTTGTATTAATTAAATATTTATTGATAGACAGGCTATTTGAAAAAGCAAATAATAAATTTACTTGCTAGTTGAATTAACTGTTTTAAATTGATGTTATGTCTTTAATTGTGATAAACAAGCAAACAAACAATCAAACACAAATAATGATATTATCATAATATTAGGAAATTTAGTAATTCTTGTTTTTTTTTTGCTTTTAGTTTAATTTTTTACAACAAAATAAAAGATAATATATATAAATATTAGTATAGCATTAACAAAATATATATTTCAAATTTATATTATTTTTCAATCAAGCTACAATGAAAGGAGGAAGCTTCTATAATTAATAAGAGGGAACATAAACCCTTTATGAGTAAATGATTTAGAAGCACAAAATAGATCAGGAATAGAATGATTGTAGTTGCAACTGCCATTCGAAAGCTCGTTAAGCAAAAATCTAAGAGCGTATTGTAATAAATAAATTCACTCATCAATATATATGATTAATTAAGTTCTAAAATGTAGCAAAAAGCATTTTAATTAATGAATGCTTTAAATTAAATAGCTAGATATTATGCAATATAATGCTTTTCAAATAGTTTTTGCCCTGACTTTAAATAAAATATAATTTATTAATAAAAAGATACATTTTAAGAAGGGGATCATTTAATCTGTTCTAAGTTAAAACAATTACAAAAATGTCATAGTTTCGTGGGATCTTGCAGTAAAAATTGCATATTTTAAAATGAAATTGAGAACTTAAATATTAATAATCTATAAATAGGTTTAAATTTTATAAATGCTTAAGTAGGTTACTTACAGAAAATGGATTTATTTAATGTATTTAATCGTTATGCTATTTCTGTTATATAGGCCTTAATGCAGTTCTTACACTTTCTTTTCGATTTTTGTACCTTATATTATATCAGTATTCATTCATGTATGGAAGGTCATCTATACTGCCAGACAATACTCGCAGCACGATGATCTCTATAATAATTAAAAGATAGATAAACTAGTATGCTTTTTTAATTATTAATATTCAAATACTAATTAATTTTAAATTGTTAGAATAATAAAGATCATAATAAAACGATACAGCCTAAAAGTATTCAGTGGAAAAATATTGAAGTAATAATAATAAATAAGCATATAATTGTTTTTATGTAATATTTAAACAATTTTATAATCTAATCAAAGCTTGGTGATATTATTAAAGTAGAAGCAGGACAAAGAGCTCCAGCTGATTTGATAATTTTAGATTCATATGAGAAAAGTTTCTTTATAGATTCAGACTTCCTTGATGGAAAATCAATCCCCTAAATGAAGCTTTCTCTAAAATTAACTCAAGGTACATTAAAGAATTTCTTATTTTTAAATAAATAAATTTTAATTTAAATAAACATAAAGTTAGCAAATAAATTTAGGAGTAAAAGGAAAAATTTTAGAACTTTAGAAGAAATTTAGTAGGAAAAATTTAATATAAAGTAAATCAAGGAGAATAGGGTTATTATTCAGGTAGTTTGAAATTAAAAAGTGATCCTACAAGTGAAAATATAACTTCTGAAAATATTCTTTATAAAAACACAGTTCTTCATAACACAAAATGGTAATTATTTTAATAATAAAATTAATGCTTTTTATAATTAATAAAATGAGTAACTTTAATCCTAAATAATAAATAAACAAGATTTAAATAAAAAATAGCTTAAAAATTTTATAAATATGAAAAAATACACAAATTTATTAAAGTTGTTGCTTTTATTATTAAGTTTTTTTAAAAAATTATTTATTTAAAAAGAATAAAACAATTATTTTATTTATCAAACTATTTTTAATGAAATGAATTTATTTAAATTTATCTATTTAATAATTTAAATAATTGATTTATCATAAATTTCCTTTAAATATTTAAAAAGAATAATTATTATATACAAAATACTATTTTTTTGAATATAATTTATTTTTAATAGGATTGTTTTTAAATTTATTTTATTTATTTATATTTTATTGTAAAAATGTATTTTTCATTTATAGGATTTATGGAATGGTTATTGGAACAGGGTGTGATTGTTAAATGGATAAATGGAAAAAGAAAATTATTTATAAAATTAGTGCTATGGATGAGATGATAGAAAAATTTTCAGGAATACTAATTGTGCTATTTACTTTACTTTCAATTCTATTTAGAATTTTAATATAAGGAAGCAATTATCATAGCTTTTCTTATCTTAATGATCCCACAAGTCCTTAAGTCAGAACTGATATCCGTAGCTTTTGGATTATGTTTATTGTAGAATCTCTACCTATCTATATTTTTTCTGTTTCTGATATAGTTTAAATTATAGAAGCCATTAAATTATAAAAAAAATATTAAAATAAAATTTAAATAAAAAATGTTGATGCTTTAGAAAACATTTCTTTTGTCGATTGGTGCTTTTTCGATAAAACTCAGACTCTCACATAAAATAACTTTGAAATTGAAGGTTTTATCATTGATCAGCAATACTTTACAGCATAAAATATCAAAGCTAAAAGAATGAAATCTATTTAAAAAGAGCAAAGCGAAGGGGACAATGCTTAAAGTAAGAAATTAAGAACTGATAGTTAAAATTTAAATTAAATAAAAACAAACTATAAATAAAACAATAATAACTACTCTCCTTAATATGAGCAACAAAATTAAGGGTAATTAAATCTGAATTTTAAAAATAAAGTAAATTAAGTTTAAGTCAACATTACAGATATAACATCCGATTAGGAAGAAGAAAGCAAAAATGATAAAAAAGAAGAAGAAAATTAAGAAAATAATATAGACTAATAATAACAATAATATAATTTAAATGATTATTAAATTCCTGAAGAAAAACTTAAATAGTATAGGATGTAAATAGAAAAAATAGATGAGGCTGGAGAAAGTATTTTGGCTAACTCTTCACAAGTAGATTCACAAGATAGAAATTAGGCAAAATTCAGACGTTAAAATTCTTTATAATTAAAACAATCTTAATACAATAATAGCTAAATTATAAAACCTCATAAATTAAGAATTTTTAATGAAAATGGTTTCAATTTGGGTTCTGATGTTAGTATACCTTAATCAGAAGTGAAAAATGATACTGAACAATTTAAATCTTAAAGCGAGCAGCAATCTAAAGATCCCTCTCCTCCACTAAAATAAAAGAATAATCAAAAATATAATAACAGTTTTAACAATTCTTTATAAAGCCAGCAAGATTCAAATACTAAAGCTGACAAAGATTAAACAGATCAAATCGGTTATGAACATTAAGAAACAAATAGAGAGTTAGTATTGCACCATGATTTTATCTCTCCTCAAATTACTTCAAGAGAAAACTAGATTCTTTAGAAATCTAGTAAAGAAGGAGGAAGCTTAGGTACAGAAGGAAATTCTGATACTGAGTCACAGAGTCCTTTAGATAGTCCTTAAAAGAGGAGATAACGTTAAAATATGCAGAGCCATTAGGATGAATATGATGATATTCCATAAGAAGGTTTAAGAAGTATTAGTATTAAATCTTTTCAGCTCCATTATGAAGGAGGAGTTAGTATCCCAAATATAGAATCGGAGAGAACAAATACCAATCTTATAACAAATTCTAAATTATATCTAAATCCATCACTTATCTAAAAAACAGAAGAAGATTAGCTCAATACACCCAGTAACTTTGATATCAGAATGGGTTCACCCAGTTTTTAAGCTCTCACTTCAGCCAAGGCATTTTCTAAGCACTAAAGAAAATTCGAATTCTTCGATCAAAACAATTCACACTAAATTTCAACTGATCATGATTAAATTCTGATAAGCAATTTGAACAAATAATATAGTAAAGTAAGCGAAGAAGAGGAAGTCAAAGAAGAAACACCATAAAATAAAATTAGCATGGATTAATGGGGCATGCAAATTAACAACATGTAAATAAATAATAAAAGCTAAGATGATATATCACAAGAATTTCCAACATCAGAAATCGAATAAAATTAAAATTAGATCTCAAATGCAAATTAATTAAATGAGGATATTATCTATGAAAAGAAAGACTTGTAATTAAATTAATTAGACAAAGGGTTAAATTAAAATTAAAATGGGAACTAAAACTCAAAAAACGAATAGCTATAATAAATTGAAGAAGGTAAATTAATTAATTAAATTCTAAAATAAAATAAAACATGCTTAAGTATGATAAAAACATTATTTTATTGATAAAATGAAAGAAAGTATCATTTAAAAAATATAAAATTAATTTAATCTTTGAAATTTTTCATTAAATTTATAAAAAATATTTATTTAAAAAGTTGAACCAAAAATTGGATTAACCTGTGTAAGATTGGATTAATTAAAATAAGGTTAAGGAGATATAAATGCATTAGAAAGTTCAGAATTTTAATCTGATCAAATAAAAGAAGACTATAATGAAAATGAAGAAGCTGCTGAAAATTCTCCAATAAAATTTTCTAATTCTAAATCTTCCTCTTCTAATCAAAAAAGTGGTCATCAATCTCCCCACAGACTTAGTAAATTTGCTTAATCTTCTTTTGATGAAGAGAGTATAAAAAAAAATGAAAAAGATATACCATAACTTGATACACCTCCTAAATTATTTTAAGGCAATTCAATTTAATACAACGAATAAAAAACAATGCAATTTGGATAAGATTCTAACTTTTTTGAAGCAGCACAAACTGATGGTTAAAAATAAGATTCTAGTTAACCATCTGAAAAGAAAAAAGAATTATCAAATACTGAAATAGATTAGTTTTTTATATAAAATTTTGATGCTATTAAAGCAAAAGCAGATCAGCTTCAAAAAAAGCATCCTTTTTAATCTTTTGGTACCTACAGTTTTTAAAAATTAGGATCTGGTATACAAAGCTAGAATGGTACTGGTACTTTAGACAATATTTCACAGCCTAACTCTCCATCTCCTATTAATCACAACATTTTAAAATAAAATTTGACCCCTGAAGAGGTGCTAATTTAGCAAGAAAGAAAATTAAAAGAAAAGCTTTTTGCAATTCAAATAGCAAATTCTTATAATTAGTTTGAGTAAAACTCTTTAGGAAATATTCAAACTCCTCAGCTGCCTTAGCATAATGATGGTTAGAATTTATTCAGATTTAACAGTAGAGAAAAAGACTCTCCTATTCCTTAATAGCTTATGAAAATAAATTAATTTTAATCTTAAAACTCACTAAACAACAACAATAACACTCTTAATTTAGAACATACTTCTAGCAAATATATAACATTAAAGAGCAATGAGATTCCAAATCCTTCAAATAAAGATATTAAAGGGAGTACTGCAAATGTTATCAATTATTAAAAAGAAGACATCAATTAATTAATTAATCATCAAGTCAAATTTAGCTCTTAACTTTTGATGAATCTTTTAGATTCTGACTTTGAATCTCAAGATGTGTTGGTAGAAGATTTCTAGATAGTCGAGAAAGAAACATTAGAGCAAAAATAAATGAAAAAATATGATAGCTTTATCAAAGCTGTTATGCTTTGTCGTCAATGGAAGCTAAAAATGTTACCGAATTCAGAGTTTTACACTATTGAATTTCTTAAACCTGAAGATGAGAGCATATCTAGATTTTTCAGAAATCTTAAGGTTACCCTATAAGTTGGAACTAAGAGAGAGTTAGAAGGTAAATGCTATTTTCATTTACCAAATTTAAACAACAGCAACAAACTTCAAATCATTGTATAAAATTACCCATCACCTAAAAAACCAAATACTGTTTTCGCAATCGTCCAAGATCATTTTATGGGCACCTATCACCTATATGTTAGGAGTGATGCTTCTTTGCTAGGTATTTTATTTTTTAATAATAATAAAGAAATAATTTTTTGAAATTAAAAATTTATAGATAAAATGAAGCTTAACACCCAACAGAAGCAAATCTTAAGGCAGTACTTTGAAACAAAAATGGATCATGGGCAAAGAGTCCAATTGTATGCTTAGAGAGCACTTTTAGGCAAAGATGTGTAAAGTTTCTTAGTGAAATACCATCAAATAAAATCTGCTCACTTTGAAGACTAAGTAAATAATTGATAATTTTTCAAATTAAACTTTATTTAAAATATAAAACAATAGACACGATAATATGATGATCTTTTTGGAGAGATTGAATATGATCTAGAATATTTAGGAGTTCTTTTTATCTCAAATGATTTAAATAAAGGTGTAGTAAATTATGTTAATTAACTTGATAACTTACTTGTTAAAATGGCAATTTTAAGTGGAGACTCTCATGAATATGTCATGCAGACTGCTAAGTCATCCACAATTTTGGAAGATGATATGGAAAATATTAAAATTGAGGGAGAAAATCATAATGACATCGAATCAAGTATAAAGTAGCATATTTCGTAAATTAAAAAGTAAATGTTTTCATCTGGTAAAATTAATGAGCAAGAATTTGAATTACCTGAAAATTACATGACAAAGTCAGAATTTAATCCTAATAAATCTGATAATGAGAATTAGCTTGGATAAACCAACAAAAATAAATTAAATTAAAAACCATCAAGAAGATATTCTAAGAAAGTGACTAAAGCTCAGTATTACAACTAACTTTAAAACGCTTTAGATTAATTGTAAAAAAGAGTTGTTATAATTAAAGGTAGTTAGCTAAAAATAATTTCATCAAATCCTACTTTGGAGGCTCATTTTTTTTTCCTGATTGCTAACTCAGACAGGATAATAGGTACTGAGCTAACTTCTATTTAAAAAGGTAATTAAACAAATAAAAAATATCAGTGTTTATTTCACCAAAAATATCAACCAAATTTTTTTGATTCATAATAATAGTTTTGTTAATGAAGTACTTTTTTCAAATTTATTTTAAAATATTTTTAATTTAATTATTAAATAATTTTTTGTATGAAAAGGATATTTTGTTGAGATCATAAAATATATTGACTCCAATTCTAAAATCATGTCAATAGGAGATGGCTACAATGATTGTTTAATGATGTAAATTAGCGATGTTTCTATTGAGGTTTCTAATACGAATTCTTTTTTGCTTCAACAGAAGTAAAACCAATAACAAGCATTTGAGTAAAAGAATTAATAATAATAAATGAAAAAAACTTAAGATAAAATGTAAGTTAGTGCAAAAAAAAATATACAAAGTAGCAAAAGCATTAAGAAAAGTGATACTCTAGAAAAAAAATACAAATTAATTGCAGAAAATAATGATGTTAAAGCAAGAATTAGCAATAACACAGGAGATATTTTCTTTATATTACCAGACTTTAGCCTGATTCAGCAATTCCTTTTTAGAGAAAATCACAATTTGGCAAGAAAGAAATTTTTTATAATTTTTGAAGCTTTTTATCTGTCATTGATGTACACAATACTAAACTTTTGCTTGAATGTAGATAGCCTCTCTTCATCTACTCTTTTTAATTCTGTTGATTATGTAAAAAAAATCTATTTTTATTTATTTATAATCTTAGTCTTTTTTATTTAAACAAGGTTGTATTTTATCTCTTCTTTTTTGGTTTCAAGCTGGCTTTTTTTAGTAGTCAATACAATAATACTTTAATATCATTGCTTAATGAAAGATATGCACCATTTATATTCAATTTTAATATAAGTTTTTTTGAGAGAGTATAATCATTTATCACTTTCTTCTTGGTTAGTATTTTTCCTGCAATGATTGATTCGATATTAATTCTTCTTGTTTCAACATTATTAAAAAATATAAACCAGTCTATGGATTTGCTTAGGGCTTATATTATACTTAATTTAATTATAGTCAATACAGTTCGTCTACATAATAATTATGAATGCGAAAACTATTAAGAAAACCAATAAATATATGTTAAATAAAATAGTAAAGTAAGCTCAAAAAGTGCTCCAACAATGGGTTAAATGAAAAATCAGAAAGAAAAAACTACATCCTTAGAAGAAATTATTTAGGGTAAGAAAGATAATACAAACTAATAAGCAATAATAAGAAGAGTAAAAGAAATTCTTCTTTCTAAATTTCTCTGGATCTTAGTATTTGATCTAGTGATTTACTTTGCATATTTTGGAATTAATTATCAATATGCAAAGTAGCAGTCTAGTTCAAGCTAATAAGCCTTTGATATTAAAGAATTGTTACAATATAGTGATTGCTATATGGGGATATTTGTAGTAACCTGCTTTTCAAAGATTTTTAATTACTTTTATATTAACTTCATCAAGAAAAAATATATTGACAAAGAAATTGCAGAGCTGAAAGAGTTTATAACAGAAAGCTAATAAATTAATTGGAGAGACGTCTATCATCGTGCTCAGAGCTTGATTACTTTCTATAAAAAACCTATTGAAAGTATTATCAAAAAGATTTTTGCTAAGGTTAAAATGGACATAAATGTTGAATAAAGTAATAAAACATATTTTTTTATTTTATTAAAACCAATAATATTTATTAACAATAACAATCTTGATTAAAAAAAGAAAAACTTAATTAAATTAAGATTAAAAAATTTAATATAAAATTTATTTAAATTAAACCAAAAAATTAAATTAAAAAAATACAAACTTTTGAATAAGTTAAAATATGATAAAATAATCATAAAAATCTCTTATTTATAATTAATTTATTCATTTAGAAATGAAATTTCCTATTTAAGTAAAATATGGTGAAAATTAAGCAGATAAAAGCGCCAATTACCTTTAAGATATGCCATATATAATAAATAATTCCAAGCAACTATTTAACAAAATATTAATTAAATATTAAAAAAGTTTTGAGTCCAGACGATTATCATCAGCAACTTGAACAAGAAGAATATAATAAATATACTCTATAGTTCATATCTAAAAAGCTAATGGCTTAATTTAATAATTTGATGAAGCCAAATAAGATAAATTAAGCAAGGACAATTTTGATAGCTCTTATAATTTTAAACATCATTTTAATTATTTTCACAAGCATATTTAATGAGTAACTTGATTAAGTAGTAGTACATTCCAAATTTACTAATCTCTAATCATTGTTGATGCTTATAGCTTTCACTGGATTATTACTAATTTTCGCAATATGTTTCTACACAAATTTTGGGAAAGAGAAGTTTGAATATTTAGTCATTTCAGTAAATTTTCATTAATTTATTCATAATAAAACTAATATATACTATTAAAAGGTGCTTATCTATTTTAGCTTGTATCAAGTAATTTATCCGTGGGCTCTAGAATAAATATTATCATTAAAACAGTTAATTATCTTCTTGGTAATATCTTATCTACCTATTCCAATCCACTTTATAATTATACATCATTTTCTTCTTATGATAAATTAAGTTGCATGGTATTATATTTTTTTCAATATTTATACATTTATTAAAAATATTTCTTAAAAAGGTTTATATACTATTAATAATGTGAAGGTGAAAACTGTCTTCTAAAACCTGTAGATGATTTTAATGAATAATTTTCTAATTATAGCGCATATTTGTTCATCAACTTAATTTCATTTTATATCCATGTTGCTTTGAATGGCTCTTTAGGATAATATTTCTTTATATAAAATCAAAATATCCACTACTTACAAATCAGAAGGCTTAAAGAAGAAAAGAGTCAATCTTCAGATGTCTTAGGTCTTTTGCTTCCTGAATTTGTAAAAGATGAAGTAAATGATTTTATTTCATTATAATTTTACTAATTTTCTTTCATTTTTTGAGTTAGTTAATTATAATTTTATTATGTTATTTTTATATTATCTTAATTAAATCATAAGGATTATTTATTAATTTTATTAACATCACAAACAATTTAACCTAGTATTTTTAATTCAAATTAATCTTTTTGGTATTTTAATTTTAATCTATTTATAAGAGTTATAAAATAATAAATTTTACAAAAATTTATTTATTTGTTTTTTCTAACTTTTCTTTTTTAAATTATGGAATATTTTTTTTGTGTTCAACAATTATAACTTTTTTAATAAAAATTAATTAGGTAAATTAGTGTTAAGGAGAATATCTTATTGAAAAGTCTTCTGATAATGTATTGATTCTTTTCTGTGATATTTACCAATTTGATAAAGTGCTTTCAGAAGAAGGAGAAAGAATCACTGAATTACTTGATAGTCTTTTTAGATAATTTGATAATTTATGTAAGTAAGAAGGAATTCAAAAAATAGAAACAGGTATGATTTTAATTCATTAATTAATTAACTAAATAATTTAAATTAAAATTTATTTTCTAGTCGGAAAAACTTATATGGCTTGTGGAGGTTTGAAAGATATAGAAAAGAGACTTCCAAAGGAAATCCTGAAATATGATGTAGGTGAAAGAATTATAAACCTTGCTATTCAAATGATTATTAGAGCTAGTTAAGTAACTTGGGGAGAAAATGATTAGCACTAAGGAATTGCATTGAAAATCGGTATTAATAGCGGGCCTGTGATAGCTGGCGTCATTGGTCTCCATAAACCTTAATTTTCTCTCATAGGTGATACAGTAAATACTACATCTAGAATATGTGCAAATTGTAAAGAAGTAATTAATCTAGCAAATTTTAATTGAAATAAATTTACTAACAATATTTTTAAAATTTAAAGGGATAAATAAGCATTTCATAAAAAGTTTATGAAAGAGTTAAAGGAATCAAGCCAGAATGGTCATTCAAATAACACTAATTTGATGCTAAAGGGAAAGGAATTTTAATTTGCTACTACATAAATATAAGGTAAAATTTACTTTTATTTTTCTGTTGTTTAATCATTAAATTTAAAAAGGGATGAGAGTGCTCTTATTTAGCCTATGAGTGCTGCAAATAGATTAAGTACTATGTAAGTAAGTAGAACTCCTCTTATAATGCTAAAAAGCATTAATAACTAAGAGAAGTTTATTTAAGGCTTGTAAGGTGGAAAAATAAATTCAATAAATAATTACTCTATCTAATAAAACATGGGTAAAAATCATATTCTCTTCTTGATTATTTAAAAATATTTATATTTATTAGGCTACTCCTCAAATAGTTTGCAGAACTCTCAAAATACAGCAAAGCAAGTCAAGCTCAAAGACGTTTACTAAAACGATAAAATGATGAATAGGAAAAACTAAAATAAAAAGAAGACAGTGTATTACAACGATTTAATGGATTAAGAATTGAGTCCTAGCAACAAATCAAATATGCAGCAAAGTGAATTTAATGGAAATATTCAATCACCTTCATTAGTAAGCCCTATTCAAAAGCAGGAGAACACTTCTATGGATGATAGTATCAAAAAGTACCACCGTAATGATTTTATTAAAGAAATATAAGAAAGTAAGCCTCCAGTTGGTAACTCAATTCAGCCTAAAACTGTCATCTTTACTTCAGTAGACACTCCAATAAAACCATGTAAATTTATCTTAAAAATTAATTAATTTTACTATTTTTATAAGCTTGATTTATATTTAAATTACTTTTTTGAATATTTAATAAATCCTTCTTTTTTTAAATAGTCTAAAGGAAAATAGTTTCTGAATTAACTACAAAGCATCCTTAAAATTAAAATGAAGAAAAATCTTCAAATGGAATTTAGGAAACACCTTCAAAGCTAAACTCTCATAAACCAATTGTTTTAGCCTCCAATAACTAACTTGGCCAATCATAGAATATACAGTAGTAGCAATAAATAACTTCGAAATTAGTATAAACTAATCCTGATCAAGAAGATTCAGATGATGATGATTGTGACGATGATAGATTTCATGACATTAACACTAGCAGATCTTATATATTCAATTAAAAATCACAAGGTTCTTTTGGAAACAGCATTGTTGTAAATAGATTCTTGCAATATGACTACTAAGGAGATCGCTAGGTTTATTAAGATTATGAAGATTAAACACTTTTTTCTTATTGGACTCCTTTTAAAACTTTAATTATTTCAACAATATTTGTTAATTTTCTCCATACAATTTTGAAATTATCTAGTGGAAATAATTCATCCACGAATGCTGTTTGGTTCGCTTTTGACTTTTCTTGCTAGGCAGGGTTTTTACTTTTCTTATTTATGCGTGATTATTTAGTGGCTAAAAAGAAAATGAGACATGTATTTTTAGTGTTTATAAACTTAAGCTTTTTGGCTATAGTAGGTGATTCCTCTCTTCAAAATTAAGAATCCATGCTTATCCATTTCAGCATAATGCGTTTAACATGCAATTTTTATTTGATGAATCATTCTTATTGTTTATTCTTTATCGAGTAATTTTTGTTATCCCTTCTTTGGATGGCTATTTACATTTTCTGGGTTTTAGTTCCTTATTAATGTTTCTCTATTTAATACCTCTACCTCTTAGTATGTCCCATATTCTTTTTACTCTATCAAAGATACCACTTTGTGAAAACTTAAATAGCATACTATAACAAAATATCTATTGCAATTGAATAAAATACTAAGTAGCTTAAATTACTAGTTTACTTGCTTCCTCCTCATGTAAAATAATTTATTTTTTAAGGAATGGTTTGTAATTTAAACAATTTATGAATAGATTCTAGATAAATTCTTCAAAGATACTACAAAAAGAAGTGAATTAACTCACAGATTGAAAAACATACCAATATTAGTGGCTGATATAGCTGGATTTACTGCCTATTCAAACTCAGTTTCACCATCTTAAGTTGTTAAAATGTTGTATAATCTGTTTATCAAATTTGATCTTTCGTGCACAAAGCACAATGTGTTTAAGCGTAAATTTATTTCTATTAAAAAAATAAAAAATTTATTTATAATAAATCTTTTTACTAGTGTACACTATAGGTGACTGTTATATGGTATTAGGTTTTAAGGACACCCAATGTAGGAATGTAATAAATGAGGCTTATAACACTTTAGAAATGGCTTTTAGCATGGTAAAAATCATCCAAAAGGTGAAGAAAGAGATTAATTTTGATGGACTCAATATGAGAATAGGTCTTCACATCGTAAAAATCTTTTATTTTAATCAAATAATATATCTAAATCATAATTTTATTAATAGGGAGACATTATTGGAGGAGTAATTGGAACAGATATTGTTAGATATGATGTTTATGGTAAATCTGTAGTTATAGCCAATAAAATGGAAAGCAACAGTACAACTGGTAGAATAAGAATCAGTGAAGACTACAAAAAGATCCTTGAAGAAAATTTTTCTAGTCTATACGAATTTGAAGATGAGTTAACTGTTGATTGTCCATCAATATCAGAAATAGTTCAAAGTTGGTTGGTTTACAAAAAGGATGAAGCTTGAAATTAAAATATTTATTAATTGAATAAACAGCAAATGGAAAATTATAAATTTCTTCTATTTTAAAAAATAATTTATATTAATCTATGTATATTGCACTTAATTAATTATCTCATTATATTAACCTAATTTTTTGGATTTTTATATTTTAATTCTATTTCCAAGTAAACTAATAAATAAAAAAAATTTAAAACACATTAGGATTTGTAATAAATCAATATTAAATAATTATTAATTTAATTTATTTTTTTTTTATAATATATTTCTATCACATAATCTTATTTTCAAAAATTTCATTTTTTGTTTAAACAAAAATTCAAAAAATTTATTTTTTATTATATTTAGATAAAATTACTAAAAAATAAAAATGATAATTGCTAACATATCATATGAATTTTATAAATAATCGATTTATCTTGTGCTAAAAATTAGGTTTAAATATTGATGTAGGCACAATTATAAATTTTGTAGATTTAATTGCTTCTAAATAAAGTAAGTAAATAAAAAACTATTATTATTATTTTTTTAATTTAGATTCTTTTGTTATAATATAGTTTTTTTATTATTTTGTGAAAGCTAGATTTAGGAATTTGTTTTCATAAAAATTTGTATTTGATTGTACTAAAAATAATTTTTTAATAGGATTAATTTAAATAAAATAGGTTAGAAAATAAATATATAATAACTTATTTAATTGCGAGATTAATTTGTTTGTCTTTATTTGTTTTTATAAAGTTTTTGATCATTTATTGATTAAAAATATCCACTGCAACATCAAAAATACTACTAAGAAATAAAAAATATTTATTTGATTAAATTATATTTTTATCAAAAGAAATATCAATTAGTAATTCAAGAATATGTATCAATATAAGCTATGGTTATATATTGCATGAAATATTTAATTTAATTAAAAATATAATTTGATCAATTTTTTTGAATAATATTGATTTAATTGATATATAGCCAGCTTATCTGAAATATAGTATGTATGTTTTAGTAAGTAAAAAGAAAGAAATAAGGATAAAAATTAAATTAAAAATCTTTTAGCGCTAGCCTAAACAGATAAATAATTAATTTTAAATAACAATTAGTAACTAATAAGTAGTTTTCAATTGAATTTTATAACAATTTACAATATGTTAATATTAAATTGTTCAGTACTTTTTTGAGGATCAGTAATAGTTTAGTAAAAATATAGATGATTGGATATTTACTTAAATAATTAATTATTATCATCTTTTATCAAAAAAAATATTGATTTACAAAAAGTTACAAAAATTACAACAATAAATTCATTATTGTTAAATATTAACTCATAACTATTCTTGCTATAAGAATATTATAAGTTGCAGTAAAAGTTTTATTCATAATTTTTGTACACGAATTTTACTAATTGTATTGAATTTATTTATATTTGTGTGCAATCGAATAAAGATAAAATCTATAAAAAAATTTCATTAACTAGCTAGAATCTAATACCCACTATTTTACTTATTCAGTGATACCGATTAATTGATTTATTTAATAAATGATTGATTATGAAGTATACTTAGATATTAGGTTCTAATAAATGAGTATTACATTTTAATATTTATAGTATTTATTTATTTATTCTTTATTGGCAATCAATCAATCTTATAAATAATGAGAATACTATTAAGGAATGGAATATTTTCTAAGCTAAGAAATCTAATCAAATTAATTTACTTAGTAAAAGCAACAAATAAATAAATAAATAATTTGAGAGCCAAGAAATTACATGCAAATGAATAAAACAAACTAACAAACAAACAAAAAAAAAGAAGAAAGAGAGAATTGAATATAAGAAATTAAGGATGGGAGAGTAGCAGTAGCTTTTGTATTGAAAATTAAATTATAATAAAAAAAATTATAAAAAAGCAAACAATATTAATAAATAAAAGCAATTAGTGATTGCAAAAATAGTTTATTGACTCTCAAAAATCAACTTTATAGTTTTGACAAGAGAATTATAAATAAAAAGAAGAGATTTTAATAAGCAGTATGGATTCATAAATAGCTACAACTGCAGTTATTAACAGCAATGGTTTTAGGAGTGAAAAAAAAATAAGACTTGGGACTGGACTTGGTTTCCGTAATCAATCACAAATTCAGCGCACTTTTAACAAAAACATACCCTTATAAAATGAATAAATTCCAAATGGGACATCTAATTCTGCTAATACCCAGGCTTAAAATTAATAATAATTTAATATTACCTGCAATAATTATTATGTGGGCAATTAATCTCCAACTAGTAGTGCATTGCATCAATAGTAAAATTTAGAATCTCCATAGACAAATTAGCTGTCCTCATCCCAAACACAAAACGGATTTTTCAGAAGAAAGATAAACTTAAAGATGAGCAGCACAAATCTCAAAGCATTTTTAAGCAAACAACCTAACGAAAATCCAATCGTAAATATTAAAATTATTTTTATATACTTAACTATTCAAGAATACCAGGACTCAAATTATGTGATTAAAGCAAGAATTAGAAATGAAAGCTCAATCGAACTTAAAAAAGAATTAATTATAATTTTGTTTGTAATATAGAATAACATTTTTATAGATAGAGCTATTTTTATGCCTAAAAGCAAGCGATATCATTGTAAAGAAAAATATTTGCTTATTAATTCTTGAGCTCAAAAAACAGCTAAACCTTTCTCTAATTTTAAGATTAAATATTTTTTTTATAAAAAAGATGATCAAAAGCTCCAAAAATCGTATTGTAAACAACCACCTCAGCTAGGGCTCAATCTAAACTCATAGTACAAATGGAATAACTTTGATTTCACCTTAATAAATTGGCAATTTCTTTGGCTCTTAGGTTTCTCTTCCTTGTCCTTCAATTTCAAACTCTTCCAATGCGCAATCCCCACAAACCTAAGCTAATGCGTTAAATAATACAAATACTATAAACGCCACATCAACATTTTAAACAGCAATAAATTCTGTTTAGAATAACTCTAATTCTGATTCAAGAAGATCAAGCAACCTTCAAGGTGCAGAATAGATCACTAATAAATATCCTATCTCTAATTTCAAAAAAGGAGACCTTGTTCAAATCTTCAACAGAGGAAAGCGTGCTTCATAAAGATAATCAAAAAACTCAAGCTTTACAAGACATGAATAAAACAATAATTTTCAAGATTAGCCACAAGAAAAGAAATAAGGTAGTGAAGATAAGTCAGATTCCAATGAAAATTAAGATATAGAAGATAAAAACGAAGATGCAAATCACTAAAAAAATAACTCTATGACTAAAAATACAATTGCTAATTATAGTCATAACACTGAAAGCACAAATGCAACTGCTCAAATCAGTCATCATAACTACCCTCTTCACATGAGCCACCACTACTTCGACTCAGATAAAATTAAAAAAAAATAAAGTCTAACCTCTTCTTAAACTTTCATCCCCTCTTCTTAAACTCAGCTAAATACTCCAAATCTATATGTCAAAAAGAAATTTACTGAAGCTAAATAATATTCTAATTAAGTCAGACAACAAATGTTTGAGCAACAGGATCTCGAAGAAGAAGAAAATTTCCTAGAACTATGCGAAACTCTTTAAAAAATAAATTATGATTGAAGCTAATCAAGTTTCAAAATAATAACAAATAAATTCTATCTTTGAATAATGAATGAATATTTATCGATGATTCGTAATAGAATCAATTTAATATAATAGTAAACTTCTTAAATTAATACAAATTATATTAACAAATTCAAGCAAATAAATAAATAATAACCAAATCAATCAATCATACTTATATAATTAATACTTTGATATAAATATCTACCACACAAACAGATTTAACGCATAAACCAACGAAAAATAAATGAATACATAATGAAATAAACAAATGCGCTATAAAGCCAATAAATAAAAATATTTTATTCAATAATAAATTAATGATTAAGCTAACTGCTGCGTATTTGCTGTAAATAGAAACCTTAAAAAACAAAACAAATCAAATCTTTTCAATAGCTTATCTGAAAAATAAAAAGTAAGTAAACTTTACTTGTTTCAATTAAGAAAGAACTCACTCATCCATCTATATTTCAAGCAAATGAATTAATTTCAATTAAAAGAAATATTCTATAGTAAGATGTCATCAATAATTTCATAAAGCTAATCCATGCCTACCTATATCGATTGTCTATTTGTAAGTAATTACCCAACCAATTATTTTAAAGAAAGATATATTAATTAAGAATATATTAGTATTTATTAAAACTTTTTTTGCTGTATTACTTTAGTAATATTCAATTACATATATTGGCAAAAGATGTTTCTTCTCTAGAAATATTAAAAAAGTAAATCTTTTTAAGATTTTACTATAATAGATCAGTAAATAATTTAGTAAGTAAATACACAAAAAACAATGAAACAAATAAATAAATAGGTAGTTAAATAGATTCATGAACGAATGAATATATAAATGAATAGATGAATAATATATCTATTTCATCTAATCTGATATTGTTTTATGTAATTATAATAAATATAAAATCAAGGTTAATATTATTATTTATATTAATTACCACTTCTTCAAAATTCAGCATATAAAATTCCTTTATTAAACTAAACAAATACAAATGAGCAATATATATAAATATCTAATTCCCTACATAACTATCTTTCTATCTATCAGTCTTGCCTTCTATCTGTACTTTTCATTTTTATATTTTGTAATCTGCAATTTAATCATCAAAAGTCTTTCTTATCATAATTTATATCACTAATGTATGATGTTTTTCATATTTAACAATTGCGATATCAAATATTATTGAGATTTCTACCTTGAAATTATTTTTTTTGTTTGATTTAAAACTCTAAATAAAAAAATAAAATATTTTATATTATTCAAGACTATTTATTATTTTATTTTCTGTTTTTGTATAATTTTAATTTTTTTGATTAAGACTCCGTTTGATAATGAGTTGATACAGGGTTTGATAGTTTGATTATTTTTAAAAAAGAGATAGATATAAATACAAATAAATAATTTAATGAATCTATTTCTAATTTTTTTAGATTATTATAAAAATCCTACAATTACTTATTCATAATTTTTTAAAAAAAGACAAAATAATTTAAATTTGATTTCAGTTATCTCTAAATATTAAATTATAATTGGATTTTTTAAAAGAATATTTTTGAATCAACTATTTATTATATTTGATTTTTTTAAAAATCATAAAATGAGTTTGTTTTTCACTATCACTTTATTGATTCATTTATAAATTCTATCTTGGTTATTTTTAATATACTATCATATCTATATTCTTAAAGATTTAAATTTACGCTTTGTTTTTAAGAATATTGCTTTCACTAGAAGCTTAAATTGATAAAATTTAAATTTTATAAAGAATACCTATTTAGTACAAACTTCTATCTTGTTTTAATACTTTCTTACTTTCTTATTAGTAATTATTAAAAAACCATATTCGATAGTTTTAAAAATTTTATATTTTTTTTATTTTGAAGCAAGGTTAACGCATTTGATTGCTAAAAAGTAAGTTCTTCAAATTTATAAATCAAAATATTTCTTAAATTAATAAAATAACATTTTAGTTAATTGAAAATTAATCTTGCATTAATATGATGAAATGTATAGCACATGACTCAAGAATACAAAAAGTTATACGAAAAATTTTTTATAGTTTAATAGTAAGTTAACAGAATTCTTAGCAATAGATAACCTAAATTTCTACAGAAAAGGTGCAATAAAATACTAAATAAATAGATCTAGTTAGCAACCCCTAATACACATGAAAGGAAATGAAAAAAATATAATTTATTGCTTTTCATTAAATATACCTTTCCCGATTTCAAGAAATTATCATCTTAGCATTGATACTTATGATTGAAATTTACATGTACAAGGTGCTTAGGTATAGAAAGACAAATAAACTTTAGATATTTAAATTGGGCATCTACATTGATATTTTTAGCATCTTTGCTATTTGGCTTTTTTTCACTCTATCCTATCACTAATTTTGTTATCACAGATAATTTTATCAGCAAGTTTTAGTATAGCTCTAATGAGTTAGGTCAAATTTACTCATTTAGAGGTAAAGCTCCCATTATTTTAGCATTTAATTTCTTAAGATAAACAGCACAGCTATAGGTAACTATAGAAGTACTCTGATTAAATCTTCTGCAAGTATATTTATTATCATTACTATCAAAGGCTATAAGAAAGATTTAATTATTATGTGTTGAATATATATTTAAATTATATTAATTTGTAATTTGTCTCCATTGTTTTTCAGTTTGTCCCATATATTATGACGAAACTGTACATTATATATATATATTTTTTTTAATTTAGTATTTCTATTTAGAAAAAGCAAACATATTGGTAATTAGTGCTTTAGATAATTTATTTCTTTAAAATATTTAAAAAATTTAAAATTATTTTTTTGTTAAATAAATTGATTAGTTATTATAAAACACATTTATTTATTTAATCTTAAGATAAAACTAAGCGGATAGCAATATAAAAACATAAAGATAGAAAAAAAGAAATAAATTGATTTTAAAATATTAAAATAAATCTTTCTAACTGATTAACTAAATAACTAATTAACTTATTAAATTTATTTATTAATTTAATTTGTTTGTATTATATAATTCAAATTATTAGTTGATTAGTTTATTTTTAAAGATTGAGAGCCTAATTATTTTAATTAATTTTATTTCAGTTCTTAATTTTTTTTACTTTTTTTGCAGTGTTATAAGCCTCTTCGACTTCTTCTTCTTGGACAATTTTTTATTTTTATTATTTTTACTCTTATTTTTACTTATCGAGCTCTATTTTTTATAAAAGGGTTTCTTTATCTTGTTCGAATTTACCTTCTAAATACTTTAGCTTAATTGAGTGTTTTTTTAAGTTTTAAAACTTCTTTTTGTGTTCAACTATTTTTTGATAAGTTTAACTTTATGAGATAGAGCTAATACTTCTTTTTTCATAATTTTTGAGTTTATCTTTTTATTGAAGTTTTTAATTTTTCTTGGTTAAATTAGTTTATTCTGCTTCCTCTTCACTATCTTCATTCAATGAAGGTATTTTTCTCTTTTTATTTTCTAGTATTTCTTCGTCTTCTTCCTATTGTTCTTCTTATTCACTTTCAGATTCATTAAGGAGTCCTTAATTGGAGAACAGTAAACTATGTAATCTTTATTTTAAGTTAATCTTGTTTATTAACTACTTAGTCTCTTAATGGTAGACTCTCAAATATCTATCTAAAGAAACAGAAGCAATATAAGGTAAAGTAGGATGAATTTTGATATCTTTGACAGACCCAACTGATCCCTTGAAATTGCAAACCATTCTAAAGTCTTTAAAATAAAATGTTTAATTTACATTAAAAAAATTAAATTTTGAAATTTACCTTTTCTAACATCGAACTTGAACAAATTTCCATTAGCAGTAGTAACAAAAATATAATTTCCACAATTTGATAGTTACATTTTTCTAAAAGCAGATTTATCAAAATCAAATTCTTATTGAATATCTTTGGTTGGCTAAGAGTTATTTTATCTTAAATCATAAATTCTCATCTAATTATTTTTTAAAAAAATTTATTTTTTTTATCAAAAAATGATTAATTTGATATTAATACTATTTATTTAAATACTTTTAAAATATTAATTTGAATATTAATTCTATTTTTTTTTAAAGTTTTTTTTAAAATAAAGTAAAATTAATATTGATTTATTTTTTAGTTTTCTTGAAATTAAAAATATTTTTATCTTGATTGGTTTCTATTTTATTTTTCATATTTGTATTATTTATTAATTTGTTTAAAATTAAAATATTTTTTGATTTTTTTTAGTTAATTATGTTATCATTTTTTCATCTAAAAATTATATTGATTAACTAATTAATGAAAGACTGAAATTATTTTTCTATCCATTAAATATTAAAACTAAACAATATTTTTTTAATAGAATTCTGAATAATCTATCCTAAAGATTTACCTTCTTATATGCATTAATTGTATAAATATTTTAAGAATTGTCTCTGAAGAATGCTCCATCTACATCATAAATAGGAACTTTTAAGTCTAACCAATCATTTTTAACGTTTCTTGCTTTCCAAATTTATTATTTTGTCTCTAAATCGTATAATTAAGGGTTAATATCTTTGGCTAATACCAATAGTGATTTCTTGTCTTGTTCGTTAAGTATTGCTCTTTGCATTTGACTTTAACTTGCATTGTAGATTTCTTAAAATTCTTGGAACTCCTCAGATTCTTAATCATAATTTGCTATTTCAGTGGAGTTATTATCGTAAGTAAGCACAATCTTGTCAGTGTTAATTGTGTTTAGTCCGATAAGGTTTTTGTTATTGTCTACAATAGTTATTAATCTCTCATGGGCTCCTTCATCATTAATTTCGTTAAGTTATAATACACCTTTTCTGTTACCACTAAGGATCATATTTTCATTTCCAAAGAAAGCTAAAAAATCCTATTCGTTATCCCTATCCTGTTAATTAAACTATGAAATGACTTTAGAAGATTCAACTTCAACAACTTTAGTCAAACCAGTGTTATCACCTGTTATAATTCTCATAATCTTATTAATTAATTCTATTAGAAATCTACTATTTTTTTAAAGTTTCTTCTACCTTTGTTTATTTCAATTTACAATTAAAAGAATAATAAATATCTTATCTAACAAGATCCCTAATTTTGGCTTCTACTTTCAATAATAAATAAATAATTAAATAGCGAATTTAAATTAAATTAAATGCTCTCTCTATCTTGTCCATTCCAATTTATTAGAATAATTTTGAGCAAAAACAACTCATTTCTTACAATTAAATATAATCAAGCATCAATTAAACAAAATTTTTAAGTTTAATTCTATTTTATAATTTTTAATTTTATTAAATAATTGTGAAAATAAAATTCAATAAATCCCGTTTATTTGTTTGCTTGCTTGCTTGCTCCTTTTATCCTTTACATTGAATACAATACACTATATATATGTAAATAATAAATAACTTTTTATAGATATAAATCAATTAATAAATGTATTAATGGATATTTTTTTTATTGTTATTAATTAGTAAAAGACAACTATGAACTAATAAAAATTATTTTTGTTAAAGCGAATATCTCTTATTTTGGTATTAAAATTTCCTCATAACTATGAATTTCTAACTGAACCTATATTGTTACTAATGTTATTGCAAGAATCAGAGTAAAATGATAATGAGGAGTGCTTTCTTGTTACTTTGTTTTGTTCTTCTAATAATTTATATTTTTTCTTTTACCCTTTTCTCATGATAGCTAATTATGAGTATATTAAAGAAATTAAGAATAGAGGTAATAAGACAATGGTAACTATTTCGTCGCAGAAAGTATTATGTATTTGTTATATTAAGGGATTTGTTGCATTAAATCTGCTAAATAGTTGGTGAGAGTTTTCAGACTAGCGGAAGAAGACTTCAGAATTTGAAAGCATAACTATTCCAAGTATGCTACGAGTAAATATTATTAGAGATAGTATTAACAATATGATTATTCTTTACTTTCTTGTTCTTTAATATAAAAAGAGCTCTAAGGATACAGTTAGTGTTGAAATAAAACCATTTAGTATTACGGATGCTGTAAGTATATTAAATGTTATTGGGTAGAGTTTCTTTGGATTTACTAAAGAATTATTCATAATCTTTCCATACATAATAGTCAAAAAATATAAATTAGTTAAACTTATGATAGAAAGTATGATCAAGCTTGTATACTTAAAAACCTTTAGGTAAAGCTTAGAAAGCATTTTATAGTATTTCGACTTTGTTTTTTCAATTTACAAAAATAATTAAAAAGAATCTATATCACATGATTGAAAATATTAATTTGTGTGGATATTTTAATAGATTTATCAAAAATATAATAAATACTCACTATTATTTTTTTTACTTTATGTTAATTAAATATATCTAATTAAATGCTTTCTCATCACAAATAGAAAAAAGGATATTGCCTTTATATGAAAAATATCATATGTGTATTTCTTTATTTTATTTAAATTAGAAAATTTTTAACTTTATCATCAAGTTAATATTTAAATAATCTCAAAATCAAAAACTTTCATTTATTAATAAAGAAAAGCTTTAATTTAACTTAAAAATAATTTCAATAAGACTAAAAGCAATATTTTAGTATTGAGTAGAAACTGCTAAAAATATATTTCTATGAAAAATAATTTTTATTTTAAATGAACTTATTTAATTTTTATAAATTAAGCTATTTTTAGTGATTCACTCATGAGAATAGAAATTGAGCTTGAGTTATTTTCTTTATCAAAATTTCAAATAATATTCTTTACTATATATCTTAAATCTGAAAGCATAAATACGAAAAAAAAATAAAAAAATTTTATTTGCAGAAAAAGAAAAGCTTTAATTTAACTGAAAAGTAATTTCAAAAAACTAAATTATTTTTGAGTAGAATCTACTAAAAATATATTTCTATGAAAAATAATAAATCTTAAAGCATTTAATAAGGTAAAATATATAAATCTATCAAAAATAGAATAAATATGTAATATATAAAATTGAAACAAATAAAATATAAAACTAGATAATTTAGTAATTAACACAATAATAGATATTCCTAATAATTATATTTTCTATTTAATAGGTTTTATTCAATTATTAAAAAAGATGATCTCTTATGCAAAAATTGATTGAAAAATAAATATAAATAAAGGATTAAGTATAAATTTTATGATTAAAATACTAACTTTTAATAACTGAAAAATTGATTGATATATAAATTCAAATATTGTATTAAGTTTTAATTTTCTATTTAAATATTAATTTGAATTAATTTATTTCTTGATTGATTAATTGGATTAATATTAATTATTAGTATATTTATTTATATTTTTTTTAAAAATATATTATTTTATTTTTTAATTAATTTTAAGTTTCTTATTTAGTTATTTTAAAAATTTCTTTATTTTTTTGTAGTTTTAAGTTTAAATTTATTCAATATTTGTTATAATAAAAATGATTTAAAGATGTGTTTGTTTAATAGAGATTTTTTAAATTAGAAATTAGATTCGTGATTGTTTGTTCATTTTTTAATGTAAAGTTGTTTGCTTATTTGTAGGTGGTGATTTTGAAATTCCGAAAATGAATATCTAAAGTTTAACGAAACTTGATATCACTTTTCTTTATTTTAATATCTTAAAATATAAGGAAATAAAATCCTATTTTAAAAAACTTTAATCTATTATCGAAATAAGATTATTAGGGTTATGGGATTATGATGAATTTATTTGTGAGCAATAAATAAAATTGCTGGTCTGGGGCTTAAAAAACTTGCGAAGAGTCCATCTACTTAGTACGCATCCCTCCTTCTACATTTTACTGTTGGAGTGGAAAAGATGTAGATTTCTTCTTCTAATTTTTTAGGATTTTATCTTTCATATTAAAGATTCTATTTTACTTTCTTTTTCTTTGTCTTTTGTTAATTTTGAAATTTTATTAAATTAATAATTTTTATGGCAGTTAAAGTACCTTGTTTCTTCTAAATTAAATTAATTTCAGTTGAAATCATAAAAAATTTAAAATAAAGTTAATAAATTCAAAGAAAAAGAAAAATTTTTAGTTGATCTTTTAAGACTAAAAAATATTATAAGACTCCATTTTTTTTACAAATTTAAGTTAAATTATTTTTTTATTAGGATAAAGAAATTATTGCTTTGAACCATACATATAATTACTTTCAAATCATTAAAAGTGATAAAACATTTTTTTTTAAAATAAATAAGTTTATAATTCAAAAAATTAATTGAATGCTTACTTATTTATTGATAAAAGATAAATTGAATATTTTTTTAATCTCAATTTAAGAAAATTTTAGATTATAAATAAAAAAGAGGCAAATAAAGACTAATAAATAGGAAATTATTTTTTTGAATTTTGAAATAAAAAAATATAAATTTAAAACAAACAAATTTCACTAAAAAAAAATGATAAATCATTGGAAAATTTAATTATTTATCGCAAACAAACTAACAAAGAAACAAAAATATTTTTTAATTTCTATTTTAATTTTAATTTTCTTTATATTTTTTTCATATTAACTCAAATTATTAAATAATTCTCTATCTATTGTTAATTGATATATGATTTATCCATTATTTCAATCATCAGATCCGTAGGTTTTTTTAAGACATTCTAGGACACGTAAATTAAGTTATTTGGTATTTTCATTTTCATTTTCGAAATCCTTTTCTGAATTTTTGAAGAATTTTTCAAGTTAAGCTTAGAAATAAAGTGAATCATAATCTACTTTGTCAATTTATTCTATGTGACTTAAATTATTTTTAGTTAGCATATCTACTTAAGATTCTAATTCAACTTCAATTTTTTCACCATTTTCTTCTGTTTTTTGCGTTTTATCTGTTTTATGTGTTTTTTCTGTTTTTAACTTCTTTTCATTTTCTTGTTAATTTCTTTCTAATAAGAACTGGATTTGGTCATCAATCGAAGATCCACAGCATTTTATAGCAGCATATTATTCTGGTGTTAGCAAAAGGGCGAGCACCTTTTTCATCTACATTAGCTAACTCTAAAGTTCAAAAACATCTTAGCATTTTGTGGCTTCAAAAAATAAAGTCTCATAGATATCTTTGTTGCTTCTCTTTTTCTTCTGATAATCTTCTTTTTATTCTGCCTTTACTGATCTCACAATTTTTTCTAATGTCGAAACCTTAAATTTTTTAGTAAGTTCTTCATTCATATCTTTACTATCTATTTCTTTTATAATTTTAAGTATTTCATTCTTATTTACTTTTCCATTTCTATTTATTGAATTTCGTGGTGATTTTGGATTTGTGTTTACTGTTTATGCATCCTCTTTTAATATTTTATATGCTGTTTTCCTATAATATTCTTTAAGTTTTTAGTCAATAAAATATTGCTAAATATCTGCCTTGGCTACAACCACACCAATAATACCTATTAAGAGAAGAACATTAACTATACTTCCAAATTAAGCTAAAATTTCTGGGTATTAAGCATATTAAACATTTTCCATGTACTGATCGTGGCTTAATTTAATATAGAAAGTACCAATTATTAATGGGTCAGATTTTGATGCAGAACCTTTTGTTTTAAATGAGTCTTGATTATTAGCGTCAACTAAGTAAAGATAATCAGTTTATTTTTATATAAGAAAACCTTCTTTTACAGATGTTTTAGCAGTAGAAAGAGTGACAGTGGATGATGTTGATAAAGTAGGATCAAAGTCCCATGAGAGATCAGTAACTTTAGTAACAATTTAACGTTACTTAGAATCGAATTGTGATTGCTTAAAATTAATGAAAAATTAAGCTGTTTCTCCATAAACATATTCATCATATTCAGCAAACAAGGTATCAGTGTTACAAGGGTCAGTTGAACTAACATCGCAAGATGCTTTCATTTATATTACTATTGTTGTATCGAAACCTGCACCACTAAAAATTTAGAATTAAGACTAAGTAGATGATAAATTTTATAAATTTAAACATTAAGCCATCGCATCTACAGATGGGTCTTTAGTTAAATTTTGACAAAAGTCTAAAGGTAAATTGATATCTGGTAATCTTTTTCCTGTTTTTGGATCACTTTGTTGTAGCTTTGCAGTATAGGTTATATAATTAACGCCATTTTGCTACTAGTATTCTAAAAGATGAGTACCACTATCTGTATCTACAATATCAAACCAAAGAAGAGTTGTATCGAATGGCATCGCAAAATTATTTTTAAGTCTTATTTGAGTTTAAGTTATTTTAGGCTAAAGCTAGTCAGCCCCATATAAATAATTTAAGTACCCGAAATATGCTAGCGCTGCTAAAATAAGGATGATAGATAAAATACCACCAAACATAGTCTATCTTGTCTAATTACCAACACCCATTTCAAATTAAAAGGGTGAACCAAAGATATCCAGATTAACAATCAATTATTTAATTCCCATTTTTGCTTTTTTGGTCTTTTTCTTTAATATAAAATAGTCAAAACTTTTAATTTATTTATTTGTTAACTTTTTGTTTCTTCTATCTTTTGGATTTGTTTTTAAACTCCAAAAGATAACCTTGTGATTTTTAAGTTGTATATTAATCTTTATCTGGAAGTATATTTCAGTCTGATTTTTAATGATTTGAAAATAGAAAAAAAATCAACTCATTATTATCTTCTTTAGTTATTTCAAACATATTTTCTTATTTTAAACAGTAACCAATCATTTTACCCAATCTTTCTCTAACACAAAAATTAACTGAATGATTGATTAATAGATTAATTAATAGATATTTCTTCTTATTATTTACAAATTTCCCTTTTAAATATATTTTTTCTATTCCCATCAAAATCAATTATCAATTAAAAAATTCAAGTGGCGATGATTTTTGTCAGTATGTCTACCTCAAAAGTAAATGAATTTTGGTTTAAAAAAAGAAGTCTCTAAAATGTTCATTCATATTATCAACTCATTTACATCTGAATAAATGGTTTATTGAAAATTTTTTAGTATGTATATTTGATTAGTTTATTTTACTCACAATTTCTCATAGAAGTTAAATCACAAATATAATATATAGAATGATTTAAAAATATTTGAAAATAATCTGAAAACTTAAAAAAGTTAAATTAGTTAGACATAATTGCAATTAGCTAATAAATGAAAAGAAAAATATCAAACAAATCATGACATCGATATATAGATAAATCAATTGATCGATTAATAATTAATAAGATATTTAAGTTACAACAATATCATTACTAAATAATAAAGGGATCAGCTTAATTACATTAATGTAAAGATAATCTTCAGGTGGGAAAAAAATTAAAAGAAATTATAAATTCTGACTTACTTTTTCTTTTATCCGCTTTATTTATTGTAACAAAAAGCACATAATCTTTAAAAACTAAATCAAAAAAACAATATAATATTAATATAATTTGTAAACTAAATTATTTGAATAAATAACTAATTATTTTAAATAATATTTATACTTACAAATATATTTTTATTTTAAGTGTTAAAAAAATATAGAATTTCCTCTTTTTATACTGAAAAAAGCTGGTTTATTAAATAAATTTAAACATTTTATTGATATAATTTTAAAAATTGATTTGATTTTTATTATTTACGAAAATTTAAATAATATTTGCGAATGAACGATCCTGGATTATTTTAATTCAGATTTACTTTAAATATCTTCTTAATTACTTAGTTTACTGAATATTAGTTAATATTAAAGTAATATTTAAAATAAGATTATAATATTATGAAAATAATTTACTTAATTACTTTTTAACTAACTAAACTTAGATTGGTGTTTAAAATAATATTGTTATTCTTTATCTTTTTCACAAGAATTGCTTTAAAAATAAATTTTTATTGAATTTATAGCTAATTATAAGCAAAGTTAATATAACTTTTTTGGCAGAATAAATTAGAAACCTCTTAATATGAATGAATTTTTTCGATTTCTACTTTTCAGAAAATAAATTGATAAAGCTTGAAAGTATTAAGTTCATTCAAGTTAAATAAAAATAGCTTGTAAGAAGAAAATTTTATAATTATAATCAAATTATTTAAATTTTTGAAGACCTTAAAATAGATTATGAATTAATTATAACTTATTTTTTGGAATTATAAATTAGAATTTTTTGGAATCAACAAATAATTAACATTTTTTTTAAAACATAGAAAAAATGTGAAAAAACAGTATTTTTCAGCCTTTATTTTACTTGAATTCTTCTCTATTTTTAATTTGAGAGGGTAAATAATAAATTTTGTATTAAGTTATATATAAAAAATCTAAATTAAGTTAAAGGATTATCAGTTATAGATAATTAATTTTTTATGTTTCATAAGCATATATATATATATATATAGAAAGATACTTTTACTTTATAAATTAATAAAAACTACTTGAAAAAATTTAACTTCAATAAGGATTTTACAATAAACAAAAGAGAAAGAACTTCGATTGATGTATCATACTAATTTTTAAAATCATTTACTATTTATTCTTCTGAAAGTAAAGAAAATTAATGAATAAATATATTCTTATAAAATTTATGTACATCCAATCTTAAAAAAAATATAAGATTCTTTATTATTTAATAAGTAAAATATATTTTATGATAAGACTTACTTGTTAATTTTGATATATACATGCAAATAATTACCTTTCTTTTTAAAATATATTTGTCTTTTTCTAAAACAAAAATTAATTAATAATTAGCTTGCGATTAAAAGATATTTATTTCTTTTTTTAGCTGTTTTTTTATTTACTACTAATTTGCTTAACACTATCAAATGTTAAACATTCAAATTTTGTGTAAATGTAGTAAATTTAGTAGTATATTTAAAAGAGAATAGCCATATTACTGGATATTGCATAGCTGTTCTCTTTTATATCAAAAATATATTTAAGAATATTTAACTTTGTTTTCTCAAAGAACCAATCTGAATTACATGTATAAATGCAAATAAATTCTTATTTTTAGAGAAATCTTATGTAAATAACAAGCCTTGTAGGAAATAATGTTAGTAACTTAATTTTAGAGTAAATTTGGATATCCACTATATCCTTGTATGGTAACAAATATAAAAAATAATCAACTAAGTAGAAGTTTATACTTAAATAAATAATCTTAAAAATATCTTATTAAATTCAGATAGGTGTATATTTACTTCTTTTGTTCATCTAATTCTATTTCAATGAACTTCAGAAATAAAAAATCATTTTAAATTCATCGAATTAACTTTTTAGACTAATATTATATGATAAATAATTATTAAGAGGTCTATTAAAAAGAAAGAGAAGACTTATGTAATACTACTTAATATATTTACTTTACAAACTTTGTATAAAATCTAAGAGTATTTTTTATTCAAATATTAAGAATTATTTACTAAATTAAGAAAGGCAAAATAATTTATTTAACTAAATTTATTTTTGAAAATCGATATTTAGATGGGTATTAAAAAATAATTATTTTCTATAATATTTTTCCATTTGCATAAAATCTTTCTTGAGAGTGATTAATTAAAATTTTAATAAATGCTTTCAAAAACGTATTAAAATTGTATCTATTAAGTTTATTTAAAAAAAAATATTAAGAATTTTTTATTTAATGGTGATAACTTAAAGTTAAAAGCAAATTCATTAAATATAAGTACACTTTTATTTTTAGGTTATCAAAGGTAATTACTTTGCTATCTAGTTATTTAAAAAACTTCAATTAGATTAATTAACATATTATTTTTAAAATAAAAACTAACTAAAAAATAAATAATTTAGACTCATAAAAAGTTTATCATTATTTTGGTAAAGAATAATGTATAATGTTCAAATGATCTTCATTATTTTAAATGAATATGAATTTTTTAAAAATAAAATGGATTTAATTTAAATTAAAATTTATAAATTTATAAAAAAGTATGGTTTTATTTAAAACATGATTCATGCATAAAACCTTATATAATAGAATTAGTATTTTTAGATGAAAAACCTATATTACTTACTACCTCTCTATCTAGTAAAATTTATTAAATGATTTTTGAAAGAAAAGTTTTTTTATTAACAAACAAGCAAAAGATATTTATTTCTGATATTTAAAACTTTTCAATTTATATTATTTATTTATTAATAATTATGTACTAATTTACTTAAGAAGACCAAAAGCCTTACATTCATATTTTTTGTGAATGTGGTAGAAAGTTTAAAAGGGAAGAGCTATATTGTTGTGTATCGTAAGAATTTCGCTTTTATATTTAAAATAAAAAAATGCTTTTATTTCTTTTAACATTATTCTATTATATATTTTTAGATGCTCAAAAATTTAATGCAGATTCTGCACATAGGTGCAAGTCCATTCTTATTTTTGCAGAAATTGTCTGCACTCAACAAACCTTAGCGAAGTTACTATTCGCTATCATTGCTAAAATTGTTTTGAATGTCCTCTTTGTCGCCATACCTTAACAGAAATGAAAGAATAATCAACTGAGTAGAAGTTTATTTTTAGATTAATATTTAACCATTAAACTCTCTTTCTTTAAAATCAGAAAAGTGTATCTTTACTGTTAGTTTTGTTCATGGAATTCCATTTCAATTAACTTCATTGAAGAGAAATCAAAAGATCTGGCTAGTAAAATTATTTTAAATTCATCTAATTTTCTTTTTTGAAATAAATAATTTATTCTAATAATTATCAAGATAAATGCATTGTAAAAATGAAAGAAAAGGCTGATCCTTAGCAAAAGCATGTAATAAAATTCAAATTATTTTATATTTTCATTAAAATTTTTTCATAAAAAGTTTTAAAAAATCCTCTCTAAATATAAAGAATTGCAAATGCAAATTGAAAAAGGTATTTTAAAATTCTTTTTTTTGATATATTTTTTGTTAATTTTAGCTAAAATTTAAAAAGAAAGGAAGATTAAAATGAATCCTAAAATAGGAAAGAAAATGAACTTCTCAAATTATTTTGGAAGTCCTCAAATGTAAATAATTTAATACCAAACTAATATATGAAAGATTCTAACAATCAAATGAAATATTTATTCAAATTAGAGATTAATTGACTAAAAACTGGTCCTTTGATAAATTCAATGAATAGTAAAAAGCTAAAGAAGAAGAAGTTAGCAATTAAATGTATAATATTGATTTGAAGGGATTAATGACATATAAACTAATCAAAGAAGAAGAATAAGAAGGCCCTCAAAACCCTGAAAACCTTGCCTAAAACCTTGAAAATTTTTACTGTGAAGATTTTGATTCACTGCAAGAAGAGCTAAATAGTTTTGTTAATTTGAAAAATTATGAACTCTGTATTAAATATTTAAACAAATTTCATTTTATAAAGAATAATTTATTAAATTTTAAAAGTGACAACTAGCGAAGATTGCTTGAAATATCCTCTTCTTCAGCCAAAACACAAAGCAGGAATGGTTCCAATTCCTGTTTAGCTTCAATCTCGTAAAATTAGAACTTGTTGTGACTGCAAAAAGATAATTATAAAACCAGACGCGAATCATACTTATACAACTGAATTTAAGCTTGCTTTCTTTTTATAGTAATTAATATAAATTATGAAAACCTTAAACTTTCAATCATTTTTTAAAAAGTTAGTATCTATTTTTTATCCTCAAATTTACTGAATAAAAATAATTCAATTTTTTTCATTAATTCAGTATAAAATTTTATCTTCTCCGATTAAGATTTAAAAATCGATAATAACATTATAAAGTGAATGAATTTTAAATAATAGCTTGGCTATATGCTATAATACTATAAAGCTGATTTTTATATCTTAATAGATTAAATTAAAAAATTCTTTGAAATTATTTTAATTTTTTGAAATATGAAATAAATAAATGAAATGAAAATAAAACTTTGAAAATATGTTAAATATTTTTATTTGCTTTAATAAGTTCATTTAAATAATAAAAAATTTAACAACTTTAATTAACTTGACTGATTACTTTTTATATTTTATCAATTTAAACTAATTTTTATTTTTAAATAGTGAATACTGTCCTTTGATCCATATACGAAAAATTCACTATAACAAAGTTAGTGATGAATTTTCAGTTGTTTTAGTTATGGAAAATGAGAGCGAATAATACACCATGAATGTCTAATTAGACAACTTGGAGGAGGACTTTGAGTTCGCTTAAATTCATAATTATTAAAATCATGATTATTACTAGCTTATTGTTTTAAGAAAGGAAAGGGTTGAAATGAAGGTTGTTGACTTTTTAGACATAAACAAATCTTAATCAACTAGTTCTGGTACTACTTAGCAACTGTTTGAATTTATTCTAAAGCTCAAGAAAGATAAACCTTAAGGAATAGACGTCAAGGTAAATTATATATATAATTAATTAGTTAATAAATCTAAATCTTTTATCTATAAAATAGTTTGGATTCTAAATGTACTTAGATGTCGAATATGAAAGTGATAAAAGTTATAGCTTTGTATTTCCAGTTGTTATAAATCTAGGAAAACTTCTAGATTAAATTTGATCAGATTTTTTGCTTTTTTCTACACTTTTAATAATTTTTAACAGGAGACAAATGCATCTATAGACAAATAAATATATTGATATTAATTGGTTATTTGTTCTATACAATTCCTCATTCTATTTTATTATAATTAAGACTCTTTGTATAATATAGAGGCGCAAATTTATTTGTATGGATTTTATCAGATTTATTTATTCATTCTTTTTTATATGTTTCATACCAAATAGATAAATCAATAAAGTTGTATCAATAAATACAAAACCAGCTATTTAATTTATATCAAATTTCTAATAAATTATTTGATAATATCCAAAAAAAATCAAATTCGCGGAAAATAAAAGTCGATAAAATATTAATATTAATTAAGTAATTAATTAAATTATTCTAATACTTATTATCTTATAAAAAATCAAAACAATACAATTAATGTCTATGAAATAGGGTTCCAATCAGTACAAAAATAAAAAACTAACTGATTACTTTAGCTCAAAAGATTCAAAAATTAGTGATAAAGATTAATTAGAAGATAAGCCAATGAAGAAATCAAAAAATTAAGTAGGCATGAAGAGCATTTAGTCTACTAACTCCAAATCAGATTCAGATACAGAAATAGCAGAAGAAATAAAAAAATCTAGCTCAAGCTTAGATGACTAAAAAAATAAATCCCCTTCTAAGCATGAGATAATTGAAAAGAAAAATGTTGCAAATACAATCCAAAAAGTGAATGATACTATTGAGTAGTAAAATAAGATCCAACAAGAAGAAGTAGTAGCATTTTTTAAATTTGTGAATTTATATTTTTTGAACATGAATTAATTAACGATATTAGGAATAAAAGTAGTCAAATGAGTCAAATAACTAATCAATTGAAAAAAAATAACTTAGAAGCCACTCTTAAAAGCTAAAGAATCTTTAATTTTATTTAAATAACTTATAATCGAATCCTAATGGTGATTATATTCAAAATATACTAGAAAAATGGTAGCATATTAATTTTTATATAAATTTAAGTTTTAAATTACTTCAAATTTTATTAGGAAAGGTAAATTTAAGCTCCTTGAAACTCATCATGGATACGTGCAATGGCTATTTCCGAATTTCTTTTAGTCAAGGTTTAACAATGGGTCTGATCCTCTTCAACAAGAAGAAGCAGAGGAATTCATTAAAAATCCAGTTATAGCTAATAGATTAAAAAAGTAATTAACTTAATTTGATAAGAGTAGTTAATTATTTAGTTATCAATTTGTTTAAGCATATTTATTTATTTATTTATTTTACTAAAAGGGCTTATGATCTCATTTATGAGTTTTTTGGAATGAAAATTGTTAACAATATAACAGGCGAAGTCTAAAGAGCTGATAATTATAAAGAGAGATATCATGAAACTTTTATTACCAGTTATCATAATCACATGAGGATAAGAAGAATACTTTGTCACTTTAATAATGTTGGATTTAGGAGATATGCTATTTCTCTTGTTAAGTTTTTAGAAAAAGAAATTTATGGGGAAAAGGGTTATTAAAAATTTGCAGAAGACAAAAGACCTCTTGTATTAAAATGGTAAGAACTTCCTTAAACAATACCATTAAGATAACTATCTAGATTGAAAGTTTTTGAGGAATGGTAAATATATGGGGAAATAGATGAAAATAATTAATTATAAGTAGAAACCTTATAGGATAACTGCTTTGCTACTATATAGGATATAAAAAGAGAGTCAATTTACTTAAGAAACCTGAAAGAAGCAAAACATGGGGTACATTTATGATCAAACAAAAAAAATAAAAAATCATTTCAATATTTTAAAAATTAATAAAATAATTTAGATATTTTGTTTTAACTTTAAATATATTTATTTTGATGTAAAAAAATTAAATAAAGATTTTTTAATATCTTAGTTAATATAATGATCTCTATATATATGATAACTGAAAATAAAATATTATTATGAATATATATAGATACCAAATAATTAAATGCCAAATATAATTCTTTTGAAAATTAAGCAATCGTTTGAATTTTTTGAGGGAAATAAGATTATTTATTTTTAAAATTATGAATTCAATCTATGTTATAGAATTAATTAATAGGAAAAATTTATATTTTATGTATTATAAAATTGATCAATTTCAATACTGTTAAACCAATATATCTATCTTTCTTTTATTTAGGTTAACTTACGCGATGCGATAACAGAATTATATAAAATAAAAAATATTAAATTAAAGGAAACAAATATTTTTATATTTATTTTTTCAATTTCACCACATGTTTATCATGCAATTATTTTATAAATAACTAATCTTTTTGACTTGATAAGCATTACTTTCAATTATTTTGATTTACTACTGATGTAACTTTTAATTTAAATTAATATAAATTACTAAAAAAAATAAAAAAATAGAATAAAATTTTTAAATAAAATATTACTTTAAAAATCAATAAATAAAAAATTTTAATACAATAAAAAAAAAACTAATAAATAAATTAAATGAGTTAGTTATTTAGTTTTAAATTCATTTTTTTATTTAAAAATATCACAATCCAAAACAAATAAAATTTTATTATTTTTACTTAAGATAAAGTCTCAAATTTAAGAGATTAGCACACTATACTAGACCCTAACCTAAGCCTAATATACCTTTATTACCAATTTAATAGCAACTTTTTAAATATAAAAATTAATATAAATATTTAGTTAGAAGTAATAAAAAATATGAAATAATCCAAAATAAATCCTGTGTATACTTAAAATAAAGCGTTAAATTTGAGAGATTAGTACACTTTCCTAAACTAGAACCTAATTCACACAGACCTTCACCATTAGTATGACTTTTCCTTTTTAAATATTGAAGAAAAAATATGTAGTTAATTTAATATTTAAAAGAAAAAAATGAAGAAATAATAAGAAATTAATAACTAAAGCAAAAGTTGAAAATAAAAAAATGAGTTAAATTAGCAAACAAGCAAAGAAATAAATGAAAAAATAATAGAAGCAGAATAAATAAAAAAAAGAAAACAAATCAGATAAAGACTTAATAAATAAATAAATTAAAAGAGTGAGTTATATTGTTTTAAAAACATTAAATATTCAAAATTATCACTATAGATTAAGTGTCAACTTTGAGAGATTACTGCACTTTTCTAAACAATAACCTAAGCCTTATACACCTTGATTACCAATTTAATTTTCCCTTTTTCAATATTAAAGTAAAAATATATAGTTAATTTGTTATTAAAAGGAAAAAATAAAGAAAAAATATGAAAATAAAAAATTAATTAATTAATTCATAATTAAAGCAAAAACAGATTAAACAAGAAGTTAAATAAACAAACAAAAAACTGCAGAATAAAAAAAAAAAATTAATGAATAAAAGCTAATAAATAAATAAATTAAAAGATTGAGTAAAATTGTTTTAAATAAATTTAAATATTAAAAAATATCACTCTAGATTAAGTGCCAAATTTTAGAGATTAGTGCACCTTTATAAACCAGAACCTAAACCTGATGCACCAATTGCGCCAATTTAATTATTACTTTTTAAATATTTAAGAAAAAATATGTAGTTAATTAGTTAGTTAGAAGGAAAAAAAAAATAATGAAATAATAAGAAATTAATTAATTAACAATAAAAGCAAAAGTTGAAAATGAAAAAACGATTTAAATTAATAATAAAAAATAAGTAATTAAATAAGGAAATAAATAAATAAAATACACAAACAAGATACAAACAAAAGAAAAATAAATGAAATAAAAAATTAATAAATAAATTGGGTGTGGGGG